GTGACAAGGACAACGGCGGCGGCGGTAACGGCGGCGGCGGCGGAGCTCCATCTGGGTTGTTGGCGGCGGGCGGCCGCATGGACTCCCTGGACATGTTGTTAGCGGCGATGGAAGCTACGGCTCCGGCGGTGAGGGTGTGAGAGGTGTGAGAGGTGTGGGGTGTGCGGTGTGTTCAGTTCGTGAGAGGACCGCCCTCATCGTATAATACGGATGGAGGCACGTATGTTTGCAGCAGGGCAGGAGGTGTGTGAGTTAGAGGCGAGGGACCCTTTCCCTGCGAGTACATGCCAATGACCAGCAGACCCATCAGCCACACAAATACACGTTTTGCACATGTTGCAGCCGTTGAAGAGCAGCCGCTGTTAGAGCATAGAATTGCTTCTCAAAGGTAATGCGCTGACTACGCAGGACCAAGCCGGCAACAGTGGAGGTCCCGCTGCCGGCACTCCCAGCGGCGTTGGCGTCGGCTCGGGTTCGGGCCTGCAAGTCGTACCTGTGGGTGCCGTACAACATACCGCGCACCTGTACGGCGGAAGTGGACCCTTGTTACCGCACCAACACCAGCTGCACCAGCAGCATCAACGACAACAGTCACATCAACCACAGCAGCAACCACAGCGCCCCTCGTCGTTCTTCTCCGCGTTCCTCAGTGGGGACCTCCCAGGGGCGGCGACGGCGGGAGGCGACGACGGCGGCGGTAGCGGGAGCGGGAGCAAGGCTCCAGGGCAGGATCAGCCGCCTCCGCCGCCGCCGGCGACCATGCAACCCCATGCCGAGCCCTTCTCCCCTCCAGCCCCCCCGTACCGCTCTCCTCTTGGCGGAGTCGCCGCTTCCGTACACCTTCCTCCGCCGCTGGCGCTCCTTCCCTGGAGCAGTTTTGCTGCCGCCACCGCCGCCGCCGCCGCCGCCACAACGACCGCGACGGCGCTACCGTACGGCAGCCCTCTTCCCGCCCTGCCGTCACCTGGCTCCGTGCTATCCGGCACATTCGGATCGGCGGCAGCGGCGGCGCCGCCGGCAACACTGCCGCCGCCGCTGCCTTTGTACGACCTTAACAGAATGGCCATCATGACGCAGGAGGGCCTCAACGACGGTTGCGGCGCCGCCGCCGACGGCTCAAGAGATGTCGTCGACCTGCCGCATGCTGCATCAGTGACGTCGCTGCCGTCAGTGGGCCCGTCGCCGCCGCCGCTGCTGCTGCCAGCACCGGCGCCGCTACAGCATCGAGAGGCTGCCACGAATGCCGCCTCCGCCTCCGCCGGTGGCGGCGCCGTACACCGGCCGCCAGGCGGTACGACAATTGCTGTTGGCCCTAGCCCCTTCGGCGCTTTGGGCTTACTGCAGGTAAGAAAACCGTACGGGGTGCGATGCAAAGCACATGCCATGCGCTCCTGTGCAACAGTTCGGTCCCTCCTTGCCCTCTTGCCACGGCAGGTTGCTGTGGGGCAGGAAGCAGCTCGACGCAGGCCTCGTGCCGCGGCGGCGGGGGCGCAGCAGCAGCAACGCGCCGCCTCTGCTACGGCGGGTGCAGCACATGCAGGTAAGGAGTGGGTACGTCACATTGCCTGACTCATTCCACTTTCTGCTATCTCACTATGCCTGTGACGCTCGTGCATGCCACATAAGTACGCCAAATAACCCTAACTACGGTCCTTGACAGACGGCGGCGGCGGCAGCGGTGGAGGACGCAGGAGTGGCAGCGGCAGCGGCAGCGGGAGCGGCAGCGAAGGCATCAACGGCAACATGCAAGGCGGAGGGTACGGCAACAACAACATTACCGTCACGGCTCGCGGCGGCAGCATTAACGGTGCCAACGGCGTTAACGTGGTCGGCGGCGGCAGGCTAAGCCATGCGACGTCACCAGCGGCGGCGGTGTCGGTGGCCTTGTCGCATCCGGTTCCGGTACGAGGTGCGTTGCCGTACGGGGACGGTACGGCAGCGGAGCTGGAGCGGCGATCGCAGGAGGGCCGCTGGATGGAAGGTGGTAGTGGTGGTGGTGGTGGCGGTTAGCATGGGCAGTGGCGCAGATGGCGTGCAAAGCAGGGTGCTGCAAAGGCATGCAAGCAAGGAGGTTGAAGGGAGGGCCATGCAATGCTGTCGGAGGAGGCGTATTGGGTCCGCCGTGTGAGCTAGGGGTAATGCAGGATGTCGCAAGGATGTGCGGCTGGCTAGCTGGATTGCTTGCTTGGGTGAATTCGCGTGCCGTCAAGGAACGATGAGAAGAATGGGGATGAGACGAATGGAAGAAGGCGTCTTTTGGACTGGGATCAAGCAGGGATGATAGGGCTTCTGGCATGGCCACAAGAAGAGTTGACATGATGAATGCGCTCCTTGACAGTCCATGGCATGCGTTCATGCCGCATGCAAGATGACTTCCGGTACGGCATCGCACTGTTAACCGGCGTTTTAGCACCGCTTCTAGACTTTGAACCGTCAGCATGCGTACGGCAGCTGACGAGCTGACGTCCGTACAGCTACATGACAAGCGATGTTTCTGGCTGCCCTTGCATGCACAAGTGGGGCACTGACGGTATGAGCCGCGAGGGGCTTATGCAGGGGCTTGTCAGGGGCTTATGGTGCTTGTGCTAATGAATCCCTTTGTTGGATCCATGATGAGGAATATCGCAAATGGAGTTCATATGGGTTAAGAGTTATCCATGTCTTTAAACTTCCAACTAAAGCATGCCCTCATTCATTCATGAGGGGTGCTTTTGTAGCCACGCTTGGATATCGGTATGCTGATTCTTGTCGATAGTTGTCCCTTGATATCGAAAACGCTGCTGGTTGCTTCCATAGTTGGCGTGCGGTTGTTGTTGTAGTATGGTGGGCTAAGCGACTGTACTTCGGAGCCGTCCTTTCATTTGGGTATTCCTTGTTTTACCTGCCTTACTTCAGGAGCTGTAGACGAGAGAGACATGTGTAGGGGACGCTTCCTTATTGGTCAAGGGTCTCCTAGAGTGCTCCTTAGCTGAGAGATGAACTGCTCTTACAGCTGTACCCCGTACGTTGTTTGTTTGGTTATACATGTTGCGTGTGCATGGTTGTGCATGGTTATATAGTTTGATGCCGGGATGCCAAATGTATGAAAGTGCGCACAATGCATATTTCTAAAGTGCCAAGCTGTCTCTTGTTGCGTTTTGTTGCTCTTATGTTGCTCCGTACGTCTGCTCTTCACGAGAGGCATGCGTCTCTTGTGCCAGGAAACTGCTGCCCAGCCAATACTATCATACGTTTGTTGGCAATACCAAGTTGCTGTACGGCATTGCGGTACAACAACTCAGCCTGTAAAGGTCAGTCAGTCAGCAGTCCGAAAACCAGCACCCTTGGGTCTTGACGGCAATGAAGACTGACTTGGGGTGGCAGTCATGCACCCACGGGCATCCATGAAGTTACTAGACGCTGCTGCTGCTTGGATATAAGAACGCCAGGATGAGTCCGTTGTCAATTTGTCCCGCCGGCGTAAGGCGCCCGGCTACATCAGCCGTTTGCAGCGATAAGCGAGTGACCCATGGGTCGGTTGCGGCAAAGAGGAGGGAAAGGATGCGCCCCTCCCGCACCCGGCGCCCCTCATGGTACCACAGGAGGCCACGTAACAGACCCTATGGTGTCATTTTGAAGCTTGCACATTTTGAAGCTTGCGCGCGCAGCAGTCCTCCACAAGCTACTGCTGCCAGGCAAGCAAGCAATTCAGGGGATGCCTGGAGCAGCCGCCTGCTGCTCGCCATGCCCGTCCGAACAGGGCGTTCTCACAAAAGACGCATGCATCTTCCCGTCCCTGCTGGTTCCCGCAGAACTTATATACCGGTAGCAGTCGGAGGTTCGGCTCCCACATTATGCGCATATGTCTCTCAATGCTGGTACTGCACTATACAACCCGGATGGAGAGCACCACAAACGGTATGTGCGGCCGTCGACAACAGCCACTACACGTCCTTTGTACAGATTTTTGCCCCCGACGGCCCCCCATGTGTTATCCACCAGCTCTATTATCAGGAAGCAACCCCGCAAGCCTACTGATCAGCCACTTCACTTCTCCTCACACCTGCCCACAACCTGCTGCTAGCACGCCTGCTAGCGCATCCTGACCTAACAAAATGACTACCGGTACATGCTTAACTACCTGCCTATGGAATGACCTGCCATGGCGTTTAGCGTACGGTATGCCATCCATGCATGCCATGTTCCATAGCTCCCTATCCTATGACTATAACTCTCTATCGCACTACTAGGCCCCATGCCGCCATGCGGACCGCTGATAGCCTATCTAAGCCTTCCGTGCGGCTTAGCAATGCACCTACGCACACATACATACGCTGCACACTCAATCTGCTGCCAAGCCTGCTTACATGCCTTCCCCACGCTCCGAAACCCCATAAACTAGGTAAAGCTGCATGCACTGGCGTGCATGTTAATGCACCATGACCCACCCGAAGTTGCCAGCCTTGTTGCCGGAGATCTGCCCCGCAACCGCTCCATGCAGGCGGGGGCACTCGCAGCGCGGCTTGCCGAGGTAGCGCAGGTCGTGGTTGACGCACTCCGAGCACGTGCGTGAGTACGGACACGGCTGCTGGCGGCGGTGGCGGAGGCGGCGATTCCACGTGCAAGCGGGAATGGGAAAGGAATGAAGGGGTTATAAAGGCAGGGTCCAAAGCGGGTGTTTGCACAGAAAGGTGCGTGGTAGCAAGTACGATGTGGGTTTCGGTCATAGCAACAAAGCCCGCATGGCTACCTAATCCAGACAGGGCGTCAAGTCTAGCGAGCCGTGTTCATGGGGCTGTGAAGGTACCGCAGTAGGCATTAGAGCCGGTTGAAGGACTACACAAAGCGACACGCCTGTGCCTTCAACAGCACGGCAAACGGTGCGGGGCGTGCATGCCTCACTGCAGTTCAAGACCCAGACGTGACTTCGCTGTTCGCATGCTGTCTGAGCGCAGGAAAGCACCGTTGGCCTCACCTGCGGGGCCTCCTGCTTGGACGCCTTGCCGTCCGACGCGGTCGTAGTGGCGCTCGAGCCAGAACTCCCCTGCCGCGCGGGCGCTGTAGAGGAGGAGGCGGCGGTGCTAGGGCCCGAGAGCACCCGGCGTCGGGCCTTGCCTTCCGCGTTGGTGCACTTCCAGTACGTGGGCCTGAGCCAGGACAGGAGGGCGGGTTGACAGGGCGGCATGAGTCCAGATCGTTCAGATAAGTCCAGACCGAAGGAAAGGCGGAAGTAACAGTACACGGCGTGTGGGTCACCCAACAAGGCAATTGCTTTACATGATTCACGCAGCAAATGCAGCTTGGATTGGCCGTTTCACGCCTAAGGACCTGATCTGGGTCACCACCAAACCCAACCCGGATGCCTTCCGGCGGTTCTGCTGGGTTGCCTCACCGGAATCCCTCCATGACGCAGTCGCAGTAGATGCAGACGGCGCTGAGCGGGTTGCACATGGCCATGTTGCCGCAGAACTGGCAAGTGCTGTTCTTGGCGTCGTAGTAGAGGCGGCCGCCGTCCTTGGTGCGCTTCAGGCCGTCAGGCGCCGAGGGGTCCGGCAGGGGCTTGGCGCGCTCGCCCTCCACATCCCACTTCTGCAAGGGGCAAACAACGGGAATGGTAATCAGGATAGGAGGGATGTAAACAGCGGGAGAGCGGAAGGAGGATGGCCGAGTGTTGACCAACATGCTAAGTATGCCTGCCTTTCACACGGCCTTAGATGCCGGGCATGCAGCTGCGTACCTGCTCCTTGCCGCAGTTGGCGCAGAACAGCCGGACGCAGGCGGCACCACGCAGCGGTGTGGTTCTCATGCTAACGCGGGAGAACTGCCGTGTGATGTCAGCGGCGTCGCAAGGGCGCCCTGTGGCAAGCCCGTTGCCGGTCCCACTACCCGCCCCGTTGCTGTTTCGTGTTTGCAGTGGTGCAACCTTCTCATCCCTCTCTCTGCCAACAAGGCTAATGGGTGCTCTAACGGCGTCCTTGGCGCCAGGGGCAGGGGGTTCGTTGCGGCTGGCTCTCGGCTGGATTGCGCCGGGATCGCCGACCTTGCTTGGGGCAGGGGCTACTGGAATCGAGATCTTCGAGCCGTTGACCGCAGAAGCTGCAGCATAAACACTGCTACTGTTGGTGCTGTCGCGGAGGGTATTAGAGCTGTCCCGTGCGGAGTCCCTGTCGGAACTCGATGGGCGCCTTTCTGGGTTGGGATGGGCTGCAGCAGCCCCACCGCCCGTACGACCCTGGACATCCCAACGTGATGAGCCTCTGTCAGGAATGGGGTAGCTCGTCGCCTTATCGTTATCACGGGAGCTCTGGCGTGACCGGGAGCTGTCAACTGTATGCTGGGAAGAGCGCCATGGCTTAGGCGTCAGGACTTTGACATCGTAGGCATACATCATCGTTCCTCCGGTTTGCTGGTGCAGCTCTGTCTCGATATAAAGTCCCGCACATAGGTCCTCGTCCGATAGAGAAGGATAAGTAACATATCCCTGCGTCCAAGTAGAACCTTTAGGTCCTGCGGGCAAAGGCCAACTGCGACATGGGAACATGGCCCCCGCTCACCCTGTGCAAGTACGCTTCCACCCGGCGTCCGTCTCCAAGACTACATTGTACAGTGCCATGACAGCCATCGTACGTGGCAATCCTTCCGCTGTATCGCCTGGGCGGACCTGGCTGCTGCATGCCTTAAATAAGCTTCTCTGCTTCCAAGGACAATCCTATGGTCTATTATGTTTGTGCTGCCGAGCAAAGAGCGTCCTGCCGAGTCTGTGTCTTTCGAGCGTTGTCAGTTAATGCTCTATTGGGGTTGTTACTTCAGGATTAAAGGCTTTCACGTGCTTGTTTACTATAAGTGCACATAATTCTGTTCATCATAATAGGTATCTGGCTCATGGCGAATGCGTGCATTAGCGGATCAAGGTTTGTACGCTGGATTCTGTGGATTCAGGTCCTAGCGGTTGGAGGTGCAGCATGCAGCTATAATTCACGATTTTCCCCTTCGGTAATATGATAAATTGTAATTTCCCGATAGTTTGGGGTACGGTTGGACTCACGGATGGCGCTACACAGATGCATAGCCATGCATGCATCGCCCCGTTGCCACCCTGCTGCACTAGCTTCCTGCTCTGCTGCTGTACAGCTGACATGTAATATGGTTACTACTGTGCTGGTTAACGGCAGCTACCGACAGCATATGTTAACAGGACTTTGGCAAGAACTACACACCAGAGTCTGGCGGCCAGCTCAGGGCCGCTTTGCCAAGTCCGTCCCCGTTTCGAGAACCCTCGTTAAAAACACGAATTGTTGGCACGGAACAGCTATGCAGCAGCAACACACCTGCCGCATCCCCTGCAAGCCTACCTACACATCTCTGTCCCAACTGAACATCCTGTCATGTGTGATAATAAGGCACAATAATTCGCAAATCTGATAATTCGCAATCACGCAAAAGGGCTACACTACACCTTCATTGCAAGCACGCACCTGCAGCCATAACCTGCCACCTGCCACCGTTGGACCTAGTGCACCATGACCCAACCCACGTAGCCTGCCCCGCCGCCGTTGGTGATCTTGCCAGCAACTGCACCGTGAAGCCGGGGGCAGCTGCATGTTGGCTTTCCCGCACCCTTGGCATATTTTCCAGGCTTTGCTTAAGCAAGCAGCACGGAAAAGCGCCCGGTCATCTCGTCGACCCTGTGTCTGCGTCCTTTGCTCTGGCCCCCAGTTGCCGCAACTTTGCGGCACGTGCCACCTGGTTGAGAACTGCAGCCCCGCGGTTGCTGCCAACATGTGGACATGGGGCTGTCTTTGGAGTGCTGGTTGCTTGTTGGGCTGCTGCCGCCGCAGCCACTGCTGTTCCAGCGATTGGACTGTCCCTGGCTGGGTGTCGAAACTGAACGAGCTCGGCAACCAGCTGTGCCCTGCTGAGCTGGTTGGCTAAATCCCTGGCTGTCATTCACAGCTCCCGTGTTTGTGCTGCTGCTCAGCTGCCTTCTCCGACTGCTTCCGCTGCTCGACTCGCAGTAATTAGTAGCGCTACTTGGGAGGGAAACGCATCACAGTCGGCAGCCAGCATGGGGCGTCGCAGCAGCTGTGCATGAGCATCTGTGTGCGATTGTTTCTTTAGGGCCACATGCATGCTTTGCTATGCCAAATCCCGCCTAGTTCAGCACCTCTAGCAACTAGGCTGCAGGCACGAAACAGCAATGCAGTTAACAGCACACCTGCCAGCATCCCCTGCGTAAAATCACCTCTTAAAGTCTTAATCCCTAGCACTTAAAAGTCCTGCCGCATGCGATACCCAATGACTACTATTCCACACGACAAACCTACCAAGCTGCAATCCCGTAAAAACATCCCACTGCACAAATACTAGCGCACCCGCAGCCACAGCCTGCCACCTGCCATAAACCTAGTGCACCATTACCCAGCCCAAGTTGCCTGCCCGGTTGCCGGTGACCTGCCCAGCAATGGCACCGTGCAAGCGGGGGCAGCCGCATCGCGGCCTGCCCGGGTAGCGCAGGTCATGGTCCACGCAGATGGAGCACGTGCGCGCATACTCACAGCCGCCCTTGGCCTGGAGGGGGAGTTGAGGTGGGGACGGCGAGTATAAGGGGTATATCCCAGAGAAAGATTGGGGTATACCGGTATGCATGCATGAATTACACATGATCCAGATGGGGAACAACATGAGGAACATGGCCTACCTCCGGAGCCTCTGGCTTGTCCCCCTGGGCTCCATCGCTACCGGTGCTTGCCGTGGGTCCTCCCGGGGAGCTGCCCCCTGCCGACCCGCTCTGCGTCGCTGCCGCATCATCGCCGGCCCCGCTCCGGCTCCCGGCTGCAGGGCGAGCGGAGGCAGAGGGAGCAGCAGCCGACCCCGTCATGGCCCGGCGGCGGGCGGTCCCGTCCTTGTTGGTACACTTCCAGTAGGTAGGCCTACAAACCGAGGGACACGCGAGAAATGCAAAGGGCTAGAAATCGTACAGTCGCAAAGTCGAAAAGGTTGATCGTGCGTGTGTAGGTGCCAGCACGTGCGACCCAGGTCGTGTTATTGTGTGATCAAAGCGTTGCGACGAAAAACACCTGCCTTAGCAGCCCACCCACCGGAATCCCTCCATGACGCAGTCGCAGTAGATGCAGACGGCGCTGAGCGGGTTGCACATGGCCATGTTGCCGCAGAACTGGCAAGTGCTGTTCTTGGCGTCGTAGTAGAGGCGGCCGCCGTCCTTGGTGCGCTTCAGGCCGTCAGGAGCCGAGGGGTCCGGCAGGGGCTTGGCTCGCTCGCCCTCCACATCCCACTTCTGCACGCGCAAGCGGGTTCATTTCATCCGGTACCAAGCCTCGCAAGGACGTTGCAGGCGAGGATTGCTAACGGGTCCGTGCCTCGTTGGCTAGCGTGGCAGCCAATCCACCCACCTGCTCCTTGCCGCAGTTGCCACAGAACAGGCGCACGAACGCAGCTCCTGGCACCGGCTTGTCGCTGAGCGTCACACTTGCCATCGCGCGCTCTAGCTCCGCTGCAGCAGCAGCGGTGATGTTGCGGCTTGCGGCCCGCCGGCCACGGCCCCTGCGCTCGCTCATGCCCTTGGACCCCCTGCGCCCCGCTCCGCGTGCTAGTACGGCATGCTTCCCGCCCTCAGCAACCCGGGCACCGCCGCTACCGGCACGCGTGTCCGCCTCGTCTTGGCCTGCAGTGTCGCAGCTGTCGCCGGCGCTGCTGCGTGATGAAGCCTCGGGCTCCGGTGCGGTGCTGCTCGGCAGGGTTGCGGCAGCCGCCGCGCAGGCGTTGCTGGCGACTGTCGCGGGCGGGGCCGCGGAGGGCTGACCAGAGGTGCTGCCGCGGCAACGGGTTTCCTCGTCAGGATGGCGAGGGGCCTGCAAAGTGTTCCCATGCGGGAGATGCCGCGACGAGCAAGAGGGCATGTGTCATACGGTGATGTTGTGATTGCAAAGCGGCTGTTGCGCATACTCCTACATTTTACTGATGCGCCCTACACAGGAGCCCACTCACCGGCTCTTGTTGAGGTGTCGATGTGCCCTTGAAGGCTGGCAGGTCAGCCGCCGCAGAGCTACGCCTCCGCATGCGCACGTGTGCTGCCGCGGCCGCTGCAGCCCGCCGTCGGCAGTCCTCCACAACCACACCGCCGCGACGGCCGCGGTTTCCCGGAGGGCTGCGGGCACGCCAGCGTGAGGGGCTGCAGGCTTGCCAACGACTTGGGCTGCGAGACGGGGCTCGCCTAGGGCTACCAGCACGCCGGGCAGGGCTGCGGGAACGGTGCCGAATGGGGCTTCGTGGAAAGTTGCGGGCTTCCGGTTGCTCCCACCTGTCGTTGCTGTGCGCGTCTCGTCGGCCATGCCTGTACGGATCCTGCAATGGCATGCATGCTGCAGCATTAGGAGTTGTATGGAAGGCACCTGCCCAAAGCCAAACACCGGAACGTCATCCAAGCATAACCTCCTTGCTTTGCAGCAGAGAAAGAACACGCACGTGTTGGACGTACCTCCCGTGGGTTTACTGGGCCCCAGCGGCGTGAGGACTTGGCCGGAAGCGGCTGAAGTGCCGCTTGGTTCATGTACGGCACATTCAGCTGCATGCAGGGCACAGGAGGCATCGGTGCACGCTGTGGCGCGCCGTGTTGCGGCCGGCCTACAGGCGCGACGCCGCCGCCACCAGTGCCCGTGTAACTGGATGCACGTGCAGCGCCATCGCCAAGAAAGCTCGCTGAGTTTGCGCCCCCTTTCAGGTACAACGGCGCTCGTGGGGCCGCGGGACGCTCCCAAGCACTCTGTGTCACTGACGCCGGCTGCGGCTGTGGGGCTAATGGCAGCGGCGGCGGCGGTGGCAACGGTTGTGTAGGTTGCGGTAGCGGCGGCGGTGGCGGCAGGGTCTGTGAGGATTGCGGTAGCGGCGGCGGTGGCGGTAGGGGTTGTGAGGGTTGCGGTAGCGGCGGCGGTGGTGGCAGTCGTTGGGTTCCGCTCGCGCTACCAGCAGGCTGCGTCGGGGCCGTGACGTTGGACGCCTCGGCGCCAGGCAGTTTAGGGACCCGCATGGACGTCCCCGGCGGTGGCGGACAAGCTGGCAGTGGTGGCTGCAGCGGCGATGGTGGCGGCGGAGGGTCTTTCGGCAGAGGTGGTTGACCAGGCAATGACTGCATCTGTGGCGTTACTGTTTGAGCCTTGGAGATGGGCCAGATAGAGGCCGGGGGCCACCAGCCGCGAAACGTAAGGGCTCCTTGCGCGGCGGGAGCGGCAACAGAAGCCCCCGCCGTTGCCACAACCCTGGCGTGCTGCTCGCAAGTGCTGGCACCGCTGTTTCCCTGCAAAGGGGGCGCGACCCTGCCGTCCGTAGCAGGTGCCAGGCCGCCTACAGGTTGAGGGGCGGATGCTGACTTCACCGTTGCAGCGGATGCCACCTTGGCGGCTTTCGGGGACTCCGGCAGTGATGGCAGGGAGTTGAGTTGTCTTGGGGGTGGCAGGCTCACACCGGTAACCGCAGCCTGGGCCGGCCATATGGGACCGCTGGTAGTGCCTTGCGGTTGCACGGTCGCACGCAGCGGAGCGCTCGTCCATTGTGACTGGGACGCCTGGGCGGGCTGCTCGTCTGCACGTCGGAAGTTGGACCATTGATGGTTGGCCGCACCGCTAGGAGCAGCTACGCGGTTGAGGGGCTCAACAATGCGTGCGGCGCCATTGCTGGCCGAGGAAGCTGCGCCCGTTACCTTGGTGCCTAGCAAGGGGACGGGGTAGTTTTGCGCTTAAGCACGGGTGAGCGGACTGCAAAAGAGGCAGGACCAGGTGGTCTATAACTCTATACTGGTAGAATCAAGTTAACACCAGCAGCTCGGATATGCAGTGCCCGCAATGCAGCAAACAGGAGATGAGATGAATAGTATGGACTAATCTTCACTTCTGTTTCCCCACGACAGAGTGCCCCAAGCACCTGGCAAGCTTGGCATCGGACCTTGCCACGGCGTCCGGGCTATCGGCCTTTGCATACCCTGACCCGGTGCCGCGGATACCGGCACCATCGGCGCCGTGTTGTTGTAGGGATGGACTGGATCCCATGGCAACGGGTTGAGCACGCGAACGTTGTACGTGTATGGTGCGGCGCCGCTGTCTGGATAGTGAAGCTCAAATTCCAAGTCTAAGCCAATGCGTAAATTGAGGCCGGGTGGGAGCGGCGGGAACACATAGTCCTGCGGCATGCAACGCCTGCTATCAGACTTTGAGTTCTTATTAAGGAGAATCATCCCATATGAACTTACTCTATGTAAGTAAGCTTCTTGCGTGCGTCCCTCAGCAAGCTGGCAGGCTACAGAGCCGCTGCTGCCGTTGTAAGAAGCTATCCGACCTCGACAGATGGCAAACCAGGAGCCATGCGAAGAACGCTGGTACATGACAGGCGCGCTTAGACTGACACTTCAGGAGTCACGCTGCGTACGTAGTGCTTCGCTTTGGAGAATGGATTATGGCTTGCTTGCCTGGCGCAATCCCTTCCGAGCTGTCCAGGGCTAGTGTAAAGCTACGGTAGGGGACTAGCAAGCTTTTTTCACCCTTGCTTTGCCTTTGTATACTGCAATATATCGCGCATCATTCTTGCTGGGCTGCAGAATCATTTTGGATCCATACTGGAACCGACCGTGGGTGTTGGATGCAAGGACGCGTTACTTTCAGAAACGCGTCACGCATATAATTCTGTTTGTCTTCATGTTCGGTGTTCCGTAACTGCTCTGTAATTGCCTTCATCAGCTATGAGCCTCACCATTCGGCAGCGAACCCTAGCACCTTCGGACGAGGCGCCCGGGCAATTGTTACCACGCAGGATACTGGAACACATAGGAATTGAAGAAACCCAGATTGTCAGGAGCACTGCCACGACAGCGCCACCGCACTTCGTCTTATCCTTTGGGCGGCCCCTTCCTGAGGACGAGGGAGTGCCTGGCCGGTTGCATCTTGCTTTGCGTTCCCAGGCACGAAATGCCAGGCTCCGAGCCGGTGAGGGGATAAAGATACAAAAAAGGATAAAGATACCGGCATGGGAAACGGCGAGTGCCGCCCCCCAGTCTTCGCATGCCGCCCCTACAGTAACCCACATCCTGCCCGCGTCCTGTACCCTTTCAATTCCCCCCGTGAACGGCATTTCACAGAGGCCGAGGTGACAGCGAGCACCGCACCAACAGCAAGGCATCTTGCTGACTTGCTGGAGCGCCTAGAGATGACGGTGCGTTCATCCTGCTAGCCATGGCCTCTACCGGTACCTGGCAAAGAAGTAGCCAGGCATCTAGCCAGACCATTATGTCCATTTTGCCGCCGGTTTACCTTATGCGTTGTTCCTACCGGTAATCCTGAATGTCATGGCTCATGGGGTGTCCGGCAATTCCTGCAGGCGTCAGCGGCAACCCGACGGTGTAGGCTCCGCTTGGATACAATAAGCGGGGAGGGCAATGTCAGCTGCTCGCTCGAGGGCAGTGCGGCCGTGACGCCAGGTGGGTCCGTTGACGGCACCAGGGGGCGTGTGGATAGCTAGCCGCGGTGGATCCCGGGTTTGTGTCAACCTGTAGGGCAGAGCACCGGTAACCTCCGCGAAGGCGATGCACCCTCATGCAGCATAGGAGGCACATCCTTATGGCACGCGCGTGAATGCCCAAACCGTGCAGTGGGGGTCCTTCCAAAGCGCTTCTCCTGTATTGGGACGTGGCTCCGAACACTTTCTGGCTGACGTCTGAACTGGGCTGCCGCCTACATGTGGCCCCTGCAGTGCTTTGGCTGTCTGCCGCCCTTGGCAGTGCAACGGAAGCAAACAGTCCCTCCTGGGGTGGGGCTGTGCATACACAGCCGAGCAGGAATATGGTTCTTCAGGCGAGGTGAGGTATGCCCCTAGGCTTAAGGAGCGTGAGGAGCAGACATTGCAGTGTAGGTGTGCCATGCATGACCATCCCGCTGCGCAACTGCATTGCTGATCCCTTAAGGTCCTATGCTACGATGTTCCGTTTACAGGTTTTTTCAGGACTTCATGGCTTCACAAGAGCTGCGCCTCCAGGTCAGGCTTGCCATGTTTGACAGGTTTGCGGAATCGTCACATGTGCATGGGCAGATTTCAAGTAACGAAGTAACTGAAGCGCACGCTTGGCGCCTTAAATTTGCCGCCCCCTTTCCGCAACTGTTGTGTGGATACAGGCACACATGAGGTTGGGGGCTTACGCCCGTATTGTGCCTCACTTAGCGCTTGTGCAAGAGGCGGGGCGGGAAGACATGGATGTGGATATAGGATGCAGGTGAGAAGGCCTCGTGCTGTGCAGAACGTGCACACAAAGGTTCATACACGTTATACGCCAAACACCCTCACTATTTCCTTCCGTTTCCGTGTTCACGAGGCTGACACAGGCCCCCCGCACCCAAATACATCATATGTGTGGCTAACCAGCTGTTATCTTGCTTGGCATTGGTGTGCAGGTTGGAGCTTCAGGGAGAAGTAGAGCCTGCAGTGTCACCTGTGAAGTATGACTTCCTTTCGGAAGTTGTCACGGCCCGGCCAAGCGATTGCCGCGCTCATATATCGATGCAGTTGCGTGTTGACAGCCTTAGGAACTCTACCATAGCTCTCAAATGGAACCTGAGCTGCTCATGATTCAATTATGCGGGGCTAATGCATTTTATAATGCACTCTGCCATAGGTGTACGACCGTCGTGCGGCATCGGGACCGGGCCAAGGGCATGCTGTTTGTAAAGTTTAAACACTTAGTACATTAGTTTGTGCGTAGCTTTGTCTTTGGGAATCTGCACAAAATGGCGCTGCGTCGAGCAGTGGCGACGCTGCTGCCCAAGATTTCGCAGCCTGCCGCCGAGACCCTAGGCCCGGCTGCTAACCATGCAGCTAACTGCTACTCACAGCTGATGGCTGGCCCTCTGGACATGGTGGAGCGCCCGCAGCAGCCTGTTGGCACCTCGTTCCGATGTGAGCACGCCCTCCGGCGGAAGTTGCTGTGGCACCTCCGGGAGCCTTCTTAACACTCATGTTCGTTGTCTTAACCTATGCAGCCTTCGCCGCGGACGCTGTTACGGCCGTGAAGGAGGAGACCAAGCTGACCCCCACAAACCGGCTTTCGATGTCTCCCACGCACCTTATCAAGTAGGGACTGCTTGCTGCGAAATATTAAGGGAAACTATATTCATGGAAGCTGCTATGGGCTTTGGTCAGCACAGTTGCGCACGCATCAGACTCCGATGTCGCCGCGCAGGTACGCCGAGCACCACCACAAGCGCCTTGAGCCAGGGACTGAGGGCCGGCCCTTTGCGTACTTCGTGCTCACTGGTGGGCGCTTCCTGTACGCGTCGGCGGCGCGTCTGGCGGTGCTGAAGATTGTCATGTCGCTGTCGGTAAGCTGAAGCCTTGCGTCCATAGCCGGTGCCGCCCGACAACTGGGAAAATGCTAATTTTCAGTACTATTGTAGGCTGCTGCCGACACCATGGCTATCAGCTCTCTGGAGGTCGACCTGTCTGGTATTGAGGAGGGCTCGACTATCACCGTGAAGTGGCGTGGCAAGCCCGTGTTCATCCGCCACCGCACTGACGCTGAGATTGCTCAGTCGGCGGAGGTGGCCCTGTCGGAGCTGCGCGACGCCCAGAAGGACGTGGACCGCGCGGTGAACCCCAAGGTGCGCCATATCCCGCTCGCGGCCTCGGCTTATGCTCCCCTACCCCAAACGGCATGTAAACGACTTTCCCCCTCCCTCCCTGCAGTACCTGGTGGTCGTGGGTATCTGCACCCACCTGGGCTGCGTGCCCATTGCGGGCGCCGGCAACTACCAGGGCTGGTTCTGCCCCTGCCACGGCAGCCACTACGACATCTCCGGCCGCATTAGGGAGGGCCCCGCGCCCTTCAACCTGGAGGTGCCGGAGTACCGCTTCGTTGAGGAGAAGAAGATCCTCATCGGTTAAGCGGCGTGCACTTCGCGTGGAGAGCAGACAGGAGGCAGGGCCGGAAGCAGCGGTGTACAGCTTTGCACGCCGTGGCGTTCCGTTGGTGGTGATGGTATTCAGTTGCGGCGGCTTATTCGCATTGGACGCCAGTGGTGTCCGGGTCAGCTGTCGATGCAGCATCTGGCAATGAGGGGAGAGCAGCCATTTTGTCTTTCCCCGCATTTTACTCCCAGCGCCAAGTCGCTCCTCTGTTCGTTGCAGCAGAGCAGTCCTGGCGGCTGCACGCAGCTGTCTACAGCTTAACACAGTGGGGCTTGACATAAATCGTAGCGCAGTCCGCGAGCGGGTTTTGTTGGTGTCGATCGTTTAAGTTCGGGTTTCAGTTCGGCGTGCTTCTCCGGCACGGCGTTGGTACATGGTTCTTGATTCCAGCCTGCTTGCGTATTTGCAAGTAAGGGCGATTTAGGTGGGCAACAGCCCCATCCATAAACCAGGTCTCAAGTGTAACCTGCACATATCTGTGTTTTCTCCGGTGTACTCATGATTGCGGATATACACCATTGTCAGACGTCCTTCGTAAGCAACTGGCTTGAGTTAAGAGGTGGCGCAAGATAGCAGTACGGCTGCGTACGCCAGCACCTTTTGTACAGAGGCCAACCTAGCCGTTGAAAATCGCAACATACGATCCGTATTTAGGCTCAGACGGACCCAGATGGGCCCAAAGTTTATGGAAGGCTCGAAATCCATACAATTGAGCGTGAAGTGCAAACCGAACATGTTCAAACTGTTGAGGTCCCAACCACCACTTTCTCCCCTGCGACAAGAGATGTAAGTTCCGAAGCATCTTGCGCCCCCGGCTCCGACGGCCGCCACAGCGACACCAACCAATCTCTAAGCTTCGAGCGCCTGAAAAATACTACCTCAGCAACCACCACCGCCAGCACTACTGCTAAGACCACCACAATGATAATCGTCCCGAAGTTGCCAGAGGAGGCTGTTGCCAACTGCGCGTGATATGGTGGAGCGGGGGGAGAAGAGGGATCGCCGTTTGGTTCACTATCCACCTTTGTAACATTGGCCACGATAGCCGGTGGGAGGACGGCGGGACCAGCGGTGGCGTTCGTTGGTACGGCAGCGGGTGCGGGTGCGTTGGCTGCTGGTTGGTTGGCTGGTGCGGCAGCAGCACGGGCCTCCAGCGCTGATGCCACTTCGCCGCATGGCATGGCCGTGAAGCCCACGCGGCTCTTGCGGCGGTCATACTGCAGAAGCAGGAGATTGGGTTGCGAGTAGCGAGTGTCATCCATAGCATGAACACCTTCCCAGCCCCTCATTTCCAAATCCAAACCAGGCACGCATGCAGCCCCATGCATATGCCCTTTCTCTTCTCGTCCGTGGGGATGGGTTTCGTACCTATTGACCTCGTAAAACCACATCACCAGTGACTCACCGTTACCACAACATCACGCACGCTCACGCCGCCGATGAGCGTGCCGGCAGCGCCGTTGTCAAAGAAGCCAAGGCAGTACTCCGAGGGGCGCGACAGGAACAGGTACCGCAGCGGTGGCAGGGTCAGGCGCGCGTTGCCAGCGAACACAAACTCCGCGGGCGGGAAGAACTCCTCTAGTCCCTGAAAGCCGTCACGAGCGCCCTTCCAGCAGATGTCGTTATACTGCAAGCACAAAACCGGACAGGGTTGCGCCCCTTCTTAGTCGCAAGTCATGCCACGTGGGGACGGAAACCGGAGAACCGCAGGGGTCCGGACAACGGCGGCGGCGGTTCCAAGCCCCAAGCCAATTGCACCTGCGGGTCTGCTCCCGGCGTGCGCTGGAGTCCATGTGCCTCTGCGTACTTTCCGATGGCTGCCGACATGGCCTTGAAGGCGTCGGTTGGCAGGTAGGTGAAGGTGGTGCCGCTGTCCAGCACCACTCCGTAGCCCCGATCAAACATGGCCTGCGTGCGGTCAAACACGTTGCGATGAAGACACTATCCAAGTGCACATTCGAAAAGCCATGGAAAGGAAAGACAGAAGCGTGTTCAGTCCAGTAGCTTCAGATCAGGCCTCAATTCGCGGCTTGCCTGCTTTACGCAGGGCATGCGACTCACCCGGTCCAGTCCTAGCGACTGGCCGTCCACCGTGATGCTGTCCATCTTCACGTTGTAGTAGTGCGTAAACGTGTTGGTTTTCAGCTCGGTGTAGATGGTGCTAGAGCCGTTGGGCATTGCAACATCACCTGCGGGAGGGCAAGATGGGTGTCAAGGCGTTGCCCACGCTGTTTCGAAGGGTTGGATGGGTGTCCCTAGTTACGGCGGGACAGGCGCAGTGTGCAGTCCAAAACAAGCATGTCAGGCACGCTATCAAAAGATGCTCCCTTCCATCCCCGTACTTGTTGCATGGCATGCAGTTCCAACACAGAAGGCACCGTCCGCTGCGCTAGGCCTGCCTCACCTAGCAACAGCAGCCCGTCTTTGGGGTATCCGAAGCACAGCGAAAACACATCCTCAATGACGCCCCGTGCAACCAACTGCAGGACAATGGACAGGGAGCTTCGGCTGTTAGGAAATCCTCGCCCTGACCCAAATGAGTTAAGCTGCTGAACCCTGACCCAATTGAGTTAGGAAGTCCTAACCCTGACCCACATCGGTTCGGCAAGGCAGTGAGGCACGGCACTTCACATCGCAGCCAGCACACGGTACGGCACAAGGCAGCGGCAACAGCTGTACTCTCCATGGCCGAGCCCGCCACCACCACCACACCCCGACCAGCGCCGCACCTGGCTCTGGAATGCGTTGTTGTTGTTGCCCATGCCCATAATGCCGTCCGCCATCTGTCGGTAGATCTCGCCTGTCTCGCCGTTCTCGCAGCCAAACACCATGCGCACGGGCGGCTCGTCGTCCGGGAAACCGAACGCGTCCTCAATCATCCACCCCTCGCTGCTGCTCTTCTCCGCTGCGAGCCAGGGTGAGGGCATTTGGGAACTCGTGGATGTTAGTTAAGTCAGCCAACATACGTCATACAGCTCCCCGCGGGAGTCCCATGCGAACCGTACGAACGTATGCTGGCCTTAGCGCCTTCCCGTAGTAGGCCGGTCAATTAAGAGGCCCATTATGAGGCCTATGCTCCAGCGCAGCAGCTCCCTGGCATGGAGGCACGTATGCACCCCCCGGTGTCCGGGTTTCCTCGCCGCTCAGTTTATCTACCCCCCCTGTGGATTTGTTGTTTCACTTTTATATAATTTTTTCCCCCCTGTGTCGCCAAGATGCCCTGGCCCACCCCATCCGACCCTACGTACCGTACGTGCGGGAGTAGTAGCAGCGGCTCTCCTTGCACCAGCAACTGGGTGAGCCGCAGTTGCACAGCGGGTCCTTGCATCCCAGCTTCTTAGCCGTGGACGACGCATCTGGGTCAAACCATTCGTCCTGCATGCAGTGAGCGCCGGGTGGCTTAGACGCTGCCTGACAGCAAGGTTGCGGCGAGCCCAGTTGGCGTTAACGGCGTGGTAACTGCATCCCACGGCAGTCTCCCGCGTCTCTCTCTTGCAAATTGCTATTGGAATATGGGATAAAATGTGCTTGCATGGTCAGTTTGTTGCGATGTGGAAGCTGGCGCCCGCGAGCAACCATATACCCCCACCTGGTGCTTGCCACAGTGCGCACACCCTTTGCAGGGTATGTACGTGATAGTGCTACCGGTGTCGATGATCACGCTAAAGGTCCGCGCTGGCGTCCCCAGTTTCAAGGTGGTGTAGAAGTACCTGCGTGGTTGCCGGATGCCCATCGTTTGCAACATGCTACAGCCGCTGAAAGCGCGGGGCCGCAGTCTCACCCTACTTCACGCACAGCGCCTTGCACAGGTAAGACACCGCTCCTCAGAAGGTGCCTCCGCGACGATGGCTGCTCGCGTTGCCTTAGCGGAACCACGAAGCCACCAGGTTGGCGCAGCACCCTCCTGCTGAAGCCCGTTCCGTTAACCGCAATCCCTGCTGCATGTCCTTGGCTGGCAGCCAGGACCACTATTAACACTAGCCCCAAGAGCATCCCTCTCGACGCCCAAAAGAGTGGGACTTCAGAGAAACCAAATAATGTTACCCCCTACTGATCACTGCATCTCATGGGTCACATTAATACGTAAGAAGTCACAGTTGTGACTAAGGACAGGAATTCGGCTCATGTCTTCTAGGGTCATGGTACGGTAAACGACAGCCGACCGGGCCACCTGCAAATGAGAGGAGCGAGTTACTGTATAGGGCTTGTAAGCCAAAGATGGTCCTTATGCGGTATTAAAAACTAGGTTAAACCTTGTCGCGCAGACGGTGAAGTTAATATCTTGCTCGACACCAACTTCGCTTCTCGACAAGTACTTAGCGAAAAGCAGCGATGGATGATGAAGACATACCCCTCGCTGTGGAGCTCAATGAAACGCCAGGTGCTGGGTTTCTTGGAGCATCTGCCACTTCGCTGCAGCCGCTGAACAGCCACCACGGGGTGCACAACGCAGGGGATGAGCGTGAACAAGGCGAAGACGATAAACAGCAAGAGAAGACGACTGTTCCCGTCACAATTGTTACTGGTAAGGAAACGGGTTAAGAGTTGACCCCGAGGCAGACATGAAGGCTACACCCGCTTGGGAAAGGGGGGAAGTGGGGCGCCGATTATGTTCGCTTCAAGCTCAGGAATGGCATCCCTGCTGCTTATGCAGCCTACAATGCATCCTCTCTAGCAGTCTTCACAATCGATTTTCGTCATTGTCTCCCAACCCCAGGATTCCTTGGCGCCGGCAAGACCACCCTCGTGAAGCACATCCTCACGGCTGACCACGGCTACCGCATTGCCGTAATCCTTAACGAGTACGGCGAGGATGTGGGCATTGAGAGCAGCTTTGTGCAGTCAGAGCAGGTGGGGGCTAGGTATGATACGAGGGGTTGGGGGGCGCATGGGCAACACAACACAACACCAAAAAGCGCTCACATGCAGTAGCACACTTCCCGACGGCGTAGGGCCCGTGTCATTCGATAGCGATGTAGGCGCTAAGAGTAAGCGAGCGTGTGAAAGAAACCCAAATCACCCCTCACATCCCACCTGCGCTCACCCGTCCCTCGTATCTCAACCCCTACCCTCCCACCTGCGCCTCTTCCACCCTCCCCCTCCACCCTGCCCCTGTCACGCAGGGCCTGCAAGGCGCAGACGGCGGCTGGGTCGAGCTCACCAACGGCTGCATGTGCTGCGCCGTCAAGTCCGACTTCCTGCAGGCCCTCGAATCCCTGCTCGATCGCCCCGGCGGCCGCGCTTTCGACTACATCCTCATCGAGACCTCGGGCCTGGCCAACCCCGGCCCCATCGCCACAGCGCTCTGGACAGATGCGGAGCTGGAGTCACGGGTTAACCTGGATGGCGTGGTGACGGTGGTGGATGCGGTCAACATTGACCGGCAGCTGCATGAGCCGCGGCAGCAGGGGGTGGTAAACGAGGCGCAGCTGCAGCTGGCGTATGCGGACATTGTGGTGCTGAATAAGGTAGGGGTGAGGGTTGATTGTGTCGGGTTGGAAAGGAGGGAGGTGCTAGAAGGGTTGCGCGAGGCCTCAATGGACGTGCCCGCGCCTCAACCAACACCTCAACTCCTTCCTGCTTGCGGCTCCCTCCCTGCCCTGCCCTGCCAGCTGGACCTAGCTGAGGAGGAGGCGCTGGTACGGGCGGAGGCGGACATCCGCGCCATCAACAGCAGCGTCACCATCGTGCGCACGCAGCGCAGCACCGTGGACCTGGGCCTCATACTCAACAGGAACGGATACAGGTGGGGGGGTGCAAAGAGGAAAACTCACGAACTGTATGACGAGGCTACAGGGGGGCGAAGAGGAAGAACCTGACGATGGCTGGGGGGGGCCGAACGGGTGAGGGGAAAAGAACCTCCTGTGGCTGCATGGTTTAGTGGTGAGATGAGGTGGTGTGCAGGGTATAGGCTGGGCAGGCGACTTGGCCATGGCGCATGCTTCAGCAAAGAAAATGGTTGTGAATGGCGTGGTGTGGCCATGCGTCCATTGACTCATCCTGATAACTCCTCAACAAAATGCTGTTCAGGACACAACCCTTAACGCCCCCAAACGCACCCGTTGTCCCTTGCAGCCACAAAGGCGACCTGTGCCTGCCGCCCATTGCGGAGGCCGACGACGAGGCGGAAGCAGGGGAGGCCGCGCAGGGCCGCAACGCTGCCGGCGCCGCCTCAACCACCGGCGCCGGGGCGGGTACTGCCACCTCGGAGCGCACCAGCACCGCCGGAGAGGCCCCCAGCGGTCGCCGCCGCTCCACCGGCGTGTCCTGCTGCTCCTCCCGCGCACATAGCTTCCACGGCAAATCCGGGCCGGCCGCCAGCTCAATAGCCGCCGCGGCGGCGGCGGCGGTGGCGGCGGCGAATGCGTCGAACGGCGGCGGCGAGTCGGCGGAGCTGACACCATCGGATTCGCTGACGGCGGCGCCGCCGCTGGTGGCCGCGGCGGTGGCGGCGACGGCAGCGTCTGCGCCTTCTTCGGCGTCGCAGGTCATGCTGGCACCGGCCCCTGAGGGGGGTGTTCCGGATCATGTGCACGATAGCCAGGTGTCGACGATCAGCCTGCACTGCGAGCAACCCGTGGATCTAGACAGGTGAGGGGTTGGCAGCAGGCTGTGGGCTCCGCCATGCGGACGCTTGCGATATCGGGGTGCCTGCACTTGCCAGCGTTACCTGCTACTGGGCATGGTTCTTGCTCAAGCCCTTGTCCCTTGTACCAACGCTTTCTCAATGCCCCTCCAACGGGGTTATAGGTTCAAGTCGTGGGTGGATCACCTGCTTTGGGACCGGGAGTCGAGACCAGAGGAGATCTACCGCATGAAGGGGCTGCTCTCGGTGGCGGGAAGCGACAAGAAGCACATGCTGCAGGCAAGTGCCAGTGGGTGTTGCTACCGGTATTTCCCTCGCAATCGGTGGTTGCATGGTGCGTAATTGATTGTCCCTGGCCTCTGCCATGCCCTGATGCTGGGCACTGCACCCTGTCCCTGCCCTTTTCAGGCGGTCTACGAGCTATACGAGGTGGTTTCGGGGCCGGAATGGCAGCCAGGCGAGGCACGTGCCACGCGGATTGTGCTGATTGGTCGCAACCTGCGGCCGTCAGCTGTCAAGGCGTCCTGGGCTAGCTTCCTGGAGCATGAGGAAGGAGGCAAGGAGCTGCACTGAACCCTTTCTTGGTGACGGAGTGCAGGCATGGCTGTGTCTAGTCGCTGCAGGGATTGTGCAGCGTCACGGCATTATGGCGTACAGTAGGGCGCCAGTAAACGGAGGGTTATCGTCGGCTGTCATGCAATAATGCTGCCGCGTTAACGAGGAATTTGAGAACCTAAAGACTGAAGAAATAGAAACGCTGTGGCGAAACACAGTGAGAAGATATCCGCATTACGGTACCTCGTGCACATGAGGGCTATAGTACAGGCTCTCGTACACTTTCGAAGCAAAAGAGGAGTATGAGGCGCCCGGTTGTTGCGGGCGAGGCAGGCAAACTGAGTTAGGAAGCAGCATGTTCACAGGAGCACTATCCTCCAAGGTCCTGGAAGCGCATACACGTGTGCGGAACCCGACGGCGTGCGTGCGTCGCCATGCACTGTCACGGTTGGCATTGCCACAGGTGCTTCCAACTCTCATCAAGCGTCTGGCATTAATCATATACACACGGGCGCCTTTGCTTCTTTTTAGGCAGGGGTTAAGCTATGTTGTACCCTGGGAGAAGGCATTATGGACGTTGCACTATTACCTTCAGGGTCCATTGGGAAGTTATGGATTGGGGGTAATGTGGGGGTGTGCACGGGTTGGCGAATGGGCTCTGCTGCAGCCCACTAGGGCTATGCCTGCACGGATGGTTTGTTTACCGTACTGTTTGCGCGTGCAAATTATACTTGTCGTCGAGGACCACTGGCCAAAACGACAGGATTTGCGCGTACTAGGGTCTACCGTCAGAGGCGAGATGGGCTGGCTGATTTAGGTTTAGGATTGGAAGGATGCTCCCAGGATAGGCGAGGAGGGTACACAGATGAGCTGAGGCCAAGAGCTGAGGTCATCAGAGCGCTATGTTTCTTTTCGAGGCTGATAATGGCGTGATGATTCCGCTGTTCGCCGGCAGCTAAACGTGAGTTCAGGACAACTCAGTTACACTGTTGGTGCTGCACTTTTGCATGGTTGTCAGCCAATCATGCGCTGTAGTAGAGGGCTTTAGCCGTTGAATTCGGCACCGTTGCCACGCTGTTTGCTGCAGTACGGCTGCAGCTGTTTGGGGAAAGGCGCGGAAGTTATTTAGGCCATGCAGCAGTACGCAGGAGGTAACGTTGGCGTGGCTTCCAAAATAGGGGGTTTGCGTTGCCGTACATTGTTGTAAGGACTCGTGTGGCCCTTGAGGAGGTGGGGCCCGTGTTTCCTCCTTTAACACGTTGGGTGCGCTCGGAGCAATTTGTCGGAAATGAAGGATGCCAAGTGCGTCCTACTGGCGGGGCACTAGCCTAATGCTCCGCACAGCAGACATCAGGGTTTGTGCTGCCAATGCTCACGCCTTCACTGTGGCAAGAGCATGATAACCCTGGTAGTACACAGCGTGACTAGGACGACATAAGGGTTCGCAGACTCTATGAGATGCCCTAGGTCGCCGCATTAGCGCGGGTAGTGTGTGTTACGGAGCTTACATGCCGAACCCGAATGTCAAAATGGTCTTTAGAGTACAGCCCATATAATGTGATGCGGCTGATGATGGCTGATGTCTATTTGCCCACAGATAACCCGTTTTGGCTCTTTGAGCGGAGGGGGCTGTTCGGCAGTTGCCGTTGCCGTAGCCCTGTAAGCACGTACAACATATCAGTCAGGCAGCTCCGTTTCCTACTATCGGCTGCTAACATACAAGTGCTACATATGCGTATCACTGCTATATCGCCACGTTAGGTTGCTGCGGCTACGTTGGTACCATGACTCGCACAGTGCAAGCGCTTCGAGCATGCCGCATGCTTCGATCATTATCGGCAGCTAATGTTTCAGCGTTGCAGCTACCACTTGCCGCGACAAGCGTAGTTGGCTGTCAAGCGTCAACGTCTGGCGGTGGCTGTGACCACGATGGCTGCAGAGGTCTACTTTCGTTTGGCCAACACCTAACAGTTCGTCTCTTCAGCTCTGGACATGAAAATGGTGGATCCTTTGCATCTGGCGACCGTGTTGCGTCAAACTCCCGCGACCCGCTTGAGAGCTCAACCAATGCCCGGATTCGGGAGGTCGCAACAACTCTCAGCAACACGCTACCAGTTAGCTTGCACTACGACCGTGGCGAGGTGCCCATACCGCCGGACTTGGACAACCCTCTTGGGCGCGCGATGTTGCGAGTGATGGGTTTTGAGAGCAAGAAGAGCAAGCTCTTACACGGTATGATGCTCAGCTTGCACACACACCTACGCTTTCCACGCACTGCTGCGTCATGCCTTAGCGAGATTGCTTGCTTGCATCATACTTCCCCACCCTCGCCTCACCTTGAAGCCTCTCCAGCCCGTGCACACCTTGACCACATTTCGCCGCTTCACCATCCTCTCCACCCTTCCCTCTTGTTCCCTTGGTCCCTCCTCCCAAAGCGGCCCAGCGGTTGTACGAGGCAGTGACTGAGCAGGTGGACTCGGGCGTCCTGCAGAAGTGTAAGTCAAGGCCCTGACAGCCTCATGTCCACACCCAATCCACAACCCAATTCGGCCCTTCCCTCCGCCTGCTCCTGCTCCTAGCCTCCCTCAACCCTAGCCTCCCCTTAACGACTTGGTATCTGTCTGACCTCTCCCTTGCTCCTCCCTTTCTCCTCCACCTCTCCTCACAGCCTTCCAAACGGGCAACGTCTTCTGGTCCACCTACGTGCTGCTCTCGCTGCACGTGTGGCTGGTCATCCACCGCCTGCGCACCTCCTCCCACCCCGACGTGCGCTTCTTCCGGCAGCGCTTCTACAACCAGTTCCAGCAGGATGTGGAGTTCAGGGTGTATGCGGCGGGCGTGCAGGTAGGGGTACAGAGGTGGAGGAAAAGGGCAGGAGGGCACCCTGCAGGGGTGCAGGTGCGGGGGGGGTGGAGAAGAAAAAGAAGAAACCTAGAAAGTGGGTCCTAGTATGCCGCCGCCCGAAGTGGTACCGTATAACGCCCAGATACCGGTACCGAGCCGGATCGTAAGATTCTTCACCGTGACGCGATGTTATCGACAGGTGGGGGTGGTCAAGTGGCTGAAGAAGCTGGAGGAGCACTTTTACGAGACGTCCTTTGAGTTTGACAAGGTGCGTTCAGTGCTGGGTTGGGCGCGCGGGCCTAAGAGGGCGGGTGGGTGGGTTGGCCTAGTAGTCGAGTAGTTACTATAGCTACCCCAGGGTTAAATTCCCTGCTTTGGCTTGACCAGCTTGGGTTGGCCTGGAAGGGTCGGCAACCTTGACGTGCAGCCCAGGAGGGACTGCCTACATGTCACATAGTTGATTTTCCCGCTTTTCCCCTCCCTCTCCTGTTCTTAACACCTTCAATTTCTCTCCTCCCCAACTGTCCTTAACTTCCTTCCCCCAATCGTCCCAACCCCAACAGGTGCTGGCGGGCGAGTCGCAGGAGCGGTTGGCTGACGTCATCCTGCGCAAGTACTTTGGAGGGGAGGAGCGACACCGGTGAGGGGGCGCCTGGGAAAGTGGAAGAGGCGGCATGAGATGGGGAGGGGAGGGCTTAGCCTGAGTCGCCGCTAAGGTTTACGGCTTCCTAAGAACGCAGTTAGCTCCGCAACCCTCACCCGCACCAGCTGCCTCCTTGTCCCCTGCTTCTCCCTCCCTCCTATTACCTTCACCACCGGTTGCCACGATCATTAACCCACCCGGCCTTCTTTGTTTTTCCCCATCGTCCCTCTCCCGCGTCTCATCAGCCCCAACGCCGAGCTCCTGGAGCGCTACGTGACCCGCGAGTTGCACTGCCTGACCCTCACGGACGAGGAGGCGGTGCTGCGGGGGCACGTGCGCTTCAGCACCGTGCTAGCGGGGGCGGTGCGGCGAGCGGGCGTGAACTCGCCGGCTGAGGAGGCGGGCGCGGGGGGAGGTGGCGGAATGGGAGTGGGGAGTGCCGAGGAGGGCTTGGGGGGGAAGAGCGGATTGTAAAGTGGGTGGGGGGTGTACAATGAGGGGGCGAGGGGTTAAGGGGTGAGGAGAAAAGGAGGGGCGGGTGATGAGGTGGGAAAGGTGGGTGTTTGCGAGCGAGGGGAATGGAGAAGGGAGGCCAAGGCGTGGTGTTGGGAGGTTGGTTAGGAGGTTGTTGTTAGGCGTGATCGTGTAGGGGTGTGGGGGTGAGACTATACGACTTTAATGATTCGTTTATCAACAACCCTTGCTATGATGAGGAGCGGCTGTGGCCTGGATTCATCGTTCACATCCACCAAGTTAATCGTGCTGTCTGGCTGGGAGGTCTTGGAAGCAACTGTGCATCATGTAGGCAGAGCGGATACCCGAACTCAAAGTAAGTTGATAGCTCTCTGCTTACAAGCGAGGCAAACCAAACTAGTTGCCGAGGGAGCCAAGAGGAAAACCTCCCTCGACGCCATGCAAGGAAACCGTACACTCCTAACCTAGACCTGCCCACGGCTGAACCCTCCACTCACAAGTCACACAAGGACATGACCCTGTACACATCTGCACCACACCCCCACGGGGAACCTAATATCGTCAAGTCAACCCTTTCTCCATCCATATCTTCGTATCGCCAGCAGTCGCAGCAAGTTGGCCGCAACTCATTATGGCGAAACCCGGAATACTGCGGCACCGGGACGCGTATCGCAGTCCTACCAACGGCCTTGGCGACTGCTGTCATTAGCTCCAGCGAAAAGCCAGCCCTACATCCCTCTCCGGCGGGCGGGATCCCAACCGACGCTTGCTTAACGAGTCGGCAGCAAACGGGTCCACCATTCCCGCCACCCGTTAATGTCGGGATTAACAGCAACGACATGGCGGACAGTGCTGCTGCTGCTGCTGCCAGTGATGCCTGCATGCTCCCGCTTAGAAGGTCAGGCCCGCAGCACGGGCAGCATCCGCCACGGCCTGCAACCGAGAGGCGGGGAACCGTTAGGAACGGTGGATATGGACAACACGTGCCTACCCGTGGTCTGGAATGCATTGCAGTCTTTATGGACCCGTGTCATGCGCCCACGCATACACAGTGCCTGGCTGTTTACGTGGTGTCGTACACTCCCTGCAGGACCGCCCTCCCAGCCGCTGTACAGTCGTACACCTACCTTGATGCGGCCGTGGTACTTGAAGCCACCTCGGTCGAAGCAAACCTTCTCAATGTTCTTTGCTTGGCAGGCCTCCGCAATCTTCTTGCCAACCGCCTCAGCAGCCGCCTGCCAGGCAGCAACAGGGCAGCAGGAAAGACACTAGCACGTTAGTTCACATACGGTTGGCAGCTAAGGCGGTAAGGCGGCGCTAAGCTTAGGACCCAACCTGTGCGTGTTTATGTGCGAACTAGCCGCAGCAACTGGTCGTGAGCCCATGCCCAAGCCTTCCACAGCTACCCTCAAACCCCTGTGCGAGCAACTTTGCCTCGCCAAACCCTCACCACATTGGCTCCGTTGCCCTCCAGGGACTCCCGGAGGTCCTTCATCACGGTGCTCGCCGCGGCAAGAGTGTGGCCCGCAATGTCATCAATGACCTGCAGGTGACATGCAAAGTGCAAACCGGTGATGTGCAGCACACGTATCTGGCAACCGACGAAGCAGGCACACTACTGGGGCGTAAATGCTCCTAGAACTTCCCAAACCGGGCATCTATCCCGCACGGGAACCAGGTACAAGCATCCAGGGCCGCACCAACCTGGACGTAGATGTGCTCGTTAGACTTGTAGACGGCCATACGGGGGCGCTCCGCGGTGCCGCTTAGCTGTGGCCGTGGAGGGTGTACCGTCACGAGGGACCCGCGTAAGGAAGGGTGCGTCTAATGACAACCACGGTTGGGTATGCTGGGCCAACGACCGCTGTAATTCAGCTAAAGGATGCTGACCCAGACAATTTCCACCACAAACGTTATCTATGAAGGCCAGCGCACCTTCTTGCGGATGCGCTTGTGGCGAGCTTGCGTGCTAGCCTTCTTTGTGTCCGCAACCTTGGCCACCACAGGCGCGAATGCGCGGCTTACTGCATCAGGCCATACGAACATATACTGTAAGCCACATCAAAACTTAGAGCGATCCATGGAGCCGCAGAAAAGGAGCAAAGTTATCCAGACAGCTGCAAGCCGCAAGTTGCTGGTCGGCGTGTCACCAGAAGGCATGGGTGAATGCAATTGGTAAGTTGATTAGGTATATACGTACCAGGGCGTGTGGGGGCTAGGGTGGGAAGGGCAGATGCCCTGAATGTGCACGTCTGCATTCTGTCGTTAATTATGTTACAAGTTCACCTAAAGATAGAACTACCTAAGGATTACAATTTGCGTCCAAGATGCTGACGTATGGGTGAAGGCAGGAGCACGCTGAGCTCCCACCTGGAGGGTCCAGGGGAGGCGCAACACCCAGACCCTCCCCCTAGTAACAACCGAACTCGTTGACTTGAACGACAAGTGCATTAACGTCGTTTTACCAAGTGGTTGTGTTTTTTTGGGAAACTCACGGCTTCGCGTGCCACATCCCTTTGCGCCATGGCTCATAACGCCATGGCAGCAGCAGGGCCTGCAGCAGCTGGAAAATGGAAGGTCCGTCAGTACAATACACTGTTAGTTCTTGCGCGTCGTGCAAAAGTCATCCCGATTCAGCTGCAACCTGTCGTCCATCATCGCCATCTCTCTCCGCCACTTCAGGCCTGCATTTTGTCCCTCTTTCTTTCCCTCCGTCCGCCCTTTTACCCCTTAGCTAAGAGCTCTGCCTAACCCACTCTCGCGTATCCTTTTCAACAATTTCTTCAGCTGCTGTCCCGCCGCATCGATGCCACGGACACCCCCGTCATTGACTTCACTCGTCGTGTCATGGCCAAACGCAAAGACGCGCTTTCACTAGCACAGGTACGCTCCAATACACCTCCGCAATTCAACCTCGCACATCCTCGGCATCAGCACCTCCTCCTTCCCCCCTTCCTACCTTACTTTCCTTTCCTTACCCCAAACCCCTTCCTGCTTCCCCGCTTACCGCTCACCACTATAACACTCGCTCCCGCCCTTCTTCCGCCTCCTTGTTCCTTCGCTCAGGGTATCGTGCACTGGGGCCCTCCCCCTGCCGCCCTGGAGCGCCTCTCAGCCCGCCTGGCCGCTGACCCTGCGGCAGTCAGCGGCTACGCGCCCAACGAGGGGCTGCCGGCGCTGCGAGCGGCGCTGCGGCACAAGCTGCTGGAGCGCAACAAACTGCCGCATGTGGGGGCGGGTTGGGGGGGGAGGTTTGAGGAGAATGCCCAATGTGGTGAATGAGAATTGTGTTGGTGGGGGTGGTCTCACCCATTCCTAACGAGACCTTTGGGGGCGGGAGGATGGGCTAGCTGGTGCGGTTCTGGACACGGCAGGATTGGACTGTTTGCGCCTGCATGCATGCGTGCTTGCTTGATGCTGGCGACTGCGCTCGGCTTCCTGACCTGATGAGGGTGATGACCGAATGACAGCTGCCCGAATGACAGCTGCACTCACTGAACTCCTCCCTGCCGCCTCTTGCCCCCGCCTCCCTCTCCGCTGGTGATGTACGGCATGCCTCACGGGGCGGTGACGTCATTGTACAACAGTACGACGTCATCGTCACGCCGGGCTGCAACCAGGTGAGACGTGACCTGTGATGTGATGTGATGTGAGCTGTAGCTGGCTGGCCGATTTTGGTAACCCTTGGTCAGAAACCTCGGGTGAGGTCGCCGACCCACGGTACTCTTCCTTTCCCCAGGCAGGCGCATTCCCCCCTTAGTTAGGATCCATGCACCGAGCGCCTCTGCCTCTCCCTCTTAACATGTGGTTGTGTTCTATCTTTGACCCCCTGTCCCCCCCTCGTCCCCCCCCCCAGGCCTTCCTGAATGCGCTGCTGGCGCTGTGCGACGTGGAGGACCGGGTGGTGCTGTTCCGCCCCTACTACTTCGACCACCTCATGGCAATGCAGGTGGGGGGAGGGGGGAGAGTAAATGCCAAGTGCAGCTACCGGGGGATAGCTGGGGAGTGAAAAGCGGAAACTGGCTAGCTGTATGACGAGGCTTCGCCATGGGTTGCTACATTGAAGCCGGCCCGTCCCACCCCATTGGGTCGTCCTCTCCTCCCCTCACCCCTTCGCCAACGGGTCTTCCCATGGTCACGGTCAGTGTTTCCTCGCGGCTCAGTTTACCTAATCAGAGTAATCACTCCCCCCCGTAGATGGATACTAACCAACATTTTGTATTGTGGCACCCTGCCGCCTCCTACCGTTATCCACATTGCTTTGCCCTAACCTTTGGCTTCCTATGGTTCGGTATGGTCTTCTGCCCCCCCCCAGATGACCGGCAGTGCCGACCGGGTGGTGTTGGGCGAGTGCGACCCCGCCTCGCAGCGCCCCTCCCTGGAGTGGCTGCGGGGGCAGCTGGCGGGACCGCAGCCGCCCAAGATGGTGGTGCTGGTCAACCCATGCAACCCAACGGGTAGGGAGGGGCCGGGGGGGGCCGGGCTGAGGGGCGGGTGGAGGAGGAGAAAACGTTAGGTTCGAACGTCCCGAAAACACCAACAGCTTAACCCAGACACCTGAGAGGACTGCCATGATGAGAGCGGTGAGGGGCTCCTGAACGCATGCATCTTGGCCTTGTTCTTCTTCTCTCACCCGCCCCTCTGTGACCGCTTCCCTCCCTCCCCCTTTCCTAGTTGTTTGACTCTAGTTGTTTGCATTTCTTATATAATTTTCCCCCCTCCCCTCCCACCCCTCAGGAGTACTGCTCACTCGCGGCGAGCTGGATGCCCTCAGCTCCCTGTGCGCCTCTGCGGGCTGCTGGCTGGTGCTGGACAACACGTATGAGGACTTCATTTTCGCGCCAGGTGGGGGGCCGGGTGGGAGGGGGTGAGCGACCCATGGGTCGGAGGATAAAGAAAGAGGATTGCTGTGTTGTGACAACTCGGATCTGTAGGTTGTGTGGTCGGTGGGTCGGACCCATGGGTCGGTGGGTCGCCGGAAAGGAAGGAAGGAGAGAGCTGCAGCGGCACCTGGCATGTGTTAATGTTACCGCCTGCCTGCCTGCCTTTTTACCCGCTTACCTACCTGCCTGCCTGCCTGCCTGCCTGCCTGCAGACGGCGAGCACTACTGTCCCGCGGGTCCCCACGTGATCCACCTCTTCTCCATGTCCAAAGTGGGTACATGACGCCCGGCACGCCTTCTCGTGCGGATTGGTGCGCTTCCTAGCCGCCGCTGTGCATGGCGGGCGTACCTTGTGTGCACGATGCGACCCTGCGACACCCGCGTGGTCGCGTTTTCATATCGTATCACGTTTTCTTGGCCACACTAGTCCTTCCGGGGCACCACCGCTTACCGGCAGGCAGACAGACAAGAGAGGTAACACAACTATATGAGGGCTAACCTACCTGTGATAACCTAATCCTCCGCGTGTTTTGTTTCGGGGCTTTCTTGTATGGCAACAGGCGTACGGCATGATGGGTTGGCGCATCGGCTACATCGCTTTCCCCGACTACCAGCACCACAACAGGGACGTGGAGGGGGAGAGGGACGGCTTTGCAGCGGCAACCGCAACAGCTGCTGCTCCTGCTGGCCCTGTAGCAGCGGCAGCAGCAGCAGACGGGGCAGCAGCAGCAGCAGCAGCAGGAGGTGGAGGTGCTGGTGTCAGCGCTGATGCCAGATCCGCAGTTACACAACCGTCGTCAGCGGTTGCAATCGGGTCGGCCCCGGGCGCCCTCGGTGCCGCACAGTTGAAGGTAAACAGTTGTACGGCAGCTTCCCGTACTTTCCTGTATCGTACCTTTCCACTGCAGCCTGCTCGCTGTATGGCTGGTTCCATGTTTTTTTCTCGCTACTCCCTTCTTCCCCAGCCTTCTGCCGCCCCTTTCTGCTCCCCATCTCCCCAATTCAACGCATTGGGAATTCCTCTGCTCCCCATCTCCTCCCCCCTGCTGCCCCTTCCTGCTCCCCGTCTGCCTCCCTGCTGCCTCTTTCTGCTCCCCATCTGCCCCCCCTTCCCTACCGCAGGTCCAGGACGCGGTGTGTATCTGCGCCCCGCAGCCCAGCCAGCTGCTGGCCCTGGAGGCGCTGGGGCCGGGAGGCGGCGACTACGTGCGGGAGCACATACAGCAGCTGACGGGTGCGGGCGGGGGGGCGGGGGCAGGGGCGGGGCGCGTTTGGTAGCAGGGCGGGTGCGTTTATAGCATGGAAGGCAATGTGCTTTACTTCGAAGCTTCGGGATCATAAGTGGCGGTGTCACAACGCCTTTCACCAAGCCTTGGAAACCCCCCGCCTCCCTCCTCCTCTCCACCCGCCCGCACAGCCAACCGCGACCTGCTTCGCTCCGCGCTGGCGCCCCTGGAGCCGCATGTGGTGGGCGGCGAGGGGGCCATCTACCTTTGGGCGCGACTGCCGCCCAGCTGCTGCCGCGGCGGCAAGGGGGGCAAGGGCAGCAGCGATGGCAAGGAGTGCAAGGAGGGCGAGAAGAGCGGCAACGGAGGGGGCGAGGGCGAGGTGGATGGCGTGCCGAGGGAGGAGGAGGAGGAGGAGGTTGATGACCGGTCGGTGGTGGAATGGCTGGTGGCGCAGGCGGGCGTGTGCGTCATACCGGGATCAGCGTGCGGCATGCCGGGTGAGCGCTGTGCCGGTACACAGGGTGGGGTGTCATGTGCGCTGCCAGGTGTGGTTGGGAGGGGGCGGGGTGGATGGTGGTGGTGATGTAACCTCCTCCAGCTACCCAATGAAGCTCCTCAGCTTTATGTCGAGTACACCATTGAGTACTTTATCTTACCTCACCTCCTCTCAACCCACCCCACCTCACCTCACCCCGCCCCCCCCCCCGCAGGCTACATCCGCTGCTCCTACGCCAACCTGCCGCCCCAGCAGTTCCCCCGGGCTGTAGCGCGGCTACGAGCGGGGCTGCAGCACCTGGTGCAGTATGGCATGACGGACATGCCGCAGGAGGCTGTAGCGGGGTTGTGAGGGGCTGAAGCAGCGTGGGGAGAAGATGAGAGGGGAGAGAGTGGTCCGTGTACGGTACATGGTTAAAAGCGCAATGAGGAATTGTCGTGACGGGTATGGCGGCCGTTTGGGGGCACGGTAGGCGTCGAGGACAGCCGCAGTTGGGGTTTTGTGTTATGCCCTGCCATTGCGAAACATGGTAGGGACAAGTGCCAATTGGGGGAATGGCATGACGTGGCCCTGATCCACGCTTGGCAGCTGCCATCCGAGCGGTATATGTATTATAAACATTTGGCTACCCCTCTGGTATGTGTTGAAGGGTTATGGTTGTCCCATTGGAATTTCGGTGATGGTCACTCGTAGGTACAAGTCAACGTGGCCGGACTTGACGCCCTGCACAGGGGCTTTGGGGTTGTCAGATACAGTCCATACTCTTGCGGTGCGGAGGGGGGTTTAACCAGCCAGCTCAGGGATGCAGGGCGAACTTTGCTCGTATGCCTGTCGTAAAGATGATACCGGTATGGCAATTTACCCCGCGTGCAGTGCACGGCACGTGTATTAGATTCCGGCTGAGTGCGGTCATGTAATGTACAGCTGTTGGACATGACGCCCTGTCTTCCTGTCGTACTCCTGAATCAGGGTATGGCCGCACGAGATACCGCACGATAAGGCCTGCATGCGACGGCCCAAAGCAGCTCAACTGCCATGCTGCATACTCAGGGGAGGACAGGTGAGCATTCATGGGCAGACCCGGCACTCTCATGGGGACGCAGGCACAGCCGCGTCAGGCCATGGCCAGAGCTGGTTACCGTACTGGCAGGGGGCCCGGTCAAGGTCAGGGGCAGAGTTGGAACGCTCCCTGGGAATTGATAGGTCCAGGAGCAGACAATAGTTATGAGGAGCACGGATATATAAATCAGCAGAGGTTCTGCGTTCACGGGGCGCGGAGGGGTATACCCCTTTGCCCTAGGTCAACGACGAGGTGACATCCATGTCCGCAGGCTCCCGCCGGACGGTAATACCAGCAACCAACATTGAACCGGCGCCATGTAGGACTCATAATATCATTGGCCTGAAGTACTGCACAACCCTTTTACCCTTTCTTACCTCTTACCGTGGTGACAGGATGCTGCTGCTGCCAAGGCTGCTGCCATTCCGTTTCGCTATTAGTGTAAGGGCGATACAAACATAAACGCTCCTGCAGTACGTAAGAAGGATACTAAGCATTTCGCTCTATACAACGAGGAAAGCGGCAGGGACAATCGCGCCACTGTACTGCATTTGCAAACTACCGGTTAACGCTGCTTGCCCCTCTTGCCGAGAGGTTTCTGCATTCCGTCCTCGTCACGACAAGTGGCCATAGCTTTCTCATATAGGCACAAGTAGCAAATTGTAAAGCAGTTGTCCACTTGCCAGCGACCCGTTCGCCGGTGCGCTGATACGCTTAAGTGTTACTATCACTTGGAATCCATAGCCTGCACCTCCGTCCTTAGGCCACGTGCGGGAGCAGAGCCGCCTGGTTGTTCTCTAGCATGTCCATGCAGCCCTGAGGACAGGGTTTCAACCAAGGACTGCCTTGCTGCTGATATTCTGGCACGACACACTGTAAGTAGTCGAGGGCTCCGAAATCGGGGAGGGGCTAACTAGGTTACCCGTCACATCAGGACGGCATCTTGCTTTATTGAGAGCGCGCAATAGTACGCTTGCCATCTACAGCTCCCCTAACCTCCTTGTAAGCACAGGAGGGCTAGATCTTATCCGGCCGTTGCCTTGCAGGTGCTGACTCGCCCGCGCGACCAACCGCGCCCGCGTCTCACCATCTCAACCAGAGATGCAGCAAGGCATGCAGCCGAGCATGGCTCCAGGAATGCCACCTGGCATGCAACCCAGTATGGCACCTGGGATGCCGCCCGGCATGCCGCAAAGCATGGCGCCAGGAGTACCCCCTAGCATGCAACCCGGCGTCCCACCAGGCATGCAGTCCGCCATGCAGCCTGGCATCCCGCCCTCCTTCTCCATGCAGCCCGGACCCCCACAAGGCCCAAACCTCATGCAGCCAGGTCCCCCAACGTCACTTCCAAGCATGGCGCCAGGGCCGGCCATGGGCATGGCGCCGGGTCCCATGCCTGGAAGCCACCCCATGCAGCCCGGGCCGCTGTCCCGCGGTCCTTCTGGGCCCTCCCAGCAGCAGCAGCAACCCCCTCAGCAGCAGCAACCCTCCATGGCGCCGTCCATGGCGCCCCACCCGCCGCCCCACCAGACTGCAATGCATGCCATGATGCGGCCGCAACCGGTGCCGGGAGCTGTGGGGCAGCAAGGACAGGGGATGCCTGGGCAGCCGGGAGGGCAGCAGGGGCAGGGGGGCGCGCAACGGCCGCAGTACGGGCTGCCGCCCATGCCGCAAGGTGCGTGTTTTGTTGAAAAGGAAGGTAGTCCTTTCGTTTGCAGTGAGTTGGTAACTATACGTGGGAAGAGGGCTGGGGTGCGTCACAGCCGGAGGTTGCAGGCTCGTAAGCGGTAGGGAGAAGCAAGCCCATACTTAGGCCATGTATGTGCGTGTGGGGGTCCGGGGGCTTCATGCCTGTTGATGGCTCACCATGTATTCCTCGTTCAACAACGTCCTCTCCATTGCCACGCCACGCAGGCTCCTCTATGGCTCCCTCCATGGCTCCCGGACCCCAGCAGCCCCCTGCCTTCCAGCAGCTACACCCCCAGCAGCAGCAGCAACAGCAACAGCCCCCTTACGGCCAACAACGCCAGCCCATCAAGCAAGAACCCGACATGCAACCGCAACTGCAACCGCCACAACAACAGCAACCGCCACAGCAGCAGCAACCGCCGGCGTTACCACAACAACTGCTTTCTCAGCAGCAGTCCCTGCAACAACAGCAGCAGGCGGCCGCAGCTCGGGCTCCCACTCCCCCACCTGCCATGGCTGGTCTGCAACAGGGCATGCAGCCCGGGGTAGCGCAGGCGGCCCTAAACATCCTAGCGCTGCTCCGGATGAACCAGGCATCTCCCGAGCTGCAGCAGCGTTACCAGCAGCTACTCCCTCTAGCGCAGCAGCAGCAACAACAGCTGCAGCAGCAGCAGCTCCAGCAGCAGCAACAACAGCAAGGTGCCAACGCTGCGGCAGCGGCTGCCGCCGCCGCGGCGGCAGCAGAGAGACGCAAGCTCGCCGCCAAGGGGGTCAAGAAACCCGGCGGCAAGGGAACCGATGACGACGGTCCTTCGACATCTGTGTCGTACGGGGCGTACGGATCTGCAGCACCCGCGCAGCAGGCGACGACGGCGGGGGTCCCTGGAGGCGGTGTAGGCGTGAATCAGGCCGTGGCGGCAGCCATGGCGGCAGCAGCCGCCAGCCTGCCTCGCCCCGCGGGGGCACTGCTTCCTGGCGCCAGGCCGGCTGGTATGCCCGGCATAGGAGCCTCAGCACTCAGCCCGGCTGCCATCGCAGCTGCGGCCGCCGTGGCGCAACGACACCAGCAGCCGCAGCCGCTGACGCAACTGCAACAGCAGCAGCAACAGCAGCTTCAACTGCTGGCTAACAAAGCAGCCGCAGCTGCTGCTAATAAGCCTCGAGTACCGTACAAATCGGATCTTACCTACGGCCCTGACGGCAGCGTTATCGTCAGTGACGATGGTCCCGACGCGGCGGCGGACGGCGCCGCAGGCGCCGCCGGCGGCGCGGCCGGAGGCCGCGCCGGCACCAAGCGCGCCCGCGGCGACGACGACGGAGAGGACCCGCTAGACCTATTGAAGGGCATTGTGGATATCGAGGCGGAGAGCAACATGGGCACGGGCGGGTCGGGTCGTGCGGTGGGTGATTTCACGCCCATGTCGGTGCAGGAGGAGTACGTGTTGAATGAGGATCCGACGCTGGTGCGGGTGCGCGATGTGGCGCGGCGGCACGGCATGCGGAGACTGGCGCCTGACGTTTTCCCCTACCTGGCACTTGCCGTGGAGGTGAGCTGGCTTGGTTGCTGCGGTTGCTGTGCTAGTGGCACGGCGTCGCCTTTACGGTGTATACAGCGCACGGCACCTGAATCCCTTTGCCATGAGCCCATGACCACTGCCGCCTCCCCATCACGTCCTGTGCTCTCCTCCTCAACCCATCAGGCCCACATGACCTCCATGCTTCGTTCCGTGGGCCGGCTGGCAGCCCAGCGCGGCGACCCGGGCCGCTCCGCCGCAGGTCCGCCCCACTCGCTGGCTCGCTCCGGTGTCAACGCGCAGCACCACATCCAGCGGCTGCGTAAGGCGGACGAGGTGACGCTGGCAGCCAAGAAGGAGCAGGAGGAGGAGGCGCTGCGGGCGGGGCTGCTGCCGCGCGCGGAAGGGGGACCCTCCCGCGCGGCGGTGGCGGCGATGAGTGAGGCGGACAAGGCGGCGGCGGCGCAGCTCAAGGTGCGGGTGTGGGGGGGAGGCGGGGTGTTGTGGGAGTGTATGGGCATCCGGGGCGGAGGGGGGGTTGTTAGCGTGTATGGTGTTGAGGAGGCGGTGGCAAGGAGTCCATGAACATCACCGCTTGTTGTTGTTGTCCTCATCGCCCTCCGTGCAGGCCAAGGAGGTGCACAAGGCGGCGCAGGCGAAGGCGCAAGCCACCCTCAGCTCCATCTTCTCCGGCATCAAGCGCAAGAAGACCTACGTCACGCCGCCTAATGCGGGAGCAGCCGCGGCCGCAAAGCAGGGGGCGCAGCCGGCGGCGGCAGCCGCCGCCGCTGCAGCGGCGCCTACGGCGCCGCAGGCGCCTGCGGTGCCGGGCGGCGCCGCCGCCGCCAACCCACCAGGCCAGGCTGCCGCCGCCGGCGGCGCTCCCTCCGCTGCGGGTACGGCAGGCGCCGCTGCAGGAGCCGCTCCTGCCGCCGCTGCCTCGCCGCCTCCTCCGCCTCAGCCCGCGGGTCCCAAGCCGCCGGTGCACCTGCGGCTGGTTGACCTGATCGGGGTGATGTCGACCGACCCGCTGCTGGCCAAGCACCCGCTGCTCTACATGTGGCAGGCGCAGGAGTCGTTTCGGGAGTACAACAGGGAGGCGGCGGTGGCGGCGGGGTTGGGGGGCCGGTAGTAGAAAGGTGACGGTAGCGGCAGCGGGAGTAGGGGGCAGGTAGCGCCGGTACTAGTAGCGGGGTAAGGAAGGAGACAGCTAAGCGAGGTAGTGGCGATGTAGGAGGGGGAGCGTTTTCTGTAGCGGGAAGCTATTGGCTGCTTGTTGTTGTTGGCAGTGGTGGTGGTGATAAGGAGGTAAGGAGGAGACGCATGGGGGTACGCAGTGGTAGGCTGTCGGTTGAGTGAGGGGCAGGCGCAGGTCGAGGGGTTGGGTAGTCTGGGTAGGCAGTTTGTGAAGGGTTTGCTGTGTTGGTATAGGGCAGTGACTGGCATTGGCCGAAACTGTGTACCGTACTCGTCGTGCCGGGGAAGAGGCGTTGCGGTAAGAGGCATCTGGCGGTGCCACGAGAGAACTTTTAAAGCAGATGGTTGGGTTCTTGTGGAGAGGTTTGGCCAAGAAGGATTGCGCTGCTTTCTTTGGTCGTGCTGGCACAACTCGTTATCCGCGAGGTGTTGAGCTGTGGACGGTAGGGTATGGAACCAATGCTGGAGGGTTGCAAACGTATGCAGCCATCATTTGCCCTGCTGTTTGGAACACTGTTGCTTATGACTCGAATGGGGAAGGCAGACTAGGGGCATGAAGGTTCTCCGCGGCTACTGGAAACGGCGGCTAGCGGTACGATCCCTTGGCGTTTGCGATCTGCCGTACCAGCGCTTTCCGTTGGTAGACCCTTCGAGCAGGCAGAATTCGCCCTGCTACGAGCGTTAACGTAAACTGTACATGAGATTGAATTCTCAGAACCCTGGGCGTCTGTTAAGCATTACTGTAGAGGCCTCGTCAGTTGAATAAACTTGCACGCACGTTTAAGAAAGCGTTGAACTACGTCATAACCCTCTTATCAGGACAGCACTTCATAGTGGTTAATTCAGCGTACAGCAATGAGCGTACCAAGGCGAATAGTCTTCAGCGACATAGATGGGACAATCATGCATGAGCCAAAGCCTACCGACTTGGTGCGCTGGCGTTTACAATGCGACCATTCGGCACCTTTTCCTTAATGTAGAGCAAAATCCGTTATTTTCCTGCTTCACAGGACGCCCCGGTGTTGCTCACACCACCGTCGACTAGCGGTCGCCAGGTAGGGCCTAACTTTAGCACATTGCAAATTCTGGTCCATTTCCTAGGCAATGGAGTTCAGCCTTATTCCTTAACACGTATGACCTTGGCATTTGTAGGGTGGGGATGGGGAAGGGAACTCGCCCACCCCGCATCAACCCCTCGCCCATCACATATGGCCTCAACATCCTTCTCCCGCCCTTCCGCCACCCTGAGCTCACCATCGTCTCCACCATCATTCCCCCATCCCCCCACACTGCCCTACCGCTTTTTCCACATGGTTCAGTCCTCTCCTTTACCCCTCCTCTCTCCTTCTCTTCCCTTCCCCTTGTCGTTTACTGTTTCCCCACAAAGGGCGTCATCTCCACCGCCACCCTGCACCTGGTAGCACAGCTGCGCTCCCGGGGGTTGCTCTTCGTCGTCATCAGCGGCGCGCGCCTCTCCACGCTGCTCATGCGCCTGCCGTACCTGCCGGCAGCGGACGCCTACGTGTGCGAGAACGGCGGCCGCATCTTCTACCCGGGAGGGGAGCTGCCCACAGGTGCGTAGTGGGGGCTTCCTGACATATCCTGCCCCAGATGCCTTGCTTCAACCCGGCGGGCTGTGCAAGAACTACAATGGTAAACTGCGAACGCTCTGTTATTGAAGTGAAGTAACTCACGGTGGTGTTCTCCTGTCGTACATGTTGTTCACCATGTGCCTGGATGGCGTGAAACGGGTCCTGCGATTGTACGGAGGCAGCTTGTCCCCTCACGGAGGATGAGGAGTGGCGGCGCTGTCATGATGGCGTGGCGGGGACAGTACGGCAAGACGGAGTGGCGGCTAGGGACAGAGAGGTGATGGGGGGAAGAGAGGGGGAGGTGATGGGGGCTTGGAAGGGGTTGTGCTGAAGGGGGGATTACCGAGGTTTGGGTGCTGCGGGACAGACAGGGATGGTGCTGACTGTGGGCACTGCAGGCAGCTGCAGGATCCACTGTATGCATGTAAAAGCGGGGGGCCTTAAGGGGCTCTGCTTTGCGTCCGATGCGTTTGTGTGTGCCTCTTACGCATGGTGCATGATTGCAGGGGCCGTTGTGGGACTTCTACCGTCGGTTGTTGGGAGAGGGGTGGCACCTGGACGCCAACGGCTACACCACAAGCTTCAGGTGAGGAGCTTTACACGGCTGACTACGGTAACAAGAGCTCCTCTCAGAGGACGTCGCGCCTCCATTTCACATGGAGCATTCGCTCTGGGCTTCTCCTCATGTCCTTGTGCCCCTTTTTCCCTCAGGATCCTAACCTTGCGCCCACTCCCACGTACTCCCTCACACGCACGCTTCCTGCTCCCTCCTCTCCCACCCGCCCACCCATGCCTTGCAGGGTGCATGCCAACCGCGGCGGCAAGACCCTACCTCAGCTCCAAGCCCTCACCGCCGCCAAGCCCCCCGGCCTCAGCTGCTCCTTCAACCTGGGAGCCGCGGACTTCTACCCCGCAACCAGCGGCAAGGTGCGCTGTATGTGCGCGGTGCTAATGACTGTTACCCCCCCATCAATCTTTGTCTGACGCAGTGTCGCCTGCCTCCATGCCTAGAGCCTAGAGCCTACCATGGTTTACAGCTTCTTCTCCACCTGTTCTCCACAGCTTCCTCTTTACGCTCCTCATTCTCCTCCCCGGATTGCTCCGCTGGTGCCCACCCCACTGGTGCATTACGCTACCGGTGCCCCCTTACCCGCGCATGCAAGCGCAGGTGATGGCCGCTCGCCACCTGATGCGCCGCTTCTCCGCAGCCGCACCCGACTGCTGCTTCCTGTGTGATGACGACAATGACCTGGAGCTGGCGGCGGAGGTGGGGCGGGCGCTGCTGCCCAGCATCACCTCGGTGAGGGGGGTGGGTAAAGCGAGCCGCGGGAGAGGGAGGCTTGGAGATGGAGGGAGGGAGGGTGAAGGGGCTGTTAGCGACATAGGGCAGGATGCAGGAGGGTAATACGTTCGCCGAACATATGCAGATGGTAATTAGATTGCTACAAAACGCCTACTTGATTGCCCCCTGTGTCACGTGCCTGTCCGCTTGGGTTGTGGTGTTGTACTGCACTTGTACTGCAGGACACGGTACGGCAAGCAGTGGAGGCGGCGCCGGATCGCTTCCATGTAGCTCAGGCTGCTGGGCAGGGCGTGGCGGCGACGGAGGAGGTGCTCAGGGCGGTGATGGCGCATTATGAACTGCAGTAATGCATCTGGGATATGCCACATACCCTATGCGTACATGCCGCAGGATGACATGACCGATTGACGCACCGAGAGATGTGGTGCCGTATGATGTGCTGATGGGAATGACGCTGGTGCTTTTGTCCGTAAGCTCTCGAACGTCTGGGCCATTCCTGCCCTGTACCCGCACGCCTCCTGCACCCGAAGGAGGACTGAAAGCAATTTAGAGATGCCCCTGATGAGCTGAAGCAGCTTGAGGCAGATGGCAGAGTTCATAGGTGATCAACGCGATCAGTACTTGCTACGCTGACGCGACGGGTTGTCCCATTGTAGCAGGGATGCAGCCGGATGCCGGAGTGACTACGGACTTTGAGGAGGTGTCGGGGGCGTGCCTTGGTACGTACGGCGCAAGTGTAGCCATGCAAGCACCGGACACGAGCTTGCGATTAGCGTTGATGTCGCTTGGTACGCTTTTAGGCGAACTATAAGAGAAGTACCTGCTGCGATTGTATTTTGCGAATTTTCACCATTTCGCTTTGCAAGGCTAGACGAGCAACACCTTCGTTTATTCTACTTCAAACTCGCTGTAGTCCTGTTTTTCTCCTCCAGTTAGTGCCAGCCGAGCCTAGTAGGAAATGTCCAGCGCGTTAATATCTACAGGCTGCGCGCGGTGTGTGGCATTTAAGACAGGACCGCTGCGCAGAGCGCGGACAACGCCACAACCTCGACAATTGTGTGTAGCATTTGCCGCTCAGTTCCCAAAAGGCGCATCCAGTCCTGATTCCTCTGTTGCGGCTTCACAAGCGACTCAGCGCCGAGCCATATCTGAAGGCCTGACCGAGGCGACTATCGCCGCTCTTTTAGCCGGCGGCGTCTTTGCTGGCAGCTGTCTGGCAGTTGATAGCCCAGAAAGCGCAGCGCAAGCAGTCCAAGTAGCCAAGCTCGCGGCCGATGTCCTACGACCGGTGTTCAGCATCTTCACCATGCTCTACATCATCCGCGTGACCATGACTTGGTACCCGGAAATCGATGGCAAGAAGCTGCCCTGGGCCATCGCCTACATGCCCACCGAGCCCATCCTCAGCGCAACTCGCAAGGTTGTTCCGCTGGTCAGCGGTGTTGACGTGAGCCCCATCGTGTGGATCGGCATCCTCAGCTTCCTAAACGAAATCCTGCTGGGGCCCCAGGGCCTGCTCACGCTCGTCGAGCTCAGGGGCGGGATGTAGGAGGCTGTAGGCGGGTTCATATACACCGTTCGCATGCCATGCCGGTTTGCATCCGGTTGCTCCGGGAATGCAGAGTATTCCTTGGGACGTAAGGGCCACGTGGTAGGGTGTTGGGTAGGCTGGTAGGGTGCATGGTAGTTTGGGGTGAGCGCCGTGGACGAGGTACTTTCGGGGAGTAATATCAACTTTGGGGAGGATGCGAGGGGAAGGGAAACGGGTCTGGCCCTTGGCGGGCTCTCAGCGGTTTGGTAGGGAGCTGCTGTTGCCGTTGGGTAGGGTAGAGCCGGGTTGTGGGTGAGGCGTCCTCAAGCTGTACGGGCTGAAGGCTGGGAGTGAGTTGTAAGCTGCAACGTAGGTTTTGAGAGAGGTACTGATGAGTGGACCGTGAGAGTGGACCGGGGTGGATACATGAAGGCGATTTTGTCAGCTGTGATGGATTGGTTGAATATGACAAGCATGACATTGCTGCGCACGGAGTCCGGATCAGGATTAATCAGTGGCTTCATGAGTGGCACCGGTATCATTAAGCGTGACGGCGTGATGGTCATATGCTGCATTCCCTGTCATGCAAGGCAGAAAGCTGCAAGGGAATGCCTCACAGGGATATACTATCAACAGATGTCAATAGGGGTCCGGTACTGGGCAGAACAGGTTCAGTGTCGTACGTGACCGGTTCTAGACCGTTTGGTACAGAGCATGGACTAGTGGATACGAGCACAGCCGGAAGGCCGGAAGCAAACGGAACTGCCGAAACGACCTTTTATAAGGATGGTGCAAACGTCTGGGTTGGAGTACGGCCGTACACGGCCGACAATGCATTCGTACTCTTGGTCTTGTACCGCAACTGCAAGACTGCCGAAAATTAATTCTGCAAAGGTCAGAGCTGCAAAGTGACATGGCCATTGTATCCTAAACAGGCACGGCACCTAAGAAAGCAACTCCCTGACCAGCTTCCTGCAATCTCCCTACATCACTTGACAGGTGAAACCCGAAACCCCAACGTGACTGCATTTGCTGCAGACATAAACTGGCGGCCATGGCAGTGTCACCGCATTTTGTGCTCAAAGGCTAAGCCTACCGGTCTAGCTCGTGCAGATATGTGCCGTATGTGCACGGTACTGTGTGTCGCATGTACGGAGGAACGGAAGAGCGACATGAGTGCCGTACCAAGCCTAACTGTATCGTACGAAAGCCACACGTGTTTGGAAAAATTCCCTCTAACGGGCCCAAAGCTCAGCTTGAGCTTGCACTGGGCCTTACCCCTCCTCGCACGGCTCAGCATGCCTCCCTAAGCAAAGGATCAATCATTCTGCTACAATAAGCACACATGCACGCTGAACGCATCAAAAGTAAGCAATCTCCATCACGGTGGGGAATGTGACCCTCATCAGATATGACGAAATGAAACAGCAGCACATCTGGCGGCAATCGTCCCTGCCGTCATCAAAACAAAGAAGTTGGAAGGAAGAAAGCAGACATCCCGAGCACGTGCCTGGCACGCTCGCACGCTCGCTCGCATGCTACAGCCTGCTGCCTGTGCAGGCAACCCAGCAACCGCGCGTGAAACCCTGATTTGCATCTGCCTTCAAGGCAAGCTGCAGCAACGAACATTACATCCATTACCACTACTACTAATAAATAATCTGTTGTAAAAGTGCAGTAAAGGAACCAGACACCGCATTCGTAGTGCCCCATGCCTCAACCTCTAATAACGGCACTACAGCCGTACATCCTCTCCATCAGCCAACGAGAGTGTCGTACAAGGTGCAGTACACACCATGACGCGACCGTTGTATGCCGCTTTGCTACACCCAGTCACAGAACACAACCCCACTGAGCTTCTGCTGCTGCCGCTTGTGCCGTTATTGGTGGTGTTACCAGAACCCGACAGTGTGCCTAACACGCCCTTCAGCTCTGGAAAGACGGTGCAGTGCCGAGCAGTTGTGTATCGTCGGCCCCAGGAAACGGTTGCCGCCGTACCGATCAGCGTTCCGTTGGAGTTGGTTGAGGAGCTATTGACATGCAGTACGACACCCCATGTGGTACGACAGGAACAACCGGCAGGAAGACCCTGCGAAGCTAAACAGGTCGTTGATGCTGTGGATTGTACGTTAGACGTGCTATTACTGGTAGTATTAGATGTCGACGACGACGGAGGAGGCGGAGAAGAACCCTCTTTCTTGGTTGAGGTGTTATTGGTGCTGCCGCTTGAGGAGGGTGGGCTAGGCGTCGTGGTATTGGAGGTGGTGGTGGTATTCTGGCTAGCGGCTACACCAGTAGCAGCGCCGCCGCTGGAGGGGCAAGCTGAGCCGCAGTAGTCCCAGTTGCGGCCCAGAAGTGTGGTAAAGCCGGGTTGCAGCCGACACCAGGAACCCTGCGGGGAAAGTAGTTAGGTACTTTCTACAGGTAAGCGAATCGGCATTAGCGCAACTACGCCTTTACTATGCAAGTGTGTCAGGTCTGCAAACGTCTGTGCCTTGCATCGAGGGCGTTGGGTGGCTAACCCGCTTCAGCTTTACCCAGTATCCCTGATGTTGGAGGCGTAGATATGTACCCTAGCCAATAAGTAGCAATACATAAAAGGCAACTCACCAGAGGGTCGTTGTCCGGGTTGGCACAGCCGACGTACGTCACATTGTCGTACACCTCTTCCCCATCTGCTGAGGTCATGACCCATGGGTCATGGGCGCACATTGCACCCGAGGCAGTGGTCCAGCCCGGCCCACAGGGCTGGTTGGGTGGAGAGGGCCTGAGGGCGGTGGTTGCGGTGGTATGATGTCACGATATATCAACGCCTAGGTGGTTATTACGACGATATTTGCAAGCATGTGCGCTTGCTACCGGTGCTAGCAACAAAAGCGGAGCACTGCGCCCAAGGCAACTCACGGCGGGGAGGGCGGCGAGGGCGGGGCGGGTCTGACCCCGGTTCCGCATCGGGCGATGGAGGCAGCTGGGTCGCAGTAGTCCCAGTATCCGTTGATGGCGGAGGGGCAGTTTCCGTCCTGCATGCATGCATGCGCGGGTTGAGGCGGCATGCGCGGTGAAAGCACCATGCAGGGGAAAGCCTTTGTCGTGATCTGGCTTGCAGCCTGCACAATTTGTACGTCTCCCAATCCCCCTCCGCCATCCGTCCTTCTGCACTCCCAGCACCAAACCCCACCCCAACCCACCCCAACCCTCCCCACCCTGCCCTGCCCACCTGCTCCAAGTGGCACCACAGCCCCGTGTCGTCGCCATCCGGGTTGGCACAGCCGCTCAGCTGCAGGCCGCCCCAGCTCCACGAGGTGCGGCAGCGGCAGCCGGAGCGGGTGCGCTGAGCGAGGGGAGCAAGGGAGCAGGCAGAGGAAGGTCAGGGAGGGAACGGTATTAGGAATAAGAATCAGTACGGGAGGATAGAACGTGCCAAGTCCAGCACAGGCTACGTAACTCGAGGGAGGATGGGCATGGAGAATACAGCGAGAGGTTAGACGTGAGGTCAGCCATGCAAACATGATTTTCGTGTGGCTTACAGCCTGCATGAGTAGGGGAAACCGTTTCCTGTTCGGCTGCCCTATCCCACCATGCAAGGGCTGAGGTCGGGTGGTGGTGGTGGCGGCGACGTAGGCGGCGGTGGTGGCGGCGGGCTAGATCTAGGTGGCATCAGCGGCGGGGGCGAGGGCGGCGGGGCGGGCGGCGGCGGCGCCTGGAAGATGGTGGGCGCTAGAGAGGCGAAGTATTGGCCCCACTGGTAGAGCTTGTTTTGGATCTTCTCGGAGGTGTTGTGCAGGTATCCCAGCTGGCCTGCAGCGGGGAGCGGAGGGAGCAGAGGGAGCAGAGGGAGCAGAGGGAGCAGAGGGAGCAGAGGGAGCAGAGGGAGGGAGGGAGGTGGTGGAAGCAGGGAGCGGAGGGAGGGAAGGAGGTGGAGAAGGGGAGGGCTGCAGGTAGGTGCCATAACGGAAAAAACAAAACCTGTTGCTTGTGCGTCACACCTGACCTTCCGAGCCAAAAGAGACAGTCAGGTATCTGGTCAGGTCCTATCTTACAGATAATGAATGCGTCCCATGGTAGCTGCAATTTCCTGCTCGCATGTCTGCATACAGTGAGGCCGCCGCTCCTCCCAAGCCCCAACCGCAGCTGCCCAGTACCCAGTGCCCGCCCCCAACCCACCCGCACCCTTAAAGCCTCGTCATACAGCTCGATCGTCAGTTTCCTATTCCCACCCACCCGCTGTGAAGTGCCCAAGCGCCGCGATGCACACGTCGTGCGTGTAGGTGATGTAGTTGCCCAGCTCATCGTTGCCCGGCAGCGAGGGACACGAGTCGAAGCCATGGGTGGAGTCGGCGGCCGGGATGCCCAAACGAGTGCGCCAGGCCTGATGAGGCGGGCGAGCGATGGGTCGAGTTAGCAGGCAGCAGCAGGCAGGGATTAGCAGGCGTGCAGTGCTGGCGACTCACACAGCACACAGGAAGGTGAGGAGGGCCACTGTCATGATCCTGCCAGCTTCATTCCTAACCACTCTCTCCTCCTCCTCCTCCCTTCCGCCCCCAGCAGCTCACCTCCGCCGCGCGGTCCCAGCTGCTGGCCAGGTCGCGGTTGAAGTAGTCCAGGCAGTAGGTGCGGGAGGCCTGCGCAAAGTCCTGATTGTAGACGGGGCCGGCCACGATGGGCGTGTCTGGGATGCCATCGTCGTTGCCCACGCTGCAGCCCTGGGCCGTGTTGCCGCGGCCAAAGGTGTGGTACAGACCCAGGTGATGCCTGCAGCAGCGGCAAACGCGGTGTGTAGGTAGGAGGGTGCATGCACGTACCCAGTTGCCTGGATGGAGCATTCACACAAGGCTGCAATAGCCATACACGCCAACCAGTAGTCCAGAAGTACGTGTCGAAGCCCACATGACGTCGTCTAATGGCCCACCTTTCTCCCGAGCCTGTCACCCCTTCCCGGTTCCCTCACGTGATCTCACATGATCTCATGCCACAGCACCTTGCCGCCGTACTCCCAGCCCGCCCGGCTGTTCCACTGCGCCGCATCCAGCACACTCCACAGCAGTGCCACGTGGCCGGTGGAGATGTCGGAGGGCGAGGAGGGAACCCAGCCGTAGCTGAGGGGAGAAAGAAGAAGACCCGATGTGAGGCGGAGAGAGAGGGAATGAGGTATCAATTGCGTGAGATATCGGAGGGGGAAGCAGCGACAGCTGAAGGGGGCGAGGGAGGAGGACAGACGCGTGCGCGTGAGGGAGTTCGGGGCAACCAACGATGTTTCAGCGGGTGCTTGGCAAAGCCATATCCCCCGGCTAAGGTTGGGCCGTAGGTACATTACATCTACGGTGGAGCAGATCCAAGCCGTACGGCATGGGTGTACGATACCAGTCATAGATACGCACCCTGCGTACGAGGCGCTGGCTTTTTCGCCCGAAATGAAGATGTTGATAGACCTGGGGTAGTCCTTAGCGCCCTGTGCCGGGGGAGGGCGGTGTTTGATGAGGACAGGTGTTGTCACTGCCGGCACACAGCTGAGACATATGTTGATGCACCCGACACCTGCTCCTGGTGTTGCAGCATCACGTAAGCCTTGACAACGCAGGGCGGGCGACTCCGCTGTAGTAAATGCGCTGAGCCCATGCTGGCCCTATTTCATCGCTTATCCCACTGACGACATTCCTATCTACCTCATTGCACGGCTGCTGCCCCCAGACCGCCCCTACCATGAGCGCGTCGCCACACGCCTTGTAAAAGTAGTTGCCGTTGGACGAGCAAGCAGACCAATCGGCGCGACTAGCCTTGAGCAGGTAGGGATTACTGCACGTGCACGAACGGACAGACGAACATAGGTGGTGAAGAGGATACGGTACAGTCGCTCTGACGTTACTGGCAAGCACTGCACGTACGGCCTGTGTGATGTACGAGTCGCACTTACGTCGTTGGATTGTACCGAACCTCATTTATAAAGAATGCAAATTTGCTTCTGAACGCCATTGCGTTAATGATGTCAACAATCCTCGCCACGTATTCGGGAGACTTGTCCCAGTTGGGAGGGCCGTAGCCACCGCTTGTCGTCCTGTGAGCATATTATTATCAGTAAGCATGGGAGGCCTTGCGGGAAGTTTGTGTACATGTGCATCTGTGGCCTGGGGCTTTCGAAGCCGTAAAGGAGCAGCAGGAACCAACCTAACCACCAGCAACAACAGCACTGCCGTACATCCGTACAACACGACGACCAAGCATGGACTCCAACCGTACGACGTACTTGTAGGTCAAGATGTGGAATACCAGCGGCACCAGCACTCGAGGTTGCTGTGCCCCAGGTGCGGCCTTAAAGCCAGCTGGTAGCTTGGTTAGCAGCAGGGCCGATTGCAGGGCACTCAAGTCCGTGGGTAGGAGCTGTTGAAGGAGATTGCGACCGTGTCGTCCGCCGCCCCAACCGTTATTGTAACGGTTTAACCGCTCAAGTAGATGGCGACGCCGGGCCGAGGCGATGAATGTCGTACGTTTGTCGTAAGGTACGGTGTCCGCGAGTAGTGAGAGGTTGGTGGCCGTACGTGGGTCGAAGATGGGAAGGCTGCGTGGGTGTATGGGGTATGGTGTGGGGTTACCGGGATACTCTTTCAACGATATGAAAAATCCAATTACCGTATGCAAAAAGAGCAAAGGGGGGGAGAGGGAGGGAATGCTTCCTGGCGGCCCAGCTTAGGAAGGAAAGACAGCAACCTCTCCACCTGCTGGACACACCCAGCCTCGCCTGGACACCGTTGCCACGTGTACTACTAACTAACCCACCTGGGCACTAGGCTGATGTCGAAGTGCGTGTCCAACCTCTCAAGCAACTCCAACAGCTCCCCGCTGTTAGCTGCCAGCTGCCGTAAAACCAGAACCAGCTCCGAAACCAGATCCGGCAGGAGAGCGGTGTCGTACAGCTGCTGCAGTGCGGCGACGTAGGGCTGTGCGGCGGGGCTGGCCAGCACGGCCTGGACCTGTGGAGGGGGGGCGGCGTTGTGTGGTGGGGTGCTTGGGATAACCGTTACATGGGTTCCCAAAGATAGAACACGGCTTGTGGTGGTGTACTGTCGTGAAGGTGAGTTTCCAGTTCTCGAATTGAGGGCTCGGCAATGGTATAAGGAACTCCGCATGTTCCTACCTAACGAACTCACCGCTTGCCTGATTGCAGTCTGCGTGTCAGCCTGTGTTGATCCACCATGTATAGGAGGAGGGAAACGAAGGGTGAGGGAAACGGGCAGCAGCGTTACAGGAGTAGGGCCAATGGCATGGAAAAGGCCTTATCGCATTGCACCGTGAGCCAAAGCACTGAACTCAGCATAGCTTCACAGCCCTTTTGGCCACCCTCCTCAAAAGCACCCTAGCCCTAATAAGCCATCCCAAGCCGCCTGAGCCAGTTGTCACCTGCTGTTGCAGGTTCCGAAGCGCCAAGCTCCTCCTGCCACCCGCTATAACCCCCGCTGCGGCAGCCGCAGCAGTAGCGGTGGTGGTGGCGCCTGCTGCTGAGGCCGCTGCCTCTACTGCTCCGAGCAGACCGGACACGTTGTACGACTTGTTTAACTGATGAAGGTGACAACAAACGATAAGTACGGCATTAGGTTCAACATTTTGTCCAAGCAAGCGCGTCCGCTCTTACATTCGGTTACACCTTCAACAAGCAACGGCTGTGAACTACCGCTGCATGCCGCGCAAAACAAATGTCGTACGGACAATGCTGTCGTACATGACTTACCCTGCACCCACTCGCCCTCACCTGTTCCAGCACCAGAACGGTTACGTTGCGCAGGTTGGATGCGATGGGAAGCAGCTTGGCCTGGAAGTCAGGAACACCCTGAGGGCAAGAAATGCATGGGCGGCGCATTGCAGCGTGGTGCAGGCGGAGGCTAATGGAGAAGGGAAAGAACATGAGCACTATTGACAAAACATCCCGTAAACCGATGCGACATTCAGATTAAGCCCGACATGTAACCCACCTGCGCCATCTGCGCTAGGTTGTCTATCGTGGCCACAAGCGAGCTGCTATCCACCTTGCTTTCCTGTGGGGGATGGTTGGATGGGCGCCGGAAGTTGGGGCTTCAGGTATGACGACAGGCGCTAGCAGCGAAGCTTGGTGTCGGTTCCAGCGGGTAGCACGTAGCGGTAGCAGGTCACAGCAGCAGTTGGCTAGGCGCTGCAGTGTAAGCCTGCAGGCATGGTCGTGCATGGCGCCCGCTCGCATTGTTCCTGAGTGCCGGCAGCAGCACAGCTTACCTCAAGCCAGGCGTGGATTTTCATCTGAATCGCTTGCGGCTGTACGACAGTGCCGTTGAAGCCCATGACCGGCAAAATGTAGCTAAGTATTTGCGTCACCGGCTGGATGCGTGAGATCTGCCGTACAGGGATGGGCCATACGTCAGGATACAAACCAGGCGGCATGTAATGGAATAACAGGACGGTGAGCAGGGAAAAAAAAAGGAGAATTGGGCGCGATACGACTTAAGATGGACGAAAAATACGGCACTAATGGCGCCTATTGTGGCTACGTCCCCCGGTATCTTGCCTGCAGAATGTAACTATCTATCAGCTCGTTGGTGTCTGCATTCTTGATGTCCACGGGTATGTAACCCAGCAGCTTGTTCTTGACGGTTGTTAGGTTTGCCACGCGCTCGTTGCTTGTAGCAGCAGCAGCCGGCGGCGGTGGGGATGCCAGCTGCTGCAGAACGGGAGTGCGCAAGATGTGTGTTGTCACGCTTACATAGGGGCCGGCTTTAGTTGACAAACATTACCGGTCTCATGACCGTTCTTCATTTGCGCATGCCGTGCGAGGTAATTGCGTCTCGCCGCATTGTTGTTAGCGAAGACGCAAAGATACAGCTTATGAGTCGTGCGCTCAGGATAAATGCAGCAGGGAACATGTTGCATGCCATAGGCAAAGGCCGTCTGGCAGTTGGTGCCTTCGAGGAAGCCCATCTTACCGATGACTGCACATCTTCCTTTTTCGTCAACTTTTTGCCCTTGGTGGCACCAATTCCGACGCCAACTCCGACACCAACAGCAATTATAATGGCGACGACTGCTATCGCGCACCAAGCCCAACGTCCATGACCGCTAGACGTGGTCTTTGGCAAGGGCCAAATAAAGTTACAAGAAACGCATAGCAGCGGCATTATGTTGGGCTTTCCCATGTGAGCATTGGCAGCATAGTCGCGTTGTAATATTGTGGCGGAAGTGCAGAAGACGCCATGCACGAGTAGCAGTATGCACAGGAAATGACATGCGACCTAAGCCGTTCATTTGGTTACTGCACACCTGTTTTGGCATGCCTCCGCCACCGGGAACGGCGCTCTATCTGCCACTCGCCCCGCTCCGTCGGCAGCTGCAAGTGAATAGCCTGTTGGAGCTGCCCTTAATAACAACAGTTATGTGTGCAATGTGAGTAAATATTGTCGCCAGTAGTGACGGATAGTGCTATTTTCCTGGCATCTAGCTTTCTTGTTGGAAACTTGCAACTGTCCGTTGCCAATCTTCGGTTAATCGTCTTCAATCGTGCTACTGAGTTGATTCCTTTATGCACAGATGTAGCTGTAAAGGTTTGCATGCCTATGCGTCGTTATCCCTGTATTGGCCATATTGAGCTTTGCTCGTCCACTGCTCGGTCTGAGGTTTCGGTGCCGCTCTACAGTCAAGCGGGCGACGCCCGGCCTGTCAAGGAACAACCCTGATTTTCAAAGACGTATCCGCTTTAGGCTTCCTTCGTGTTCTTAGTTCGCGGCTTACCACTTACGCCCCTTATACTATTTATACACCCTCTGTGCTGACGACATTTACTTTATTGTGGTAATACTTAGCCGTATACTCTCATAAGGAACTGGACTTGAAAATGCCGGGCAAGGGTAGAGAAGGACCGTACAGCACAAACTTGCCACCGCTGAACGATGAAGAGGTGAATCCTGTCAGAAGGATGATTGTGCCAATCCGGAGGGCGACGGGCTGAGCAATTTGACAGCTAGCATATGGAGCTGAAGGGAGAGTTTCTCTTGACAAAAGACATTTGGATTTTCCAACGCTGGAGTTGTCCCCCACCCTGCAGTTGGAGATGTGTCGCAAAGCCTTCAACATGTTCGATAAAGATGCGTCGGGGACCATCGACACCAAGGACCTACGGACCGCGCTCTCTGCTTTGGGTCAAAACCCATCGGAGGAGGAAATGTTCGTAATGATTAGCCAGGTGTGCGCTTTATGGAGCTGTGTCAGCGCCAGCAGTAGAGGGGCCACAAAGCGTGGGGCAATCTAACAGCGCTCCTTTGGTTGTCCATCGACAGCCATGGGGGTGCCCACACTGGTGAAGACAACACCCAGGCTCCCAAGCCCTTTCGGACGCTTCACTTCACACTGTCACACAACGTGAACCCGTAGTTTGGGTAAACACCTCTGTAATATATGTGAGGGGCATGGGACGGTAGGCAGCAACGTTGCCGCAGGGCCACAGCTTCGCCCCTCTTCCCACCCGCCCTCCCACCCCCATTCCTCTATACCAAACCCCCCACCCAGGTTGACGAGGACGGCAGTCGCTGCATAGAGTTCAGCGAGTTTGTCCGCGTCATTCAGTTCAACAAGGCGCTATCAGCGCGGGACGCGGACGAGCAGGAGACGCTGGATGCGTTCGTGGCGCTGGGGGGAAATGTGGGTGCGGGGAAAGCGGAAGAGGGAGTTGCAGAGCGCATGGTAGTATGTGGAAAGCAATGTGGGTCGGTGGCTCTGAAGGAACTGTTCGCCCAGAGATGGATTCCGCTGCTCCCTGCCCGGCTCCCCGCCTCAACCGTTTGCTCCACGGCCTTTGCTCCTCTCACACGGTCCGCCCGACTGCCCTTCCCAACCGCTCTTCCACCTGCCCCCACCAGGCCGACCGCACAGGGAAGATCTCCATGGACAAGCTGAAGAGCATTTGCGAGGTGAGGGGTGCAGGGTGTGAGGTGGTGCGGTAAAAGTGGGGCACGGGCTGTGAGGTAGTGGGATGCAGGGTGTGAGATGGTGAGGTGCAGGGTGCGAGGCGGGAGGAGGCCATGCTAATCAACAATAGCGTGGATCAGACAGAACCCACCCCGTTCTAAAGGAAGCCACACGCGTGGGATGTTGGGGGCCCTCTCAGCCGCACTAGCCGCTTTAACCCCATTCTTACAACACCCTTCCGCCTCTGCCCCGCCTGACGCACCATGCCTGCCCGCCGACACACCCGCTCTGCTCCCCTCCAGGAGTTCGAGCTGACCCTGAGTGTGGACCGGCTGGTGAAGGACGCGGACCGCGACTTCAACGGCTTCCTCACCTACGATGAGTTCCGAGTGTTGCTGTCGTGAGAGAAGTGGCGAAGAGGTGGTGGGGTAAGCATAAGGAAAACTGACGAACTGGATGACGAGGCTTCTGTGGGGGGGGAAGGGCTGGGGCTGTGAGACAGTGGCAGGTGGTGGTGGGGGGGCTGGGGCCCTTGAGGCCGATGTGATGCTCTTCTTAGGGGAGAGATGGTGGGGTTTAAGGGAGGCAGGGGTATCTCGTGCAGTGTAGGGGGTTGTAGGCTGATAGCTTAGCTGCATGCATGGTGGGGTTGGGGTGCACGACAGCATTTGTGAGGGGAATGTGGCGGCTAATGTCGTCAGGAGCAGTTTTGTGGAGGGGGCTTTATCCGGGGCGCATGTGCAGTTCAGAACGCCAAGCAAGGGGGTTTGCTGCCTCATTTTGATCACGCAATGTTGGTCGTAAGACTGTGAGTAGGGTTCTCGCTGAAGGGCCGCGCAAGTTTTGGAAGTTCCCTTATGCATGTCTAGCTTGGGACGCTCCTAGTTAATCAACTGGAGCCTAACTCTTTCTGAGGCTTGGTGTGGTAGACGTGCCGGTGTGGGCGCTCAGTGATGCCTCACGTTTACCCCCCCCCCCCCCCCCGTGGGGCTTGATTGGTTACAACTGCCAGTTACAACGTCCCTTGTACGGGATACTCTGGATACCGTAAGACCTGGCTTAGCACATCACATTTTAGCGTGATTCGGCTTCTGGTTTGGCGTTTGCGGCGCCACCATTATCAGAAGTCCAAAACGTGAGTACCGAACGTCTTGGCATGCGTCGTGCTGTGGGGGTTTGTATGTACATAATTCGTTAGCACACTCAACACCTATTTGCTCTAATGACTATGTCGCTCTTGTCAGACATGGTGAACAGAAGCCATTGCCTAACCTTTACGTGGGCTAAAATTGAATCTGGAAGTGTCACCGTACTCCTATTCTTGTAAATTTCCGACCGGGCAACAGAACCACAAGCCAATACGCTAAAACACAGTTCACCAGTTCAGAACCCATCGAGGCAATCCCCTTGCTGCCTTGTTGCCGCCCGTACGAGGTGCCTGGCGCTGCAGCTGCTGCTTTCGTACATTCAGTCCTCTGCCCTTGTACGGCGGCCCAACTTCTTTGTCGTTGTCGTACATAACGCCAACCGCTGCTGCCGTTCCGATGGCTCCTTCGCCAGTGTTTCCTGCCTGCCGCTGCTCTTGTTGTTGCAGCAGCCAGGTTTGGAACTCTGGATCCACGCCGTACGCCTCGTAGCCTTGTCGTACGATGGCCATATAACTGTCACTATAAGGACACGGCAAGCTGTTGGACGATATTGTACAATGTATAAGGAGCAAGAAACATGTTATCGTGGGAGGTGAAGGCGAGCTCTCAGAAGACCTGACCCTACACGTCAGGACCCCTTCCATCGCTGTCTGCGAGCAGAACCGATCCCCAATACCTCTTCCTATCCATCCTCCCCGTCACAAGCGTATCGCCTACCTGTCCGACGACGACGTCGCTGGCACTTCATGGGGGCAAGCATCCGGCTCCGAAACCGCTCCAGCAGCTGCCGTACTGCTCGTACAGCGCTCCCCAGCAGCGGCCCCAAGCTCGGGATCGCCCACAAACGCCACCGCAGCCACGGCAATCCGCGGCGGCAGCGGCGCACCCGCCACCACCTGCACCTCGTCCTCCTCCCTGCTCTCCTGCGCTGCTGCCTCCGCCATTTCAACCTCCCCCGCTGCTGCCGACGCAGCTGTCGCAGTTGCCTCAGTTGCTACCGCCGCTGCTGCCGCTTCTTCCATCGCCTCTGGTACGGCTGAGGTGTGGTGGACAAGACCGTACGGCGTGCAGAGTACCTCCATCGGCCTGCGCGGCCAGAAGATGCACAGCAGGGCTCTGACCTCCACAAATACCCGCCCAGGTGCTCAAACTCCCCACCCTCGCGCCCCTCGTAGCAAACCCCCCACCCTCGCGCTTTCCACACCACTGAAAACGTACCGGTAACCAATTCTCAGTGCATCCGTGTGGTTACCCAGAGTACCCGCTCACCACCCCCCTGCTCACCAGGTCTCCTGCGCAGCCAGCAGCAGCCGGGACATCTGCTGCGCCGGCAGCAGGTGCAGCACGCCGTGAGCTGGTGGTGGTGCTGGTGCTGGTGCTGGCGGTGCTGCTGGCGGTGCTGGTGCTGCTGGTTGTGCTGCTGGTGGTGGTGCTGGTACCTGGGGAGAGGAGGGCGATGCGGGTGCCGCAGGTGTGGCCGCTGCCGGTGCTGTCACGGCCACAAGAGCTGTTGTTCCTGTCGTCGCCGTTGCAACTGCGCAGCGTGTTTCCTCCGTTGGCTTCGCTGGTGTGGCCAGGTTGCTGGCCCCCAGGCTGCTGGCCCCCAGGCTGCTGGCCCCCAGGCTGCTGGCCCCCAGGCTGCTGGCCTCCCGGCACACCGGAACGAGGTTGGCCCTTCCCCCGGGTGGGCGGTTGAAGGCGAGTCTCTGACCTGCGCGTGTTGCCAAGGGGAGGACCCGGCGCCAGAAGTGGTGTGGGTAAAGAGGTTAGGAGCGGCTGTGGAAAAACAGCCTCAATCGCCTGCAGGAACATACCGGTGTGAGACGTACCTTACCTGTGGTGTAATGCACTCGATAAAGCAACGAGAAGGAAAGACAGCCAGCACCTCCCTCATAAGAATCCCAAACTGCCGTTACCACTCACCTTCCACTCGTGCGGCCACCGATGCAATGGCGCCGATCTGCTCCGGTGTTGCTGCAAGCGCTGCTCCGTAAGCAAACCACCAAACGTAACGATAACCACCACCGGCGCTGCTGCTGTCACCGCCGCTGCTCGCACTACTGCCTGGGTGTTTGTCGAAGAGGCTGCATGGTTGCCCGAAGCAGGGCGAGGTAAAGCTGCGGCGGGTCGAGGTGGGAGGGCCGGGATCAGCTCCTCCGGCCCCACCCGCCTGCAGGTTGGCGAGGGTGGCAAGGTACGGCACATCCAGTCGGTACACGTCAGCAGCTGCAGCTGTGGCGGCGGTTGCCTCAACAGCAGTCGCTTCAGCTCCAGCAGACGGCTGGTGGTGGTGGCTGTACTGCAGCCGGTTCGCGGCTTCCCCCTCTTCTCGTTCTCCTGCTTTTACGCTTGCGGCCCCTCCTCCTGCTCCCGCTCCTGCTCCTCCTCCCAGGGGTACGTGGTAGCGGATTGTGAAGGGCGATAAGTAGCTCTACACGCATGCACCGGAAGCAAGGCAAGACAGAACTCGGTGTAGTTCACAGCAACGACGGGTAGAAGTGCTTGCAAGCTTGCAACTCACCCCAGCAGCAGCAGCAGCGAGCACGCCACAAGGCACACCCATCAACTTGACAACCCATCAAGCCATCCTGCAGCCAATTCATCCCAAGCCCATCCGCCTCCCCCCTCCAAGCACCCACGCTGCGGCTGATAAGCTGCACACCGGCCACCGAGAATTCCAGCGGCTGCCAGCGCTCCTGCAGCACCTGGTTGGGAGGGGAGGAGGAAGGGGAAGGAAGGGCAAGAAGGGGCAGGGGTCCGAGAAGACCGACCCATGGGTCGGTGGACAACGGGAATGCCCATGGCTGCGATTTGGGGAGGATAGGGGTTGGGAATGGGTACGGAGGTACTGTCGTCCCTTCCCTCCACGCCCTGCTGTTCCTGCCCCTGGCAGTCCCTGTTAATTCCCTGCCAGTCCCCCTCACACCTGCAAGTCTGCTTCGTCCTTGGTACCATCAGAAATCAACGGAAGCGAGACACGTGCAAGGGGGGATGGAACGGCGGAGGGAGTCAAACGGTTAGCAGCTGGGCAGTAACGAACCACGAAGGGGACGTACTTGATGTGTTGCAAGATGTGGCACAAACTTCCCTCTGCTCCACTTAACCCACCAGCCGCACGGTCCCCGCCCCGTCCTTCCCTCCTCCCCTCCGTCCCAGGGAGCTTAGCCTCTTTGCCGTTACCTGCCCCTCTAAGCCCCCCTCCAAGCCCTCCTCTAAGCCCTCCTCTTAGCCCTCCTCCAAGTCCTCTAGGCCCTCCTCTAAGCCCTCCCCTACACCTCCCTCACCCGCAGCTGCCCCAGGGACAGATGCGGCACGAACCCCTCAATCCCGCGCGCCTCATCCCGGCTCAGCTCCCAGCACTCTGGAAACTCCGCAGCCAACAGCCGCTGAACCTCATGCAGAGGAGACTCAGTCCCAGTCTCAGTCCCAGCTGCACCAGGAGGGCCGACATGAGCGCTTGCGCCAGTGAACCTGCCACCGCTGCCGCCACTGCCACCGCTACCGCTACTTCTTCCCGCTGCCGTTGTTGCAGCTGCGTCGAAAAAAGCGGTGGCGGCTGCGGCCTCTGCTGCTGCGGGCGGCAGCGGTTCGCAGCGTGGCTCCGCCCACACGGTGAGGCTGCGGGGCGAGTGGCGGAACAGCCGCAAGCGCTCTAGCCGGACCTGTACCGGTGACGGGGGAAAAGAAGAAGTCCCAATGTGTTGAGTGGTACTGGCAAACTAGAAGGAGGGAGGAAAGAAAGGAGGGAAGGCAGAGAGGAAGGAAGGACTGGGCCTTCGAGCCGGAATTCGCGCAGCCACGCATGCTCGCTGGCACGAACACCCCCCCTCCGAAACCTCCGAAACCGCCCCACGTCCCCCTGCCCACCCGAAACGGCGCCACCTGCGACAGGGCTCTGCTAGCCCTGACCGCTAGCTGCTGGAAGACCTCCTCCTCCACCTGCACCTCTGCCCTTGTTGCCTGCGCCGCTGCCTGCGCATCCGCCTGGGCCTCTGCCTCCGTCGCCTCGCCTCCACCGCTTCCATCACCTCCACCGCATCCAGATGGCGTGTCTTGGAAAAAGGGGTAGAGCAGGTTGATGTGGGGTGGCCAGCGTACGAAGGACTTGTCGTACCGGCACCGGAACCGCTGAATGCCGTACCAGATGGAGGCGGGCGGGACTACCGCCACAGCTGAGGTGTGGGCTTTAATGTAACGACTGCTGCTGCTGATGTTGCTGCTGCTTGTGGTGGTAGGAGGTAGGGGAGGAGGAGGTACGGGAGGAAGAGCAGGGGTAGCGGAGGAGGTGGAGGCGCCCGGTGCGGTTTTCATGGCGGGATGGCGCAGTGCGGACATCGCGGTTTGGGTGGGTGCCGGTGAGGCCTTATGGGACCTGCTTGCTACAGCGGAGGAGCTTGGGGCGGTTGGGAAAAGCGGCACTTTAATGCGTGCAGGATTGCTTAAGCATGTAAGAAAGCTGCTAATCCTTGCAATTCTTCTTTATAATTGTGCGCTTTACGGAAAGCGTCCACCCGATAGCGAGCGAGCCATACTGGGCTGCACATGTAGCGATCCGTCTGAAGCGCTTTCGAGTGTATCTTCGATGCCTTAGGAAGGCCTAAGCATCTAGATCTTTACCATGTGAGATGTAGAAAGCGCACACAGGTTACTGTTAAGGTACGGCGCACGCGTTAACTACCACGAGCGGTCCCGATCGGTTCAGATCCGGCATCGATCTGCAATCTTACTCTGCTGACCGATGGGAGCTTAGAGTGGTGAGAGTGCAGCCGGAGTAGATGGGTATTCACACGCGGGTGGCTTGGGTGTTCCTCTGAGGGTTGCTATGAAGGCGCGAGACTGACAGACAAAGACACGTCTTGGAGTGTGATTGGCGCTTGGGCCGGAGTAGGGCCTTGGGGTCTGCGGGGGTTGGAATCAGGGAAAGGAGAGGCATCTACTGGGGTGCGGGGTTCAGTGGCAGCGGTGGCCATTGCTAAAATACGACAGCCGTGATCACAAACGACAAGTCTTAAGAAAGCGCGTGATGAGGGGCTTGGGACAAGGGGTTGCATGCTGCCAATAACCTGAAATGGTTCGACGGGGTTCATGGGGAACAGACAGATCAACATGCAGCGCCTCGTAGTCGTCATCTTCATGGGGATGGATGTCGTGAGGTCAAGGCACTAGTTGGCAACCAGCAGTTACCCAGATGATCGTGCGTTGCAGTTGCACAGCTTAAGTTGGGGAAGAAAAAGAAAAGTCCGGGGACGGGAAAGCTATTGCCCAACGGTGTTGCGGCATGTGGTGTAGAACAGTGTTGTGGGGTTGAAGCTTGGGGGGAGGATCCCATCAACGTTAAAGCAGTTTCTATCCTTGTGTGCTTACTTATGGGCTGCTACAACGCAAAACAAAAATGCGTCAAAGCTGCTGGTACACGTACAACAGCAAGGAAAGCAACCGACGCGCTTACGGTAATGCGCGAAATTGAACACTTGGCGCACAGCTACCTTTGTCGAAGAAAAACAGTTGCAACGACGTGTCAATTCTTTATTGAAGCTGGCCGCTTAGTTTCTTTCCCTGACGGGACCACTCAAACTCAGTGAACAACCATGATGAACATATTTAGGCTAGCGGGTGACATGACTCACCTGCTATCTATCATTGTTTTGTTGCTGAAAATAAACGCGACGCGTTCATGCCGCGGTGAGGATGATGATCTTGCGAGCTGGCGCGATGGTGCAGTAGCACTGGTGACTGATGGCGTGGGCTCTCCTGGCGTAGGTGTATCGCTCAAGACACAGGAGCTCTACGCTTTGGTGTTCGTGTGCCGGTACCTGGACCTGTTCACCAACTTCATTTCAATGTGCGTCGAAACTGTCCTCTCGCCGTTTGAAGTCGTGCAGTGTGCAGCAGTTAAAGATGTTGGGCTGTGTACAGGTACAACACGGTTATGAAGGTCATCTTCCTGGCGTCGACCTTCACCATCATCTATTGGATGCGCTTCCACAAAGTTATCCGCGTCACCTACGACCGGGAGCAGGATACCTTCCGTTACCAGTTCCTTGTGCTTCCATGCGCGGTGCTGGCGCTGGTGCTGAACAACGAGTTCACCGTTATGGAGGTATGACCCCCAACCTTCCCGGCCCGTGCGCTTCCCTCTGTCCCCTCATGTCCCAAACACCGCTGGTCATCCTCTCCCTCCCTCCACTCCGTTCTGTAAGATACAGTCCTGCTGAGAGCCTTACTGGGCTGGCGGACAGCTGCATTGCAACCACACGTCTGCATACGTCCCAAGCAGGGGCGCTTTTGGGTTATTTTCCCTTCTGTGTAAACCCGATCGCCGTACGCAAGGCATGCTGTTTGCCACCTGCTAACCTACCGTTAAGCTTGGCTCGTATGTTAGCCCCTTCACTGATACCATATGCTGCCGAACCACTGGCCTCCATACCCCTGAGCCCTTGGGATCCTCTTTGTTCTTGAGGTTGTCCATAGCCCCTTGACCCATGCGCGGACTTCATATGTACCCGAGTCGCTGCAGTCCTCCTTCCGCGCTCCTCATCCCGTTCAGCTTAACAGCCTTTCATGCCTTTACCATCCATCCCACCCCGTATCCTAATCTGGCTCCACACAACCGCCCTCCACCTCCCACTACTGCCGCCCACCCTCCCCTCCGCCTGCGCTTGCAGGTTCTTTGGACCTTCTCCATCTACCTGGAGGCTGTCGCCATCCTGCCTCAGCTGGTGCTGCTGCAGCGTACCAACAACATCGACAACCTCACAGGAAACTACGTCTTCCTGCTCGGGTGAGGAGGGAGGGCGGCAACAGCAGCAATAGCAGCGGCAGACTATTGGAGGGTTGCTAGGATTGATGGTACCGGTGGTGGGGCTGTGTAGCAGCGCCCGGCTAGGTTTGAGAGGATAGCTAGCCAGGAAGGCGTTGAGGTCAGCAGTTCTGTAAAGGCAGAGGAAGCTGAAAGCTGGCGACCCACGTTAAGCCGCGGCTTGCTCGAGCAGGGGTGTAGTCCGCAAACCAACTCTAGCATGACCGTACACATTACCACGCCCTAATCACGGACCCCTATCGCTTGCCTGCAGGTCGTACCGTGCGCTGTACATCCTGAACTGGATCTACCGCTTCCTGACGGAGCCCAACTACCGCCAGTACCTGGGTAAGCGGGGTTGATGTCTGCCATGAGGCAGTGTGCATCCAGCATGCCGCCTTATCAGCGTGCATCAAGGAAGTGTTGCGACGTTTGAAAGGGTTCATAGTGCGGGCCAGACAGGCACGTCCCATCCCTGCACGGCCCCCGCCTGTGGAGGAATGGGTAATTGCACAGTGGTTGCCTGAATGGTCTGGCCCCTCTCAAGTGTGCCTTTCTTCGCATTGCACATCGTCACACTATCCCCATGTTGCAACAACGTTGGTCCCATGCCTCGTGTCATGCGTCGCAGTTTGGGTCTCGGGCATCGTACAAACCATCATCTACATCGACTTCTTCTACTACTACATCAAGAGCTGGCGGAACAACGAGAAGCTCTCACTGCCCGCCTAAGCAAGCGCCGGCGTGAAGTGCGTGTCCCCTTGGGGAGTACCCGCAAGTCAGGGATTTCTTGGATTCTTAGCAGTGGAGATCCCAAGGGAGGTGACGGCGGGTCTCGCATAGTGCGCTGCTCCTGGCAACTCCAGGGCAGCTTGTGGCTCCAGGCACATCCCGGTTGGCTGCTTGGCCGGTCTGTATTAGCGCGTTTTAGAGGACCGTGTCCTATACTGGTACGCTTAGTAAATGTGATGCAATGGAGTGTGGTGAGGTGGCCTCATACCGGGATGTGGGAGGAGTGACGGTTGTGTTGTCGTCCGTGGTGCGACCAAGGGGTTCATTAGGCGGCGGCACTGAATAGGGCAACCGGTTTCGTTGGTAGGGGCTTCCTTTCTTGCTGGTTCTCTGCACAGGCAAAAGCCATAGCTGTGGCCTGTCCAAGTGCTTAGCTTAGTTTTCAACTTGTCGTGCTAGTTTCGCCCTTCTATGCAGGGCTTTTGCTTAGTTCACGCATCTTGTAGTCAGTGCATGCGGGTGGCTCTTATCCTGGCGTGCCTGACTTTTGCTCAGCAGGAAAGTACGAACACGCGTGAATTGGTATCTGTACACGTGGACGGTGTCTGGAGCTTCGGGTTGTCGTGATATTGGAGTGGTTGAGATGGCGGAATGAAATTTTGGTTCGGATTTGGTTACACCGACACTGAGAAGAGGCTTGTTCTTAATGTAAATTCTGGGTACTTTGCAGCATATGTGAATGCGTATGCAAATCTACTTCGTCCTAGCTACCATGCGTGTCCCAAGGGTGCTAATCGCCTGAGCCTAACGCTACCTACGTCCCAAACACACACGAAGGTGTTCGTCACATCCACATGCGACGAAAGCGTCATAGTAAATGACTCAACAGCACCATTGAACAGCAGAGAACCTAGCAACAGGTCAATCGCGTCTAATGAGCCGTTCTAACGTACAGGTCGGCGGAGCCGGCGGAAACATACATGTCCATCTGTGTCCATGCGTCGAAGCTGCAAGTGCCCTGCCATCCGTCTGAAAACGCGTCCTGTTGATGCACGTTAGCTGGTCGCTTCAGCCCTGCATCCTAGTCACGTGTCTACACGGGCTAAGCCTAGAGGCAGGGCCATAACTTTCCCCAGAAGCGCTCCTACCACCCTTGATTAGTTGTTCGCCTTAGCCTTCACGCCTTCACGCATATCATGGTGCTCGTGAGGCCACCAGACGCTGCTCTTAACCTGCCTAGGACCCGATAAAGGAAGGTTTGTCAGTCTTGCAGGGTGCTCCCTGGCCTCTCCTGGCTACCTCCGTGGCTTTTGGACTCCGCCCTTGAGCAGCATCGCTTGCTGCGCCGCGGCTTGCCGGTATTGCTGCTGCTGCTGCTGCAGCATCTGCTGCATCGCTAGGCGCTGCTCCTGCAGCTTTTGCTGCTGTACGGCGCTTAGCTGCCGGAGCTGCTTGTTGTGCTTCTGGATCGCCAGTACGAATTTAAGCAGCACCTCCTCCTCATCCACGACCTGCTGAGGATGCGGATGGCAGAGGGATGACCCAGGTAAGTACGACGACCGGGCCCAAGGACCTCCACCGGAGGCTTCCGGATGATAAGACCGGAGCTCGGATTGAGGCTAGTGGACAAGCGGACGGAGGCCAATGCCAAAGGCCACGAGCATCGCTTATGCAGACATGAAGGAATTGGCCGTACGGCCAAGTTTGTGATAATTTCGACATGGCAAACCCGGGCCGCATATGCATATCAAGCTTTTACGATTAGATACATCAGGTGGGACCCACAGAGGAGGAAGTTTCGGCATCCTGCACAAAGCGGCTTGCCAGGTATAGAACACCAGAACCCTCCCGGCTACATCTGTGCCCGCCTGGAGGGCGGGAAAGAGTTGCCATACATCGGAGGCACCTGTCCCAATTATGCCATATAGCGTCCGAGCCTACCATACAGCGAGTGTGCCCTACCTGTTGCGCAAAGTGTCGCGCCACCGATGGTACCAGCTCCTCTTTGGTTGCTGTCGCAGGCGCATCCCCTAGCTTATGGACTTTCCGGTAGCGTAGCAAGGATTGCAACTGCGGGGCGAACACATTGCGATAAGACCTGCTTAACTTAGCAAGGTAACAAGGGAAAAACGCCACAGGCTAGCCATGATTTTGTACTTACATCAAGTTTGGAAAGGTCTACTCGCACACCGCGTCGTGTACTCCGCGTCTGGCGACCCTGCGAACGCATGTGTTGACGGGGACCAAGTGAAATAGCTTCAATGTACTCGTGCCATTGCATACGTACGTGTGCACAATGGTCAGCATAAGTAGTTACAGCGAAGAAACAGAAACCAGCCCACCTCCATGCCCTCGTCATCGGACGAGGCGGCAGCCTGGAAGGCACCTTGTGCTCTCAAGGCGGAGGGTCGCTGGGGCCGTCTATCTGCCATCTCCTGCGTTACAAAGCGGAGCCCGTCGGATACTTCAGTGCTAGCGATTACCGTAGTCCTTTAAAGTCACCGAACAAGGGCGACGCAACAAGCAAATAAACAAAGGACGGTGTCACGCAAGCGAGACCTTCTGTAATGCATTAGAACGCTAGCAAAGCTTGTTGAGCCGGCCCCGACACCTGATATAGCCGACTACTGGGTCCCGTGCTCACCCACCTTCCCTCAAAAGACTTATAGATGTTGGATGTCAGTTACTTGCAGGCAATAGACAGACGCAGGGACGACTTATAAGGAACGCTTGTGTGCCTGAAAGCCAATTCGAGTGTTCTACTTGTGTGGGAAACTAACAATGCAAGCTCTTCCTTTGGCCAAGACGTATTAGAGTGTGCTCTCGTAGTCTCTTGTGTGCTACTAAGAGAAACGCATAGGCTTGAGATGATGGAGAATGGAGCGCCTCCGAAACCCACAATGGTGACTATTCACATCTGTCGATCTATGCGCAGGATACCTTACTAGCAACTCTTTCTGGCTGTGTACCTGTATGGGCACATTGCAAAGGTAACTCCATCAACGCCTGCAATGATGCCAGGATAGAAAAGGGAAACTAACGTCGGGAAATTGTCGAATCGAACTCTGCCTTGTCAGAATATATGTAGCTGCAGGGGCAGACTGTTTTGATATGAAATTGCTTAGTACGTCAACGTGCAAGATGTCATGGTTACGTTACAGTGTCTTTCAAAAGCCACCAACTATGTTTGGAATGCGAACAGTAGCTAAGTTGCTGACATGTAAACCATCTGCTGCAAATAAGAGGTCCCCCTGCCCCTGGTACGGTAACGGAATTAGTTGAAAAGCCCCAACTTTGTATCCTGCTGCGCCACGAACTCACGGCCACTTTCTCTCTGTCTCACGCCACTTCTTATTGTGTCCTCTTTCAAATGTATCCTTCAGTTTGAATGCCGAAAAAAGACCTTTAATTTGTCTAGCCCATTTGCAATGCCCGGATGCAAGTCATCGCTTATTTCTGTCAGCGCCCCTCTGATAATATGAGCCTCAAATCTAAGAAACTTCATGGCTGTCGTTTGGGGAATGAGTGGTAATGCGCCAAACTAGGGTACATGGCTGGACCCCGAGCAAGAGCGGTGCGGAATGCTTTACGCCTGAGGTGGGGCCTTCCTTGTGTTATAACTCGCGCACCCCTTTCACCTCCTGAAGCCCCGGTCCTGCACGTCGGGTAACGAATGGGTTGCAAGTAGCCTGGGAGAGTTCCCCGGGGTAACTCGAGTCCTCATCCCATTCCAAAGTGGTATAGCACTATTCAATGCTGCTTACCGGTACTTGCGCACCGTATGCATCGACTGCAGACGTACAGCTGGACCTCGTAATGGTATCGTAGGAGGCAAACTAACGTTATTAACCGTCCGGCAGTTAGGGTAATGCCGCAGGGCACTGTTATTACACGGGGACGCGCCTCCAGAACTGAGGGCCTGGCTCCCCTTCGGGTCCTGGCTGCCCACCTGCCTTGCAAGCTTTGCCAGAACAAGACATGACGCCGAGATAAGGCAAAGCACTTACATATGCGCCACGATCCTAAGCGGATGTAGTTTCCTTAAAGCCCGACCATGAAAAACGAATGAAAACACACGCGCAAAAACGGGCTAGTACTATGAACCCTGGTTCTCTTCTCTCTTTCTTCTGCACTGCAACATGCGTTTGTCATCCAGGCATGTCGCCATTCCTCTATGGATCGCTGGCCCATGCATGTGGCGGATTCCGTACACATAGTTGCTGCAGCCCCGGACTATAAACCAATGTCGTACAGTTATAACCATCACGACATGGCTAGCCCAGTCTAGACCACCAATTCCGATGCTATGACTGCCTGATTCTGCCGGTACAAGTCCTTGCTAAGGAGGCATGTGCGCCAGCCGCATCAGTCACACTATCCCGCCATGCAGCTCGCGGCTGCAACGACTGTCTGACGTTCCGTCGTACAGTTTAGGACAGGTTGGACTCCTTCTCAGCCTCCTTGCGGAGCTTGGCCTGTACGATTGAAGGGAGTGACGGGCAAGAGGTTTATGCAATAACTGACACGAGCAAGACGGCGCAACATGAGCTCTCAATTCTGCACGGAGGTGGGTGACGAAGTTGCTACCTACAGCTACCTCCGGGAAAAGGGCAACGGTTGAACTAAGCTGGGGTCAGTCCCGATTGGCACCGCCCGTCGCTGAACCAAGGAACAACAGAACAAACTGGCCGGAGGCATGCAACTGACCAGTGTACGTACATGCACATGCTCGATCGCGACCGATTCTGTAACCCAGGTATAAGTCTGATACCCAGACGTGTTACTGACAAGTGGACTCAGCTCAGCATTAACCCACCCGCTGTCTCCTACACTGCACCCAACACCTCGTAATCTTTCCTAGGTCCCGTACCCACCAGCAGCTTCTTCTTGGTCTTAATGGACACGCCCTGCTTCCGGGTGCCCTCCTGGACGTAGCCCGACGAGGTGGCGTGGGTGGGGCTCTTAGGCGAGCTGCCGCCACCAACCACCATGCCCCCAGTGAACTCCTGGGAGGCAATCTTGATAGCGGATGCCTGCTGCGGCGCAGCCAGCAGAGCGCCAGCGACGGCTGCAACGGCCCAGCACACAGGCATGGGAGGGAGCGTCAATGTCAGTGCAAGCAGTAAAGCGTTGCTTTACGCAGCAAGCGCTGTTTTAATGAAGGCCACCTACTAACAGGCAATAGTAAGTTTATGATGAATTTTATTCTTGGGAGCTGAACTGCAAGGATATGGCCGTGGTATGCAGTCCAGTCGCATCCCCTTCGCGTTCGCGGTGATATAGACAGCAGACTCGTTGAGCCATAAAATTAGGGCGCATTGTATTTTATTAAATTGTTTATAGGACACATAGAGCTGGCAATGCACGGTGAAAAGCGACAACGTCCATGAACGCTGCCAAGAAAATGAACGCAGAGACACATCTGCAGTTTGGAAACAGTACTAGCTGTTCAGTGATGTTTCACACTCACCGCCAGCCAGCAGGCCCAGCACAGCGCGGCGAGGCTGCTCAGCGCTGGCGCGCACAACGACAGCAGAGCGCGATGGGCGCGCGGCCTGCAGGTGTATACGAACGTAATCCCCGGTCAGTAGGAATGCTAATCGTTATTGTAAGTCGGGCTCTACTGGGCATTGCTTGCGGGGTCAGTGCTCACCGCGCGGGTAACGTTGCAGCGCATCATGGTGGCCATTGTGACTACAGAAACCAGTACAACGCGGGCGCTTTAGAGGATGTTGCTGGCACTGAGACTGCGAAGTGATCATTTGGAAGATCTCCACCCAGCGGCACCGAAACCTGGGACTCCAGGGGACCAGCAGCTGGCGCGAGAATTGGAAACGGCTACCGTTAGAAAGACATGTTGCCATGGTTTTTATTGTGGGCACCTTCCAAAATGAACAAGAGAGCGTTTTCTGGAAATTCCAAGCCCTAGCGCTGACGCCGCTATAGTTATGCAAGCATCAATCATTGACCATGAACGCAAATGCTAGTTCCGAAGAGCCGGAGTTTACCTATTATCAGCAAGAGTTGGACGCGGCATTTCACTCGCGAAACGATGTATTCCCGGCAGGGACTCCCGAACATGCTGAGCTGTTGTCGTTTGTCACAAAGCTGTACAAGCTGCGAAAAACACGGTATGAAGCCCTAGGGGTGCTGTTAGCCTTTCGGGATGAGTGACAGCTCCGCGGGGCTAAGCGTCGATGCTCCATGGGTCGCAAGCATACGGTGTCAACGGCCAGCCTAACAAGCGAAGCTACCATGTATTCATTAACCGGTTAAACCACCAATCCTTTCCATACAGGCCGGAGACAGCAGCTGATGCTACTCCAGCTGCGGACCCGCTATTGGCGGAACGGCTGGGCCTCCCATCGTCGTACGACGCTCGCTTTCGTATCAGCGCCTCCTTAGTCATACCTCCCGAACGTCTAAGCACGGCAATTCGCTCAGTTGCACGGCGCATGGCCATGAGGGCTGCAGCGGCAGCTCCGGCAGGAGCAAGAGGGACCTACTCTTCCTGCCACAGCAGCGGCCGGGATGAGCGGAGGAGGGACCGGGGTGGCGGAAGCGGCGGTGCTAGTGGCAGCTGCGGAGGCGGCAGCGGAGGCGGCAGCGGAGGAAGGGGAGGAGATGATGGCAGAGGAGTGACCCCTGACATGGTGCAGGCGGCGACACGGGTGCGTACAGCACAACAGCTAACAAAGGATCCTTATAGCTTCCTAGGCCATCATTGTATCATCCCTAGCACGCACCTAAAGCACCTATGCGCATGAGGCATGATGTGTGCGATGTCCCCCCTGATGGGGTGTTATATCGTCCTTCGTGTCACCCCGTGTCTTCCTCTTGTGTAACGCGTTCACCCTGCTGACCAACCCTGCTGACCAACCCTGCTGACCAACCCTGCTGACCAACCCCGCTGACCAACCCTGCTGACCAACCCTGCTGACCAACCCTGCTGACCAACCCTGCTGACCAGCCCTGCTGACCAGCCCTGCTGACCAACCCTGCTGACCAACCCTGCTGACCAACCCTGCTGACCAACCCTGCTGACCAACCCTGCTGACCAACCCTGCTGACCAACCCTGCTGACCAACCCTACTGACCAATCCTGCTGACCAACCCTGCCGACCAACCCTGCTGACCAATCCTGCTGACCAACCCTGCTGACCAACCCTGCTGACCAACCCTGCTGACCAACCCTGCTGACCAATCCTGCTGACCAACCCTGCTGACCAACCCTGCTGACCAACCCTGCTGACCAATCCTGCTGACCAACCCTGCTGACCAACCCTGCTGACCAACCCTGCTGACCAACCCTGCTGACCAATCCTGCTGACCAACCCTGTTGACCAACCCTGCTGACCAATCCTGCTGACCAACCCTGCTGACCAACCCTGCTGACCAACCCTGCTGACCAATCCTGCTGACCAACCCTGCTGACCAACCCTGCTGACCAACCCTGCTGACCAATCCTGCTGACCAACCCTGTTGACCAACCCTGCTGACCAACCCCGCTGACCAACCCTGCTGACCAACCCCGCTCCCAGGTGGTTGAGGAGTACCGGCGGCTGCTGCCCTGGTTCGAGGACTTCTACCAGCGGAGGCAGGTGCGACACACCGCTGTGCCGGTCGGGTAGGGGTCCCAGTTGCCGCACCCTCTCACTTGCCGTAACCCCTCGTACCCACCTCGCCCCCCCCAGATGTCCCGCTGGCGCAAGCTGCAGGCTGACCGCGCCTCCCTGCCCGCAGCCGCCTTCCGGGAGCCGCTGCTGGCGGCGCTGGCGGGGGCGCAGGCGGTGGTGGTGGCGGGGGACACGGGTGAGGGAGGGGGAGGAGCGGAGGGAGGGTTGGACGTCCGTAAGAGACGTGACCAAAGCGCTTGCATGCATCGCTCTTGCTTTTGGCATCGGGTGTGGGGCACGCAACGGGGCTGCGCTCAGGGGGCCGCCCGTCTCCCGACTCCCTCATCCTTCTCCTTGCCTTTACATCATCTAAACCCACTCATTCATTCATCTCATCCAGTTACCCCAACTCCACTTGGCATCCTCACTCATTAACTATACACGCTTGAACCTCTGCTCCCTTCCTGACCCGCTAACCCCCACCTCCTCCCAGGCTGCGGCAAGAGCACCCAGCTGCCGCAGTTCCTAGCAGCTGCAGGCTACCGCCGCATTGCGGTCACGCAGCCGCGCCGCATCAGCGCTGTGTCACTGGCTCGGCGGGTGGCGCTGGAGGCTGGCGACACGCACGGGGCGGAGGTGGGGTACAAGGTGCGGTTCAGCAGCAGCGTTGCAGGTGAGGCGGGCTGGGTGGGTGGATGGGGCAGGGCGGGGGAAGTGATGAGGTGGGAGCATGGTTTGAAGAGGGAAGGCAGGTCAGGAAGGGGGCGGAGGCTACAGCGCGCGTTGTTGGAATGAGTGGGGATGGGCTGGCCAACCCACGTTCCCACCTCTTCAGCGAGTTCACCTTTCTATGTCCTTCCCCTTCTGAGCCCGGCTGTCAACTCGCTCCCGATGACAACCTCCCCCTGCAGCCGACAGCCGCATTGTGTTTTGCACGGAGGGCATCTTGCTCCGGGAACTGGCGGGGGACCCCACCCTGTCGTCGTACGACGTTATCGTTCTGGATGAGGTACGTGGTGTCCGCCGCCGTACACTGTCCTAACATGTTACAACGTTTCCAGATACCTAGAAGTGCCGTACACATGAAAAATAGCACATGCACATGCTCTGTAAGCTGGGAAAGTGCATCTCTCCGACCTCTTCCTCTCTCGCTCCTGCCACTCCGCCCTTCTCCTTTCCTTCCCCCCGCCCCCTACCTACCTATCTAAACTCCTCACATCCACACTACTCCTCACATCCGCACTAACTTACACTCCTCACGCCCCCGCCCCCCCAAGCTCCAATTACTTTCCCCCATCTTCCACGCCCCCCCCTCCCCAAGGTCCACGAGCGCCACCTCACCACCGACTTCCTGCTGGCGCTGCTGCGCGCCCTGCTGCTGCAGCGCCCCGAGCTGCGACTGCTGCTCATGAGCGCAACCATCAACTGCGCGGCCTTCGCAGAGTACTTTGGAGGCTCGCCGGTGGTGCAGGTGGGTGGGGCCGCGAGCGGGGGCAGGCGGCGGGCGGGGTAGCGGAAAGCGGACAGGGCGGATTTGCCGTTGTTTCTACTTGTTGTTTCAACTTCTGTCTCTAAAGGGCGGGTTTGCTGTTGTTGTTTGTACTTTGTCTGTTGCTCTTTCACAGCTCTCATGTTGCTGGTGGTGCGAACGGTGATAAACAGTGATAGTTGGCAGTAGATTGTTACTGGTGGGTTGTGGCTGCCGTGCACTGCAGATCCCCGGGCGGTTGTACCCCATTCAGCTGGTCTACATGCCGCCCGAGATGACCCAGGGGTCGGCGGAGGGAGACGCCAGGAGGCGGGATGGCGGCGGGCGACGCGGAGGAGGTGGAGGCGGGGGTGGGGCGGCTGCTCGAGGCGGCAGTGGAAGGTGGGGTAGGGTGCGGCATGTCTGAATGTTAAAGCAACACGATCTGACTTGTTTGATTCCATTCTTATTGTACAGGTCAGGGAGCCCGGTCGCGGATCAGATCGACCCAGCGCCGTACCTGCGGCTCCTGCAGCGCATCGATTCCGAGGTACGACACTTCCTTTTTGCTTACGACAGTCACAAAACTATTACGCTTTACGTTCCTTTACTAAAAGAGGATGTCGCTGCTTGGCAATAATGCCTGCCTACCCAGATTCCGGCCAATCAGAGGGGCGACTTGCTGGTGTTTGTGGCGGGTACGGCAGACATATCGGCGCTTTGTACGGCACTGGCACCGTACGCGGAGCAAACCCGCAGGTAGGTGGTGGAGCATATGCTAACATCGTTGTTACACTACAGTAGGGCTAGGCTAACTTCCCTAGCTTCTCACAGCTATGTGACGAATGTTTGGCGGTCAGGGACTGGGTGGGGCCCATCCTATGCTTTGTGTCTTCACCTTGCACTCATGTCTTTCTTCATTCCGCGTCCCTCCCTTCTCAATCCCTGTTTCTTCATCAGATGGGTCATTCTGCCCCTCCACGCTAGTCTGCCGCTGGAGGCGCAAGAGAAAGTATTCGATGTGGCGCCTGAGGGGGTGCGGAAGGTGCGTCCATGCATGTGTGTGAACAAAGGGCTGGATGGGGTGTGGGAGAAGCAATAAGGGCTGGATTTCCGCATGCAGGGGACGGGGTTAGTGCTTTCTGCGCTTCTCCTCCCAGGGTTTTTCTTACCTTGTGTCTTACCTTGTTCACTCACTTATAAGCTCAAATAAAATACAAATACATTTGCGAAGGTTTGTGCGCCAAAGGATTGGGAACGGAAAAAGAAGGGATGAAGTACGGGCCGGCATACCTATATATAACGTAACTTTTTAATATTGTCATCATCGCTTGCCGGCTGAAGCCGGTAATGCACCTGTGCCGGAGTGGTCTAACGGGTGGGTCTCAAGCTAAGAGAATGAGCTTTCCCATAGCGAAAGCTGCGTGAGTTCAAATCTCACCGGGTGCACTTTTGCTTTTTTTCATTTTTTTTCGCCTTTACTTATTCTTTCATTTTTCTTTCTTTTAATCGCAGTTAAGGAAAATGTAATGCAGAACTGCCACCGAAGCTACCACCTCACTTCATCAAAAGGTGCGCACGCACTCGCATTTCCTCGTCCCCCACCACTAGGCCATTATCTCCACCAACATAGCGGAAACTTCCCTCACCATCGACGGCGTGCGATTCGTGGCTGACAGCGGCCGGGCCAAGGAGATGATCCACGATGTAGCTAGCGGCGGTGGCAGCTTGCAGGTACGGCAGTTATGGGCAGGTAACATACCAAGTACGGCGTGGGGGCTACTGTGCATCATCACCACGTGCACGAAGGCAACCTTGCCGTGTGTGATCATTACCTTGCAACTCGCCTAGAAGGTTTCCAAGCAATCAGCTCTCAGCTTGTTAGGGCATTCCGAACGGACGCAATGCTCCCATACCTTTGCAGGAGGGTTGGATTAGCCGTGCTAGTGCGGATCAACGGAAGGGGCGAGCGGGGCGCACCGGGCCTGGCACCTGCTACCGATTGTACAGGTGGGCTTGCGTGTGCCATGATGCTTCATTGGTTCATGGCATACTAGTCATGGATACGGACGATCAAACGGAGTTGTTTAAGCATTATTGCGATCGCGGTTATAGTGACGTGCCCAGCATGATTGCCTCGTGCTCAGCATGAATGACATTTCATGACCGTATCATCTCGATCCATAACCGTAATCGCTTTAGCGCCCCCATATGTCCTTGTCGCCCATGAACATCGTCCCAACCGTACGTCAACATGCTATTGTCGTACGTACGACAAACCCCAGTGAGGCGCAGTACAACGACATGCGCGCCTTCAGTGCGCCCGAGATCGCCCGCGTTCGGTTGGAGGCGGTTGTGTTGGGGATCAAGGCGATGGCGGGCAACGCGATGGACCCACGGGTCTTTGGCTTCATCGACCCGCCTCCACCCGACCGCCTAGAGGCGTCGATAACCACTCTCAAACAGGTACGAACGGGAGAACTTGCACGGCACATGACTTGACGATAGTGGGCATAGTACCTTCATGCCGGCCTACTATCACTCGGCACTTGCCACGGTTCCTTCAAACCTTTTCCACGACCCACCCTGCCCTTACCCCGGCTTGGGTTTCAGGTATTGCGATCTTCCTCTTTTTCCTCTTCTCAACCGGCCTCCCACCACCCTGATCACAGATCGGCGCGCTGAGCCCCTCCGAGGCGCTCACCCCCCTTGGTGCCGTACTCAGCCTGCTGCCCGTGGATGTGGCCATTGGCAAGCTGCTGGTGCTGGGCTGCATGTACGGCATGGCGGGTGAGGAGGAAGGGTGTGTGTGTGTGTGAAAAATAATATAATAATTGGAGCAACTGGAGTCCCAATCCTATATCTCGGAAGGCGGGGATGAAGGAGGGTCTTTCCTTTTTGGCTGTGCCTTCAGTGCAGGAGGATCCTCCTCCTGGCGCATGCGAGGCTTACGAGCCTTAAGTATAATTCCTGAGCGTAAGGGAGCCGGACGGTACAGGAGGTGTACAGCCGGTTTACTAGGGGCGCCACATTACGAACAGCCCCCTTGCTTTTCCCCTTGGCAATGCCAATCTTGGGTGCGTGGCTCCCCTCGTCCTCTCCCTATTGCCTTGCCCTCAATTGTGGTCTCCATTCCACCGGTTTGGTTTCTCTTTTACCCTCCCCTCCCTGTCAGGTCCCGCCCTCACGCTGGCTGCTGCGCTCAGTGTTCAGTCGCCCTTTGTCAAGCTGGGCGAGGAGGAGCATGACCAGGTGCGTGACGTGCCAGTGCCGCCAGGACACCCGCATGCCTCTTTCTCCTATGTAAACGCAACAGAACGCAACAGAAGCTGTCGTGTCGTAAGTAGCCGAGTTGTCATTTGACATCTTTGCCGTGTCCAACAAATTGTGCCAACTGGAGCGATGCGGCGCCCATGCCTTCCGCCCCGACTCCACGCCCTTTGGCCCCGTCGTCCCTCACGCGGCATCCACCCACCCCCGCATGCAGGAGGCCAAGGCCGCGCGCGCCTCCCTCGTCTCGCCTCACGGGGACGCGCTTACGCTGCTCAACGTGTTCGAGACCTGGCTGGCGGTGAAGGCGGGCGGTGGGGCGGGTGGCAGCAGCGGCAGGGGCGGAGGTGGAGGTGGAGGCGGAGGCGGAGGCGGCTGGCGGGGGCCGCAGGCAGTTAGTAGCGCCAAGTGGTGCAGGTGGTGGTATAAAAAGGGGGGGCTGCAGGGGAGCAGCGGGGGCGGTCGAGGTGGTGGGAAGGCCCTTGGGTGTCAAGGCTGAGAGTTAGGAGCTAAGGACGGCGTTAATGAGTGGGTCAGGACGTCGCTACGGGTTGTTACCATGGTATGTCGTACAAACTGCGTCGCCCACGCGTCACATACACACGCGGCCAGTTATTTTAACACACGCGGCCAGCTTTCTTAGCACGCCTTATCACACAGTCAGTTAGTTGTTTCCATTTTACCCCCCTCCTGCAGGCGCCACGGCCTGGCTGAGGCTCGGCTGTACGAGATGGCCAAGCTGCGCTGCCAGTTCGCGGAGCTGCTGGCGGATGCGGGCATACTGAGGTGAGGTGGCGGGAGGGGGGGGGTAAAAATAAGGAAAATTGACGAACTGGATGACGAGGGGGGGAACTATATGAGGATCGCGGGAGGGGGAGGAGGAGGAGGAGGGAGGAATGGCATGACGTATGACGTGCTGTTGCGAGCACGTACGGCGAACCTAAACCACATGAGTCTCTTGACAGGGAGGGAAAAGGGCGGAGAGCGACCCATGGGTCCTGGGGACGTGTGCTGATGGCAAGAGCCTGCTAATCCTGTGGCATAGCTACCGAACCCAACACTCCTACACTCGCCACGCTTCCGGCACATGGTTTCGCAGGGCGGGTGGGGCCACCGCTCTGTCCGCCGGGCAAGGCGCCCGCAGCCGTCACCGCCGCCACCACCGCCACCGCGGCGGCAGCGCCGGCGCGCTTCGGGGCGCGGAGCTGCATGCGGCCAAGCGGCGACTGCGGGCCATGCAGGTGCGGGCGTGCTGGGGCAACTTGGCTGCTTAACTGATACTGGGGGCATGGGCGGGTGTGTAGTTGTAGGAGGAAGAGGAGAGAGCAGATGGACACGCCAGGTGTAGGTGTTAGGTGACCTGGCCGCGAGTAAGAACGCGTACTGGGATGCGTGTGTTAAGAAGACTGGCCGCGAGGCGGAACGTTCTGTGATTTCCGGAAGGTTGCGTGCATGTGCACTGCTGCATGCAAGTGGGCCCTTTGGTGGAGGAGCGCAAGGAGCGCATGTGGGCACTTTGGTTGTATGCCGTTTCTGTAGCACTTCCCCACGTCCATTCCCACCCCCTCAGGCTGACATGGAGCGGCAGCGGGGCCGCAAGGTGCTCAAGGTCGCACGGGGGGCCGCAGGAGGCGGCGGTGGGGAGGCAGCGGGAGGGGAAAAGGAGGCTGCCTCGGAGTCCGCCTCCTCGTCATCAGGAGAGGAGGAGCTGGAGAGGCTACACGACCTGGACCTGCGAGTGCATGTGGACGTGGGGTCCATGGCAGCAGGTGGGAGGGGATGGAGCTAATCTGAGCCGCGAGGAACCACTAACTGGGAGGGGATGGACCTTGGGCCGGGGTTGTAGGGTTCAGAGGCCGTACCGGCAAACAGGTTTGCCTCGACTCGTTTGCAGCCGTTCGAGCGGGGCTCGGGTCACACCAGTCACCCCTGCCGTGACCAACCTGGCTCCTTATCCTCTTTTCCTCCTCCCTCACATCCCTCCTCCCTCACATCCCTCCCCCTCCATCCACTACCGGTATTATCGTATTACCAGCTCGATTATTCCCCCTCCCTTTTCCTGCCCCCCTCTTCCTTTTTCCCTCCCTCCCTTCAACACGTTGGTATTTTCCCCCCTCCCTCCCTCCCCGCAGAGTCCAGCCAGCCCCTCAGCCCCTCCGACGTGGGCCTGCTGCGCCACCTGCTGGCCGCCTGCCTCTACCCGCGACTGGCGGTGGGGGAGCCCGACAACTGCCAGCGCAGGGAGCAGGACTGCCGCTTCCATACCGCACAGGTGGGGCCGGGGGGTGGGGGACGCTGGTGACATGTTCTTCCAGTTTGATCACAGCAGCGTATATACAGTATTGGCAGACAATACCGGTATGGCAGAGGAGCCGCAAGTAGGTGAGCATGCTTCTTCAAAGATATGGTATGTTGAGCAACCCAATCTGACCCAGTCCTGTATCCTTCCATCCCCCTGCAACCTGCCCTGCTACCTGCCTTCCCCCAGGTTTCAGACCTTGTCGTACATCCCGGGTCCAGCCTGTACGGCAGCTCCAACAGCCTCCCCCGGGGCCAGGTGCTGTTGTACCAGGAGCTGATCGAGACCAGGTGGGGAAGGGGAGGGGTTGGAGGGAAAAAAGAAATTCCAATGTGTGGTGTGATAATGATACAAGTTGGAGGGGGGAGGAGGGGATAGCCCCGGAAGGAGAGGAGTGTCTCAGGGTATCGTCGCTTCTAACTGAGCCGCGGCGAGATGCCGACCGTGACGATAGAAGGGACCGGAAGACGTTCAAGGCAAGGAGGAAGCCGTCCGGGTGCCGTCCAAGCTGCATGTATACGGCATGTTTCTGGTCATTGTCACCATTCAAGCTATGCAACCCTGTCACCCGCAGCAACTCGCCGCCTAATGCAAACTCCCAAGTATCCAACCCGACCCAACCCAACCCTGCCCCAATCAGGCGGCAGTACCTGTCCTGCCTGACGCCCCTGTGGGCCCTGCCCGCGCTACTGCTGGCTGCCCGCCGCATTGACTGCGACCCACGGGTCGGCAGGTGGCTGGTGGACGGCTGGCTGCTGCTGCGGCTGCACGACGGGAGCGGACCCCAGGTATGGCTGACCCCTCCCTGTGTATGCGTGCGTGCATGGGGGAGCCCATAGGAGTAGATGGAAGAGTGTACTTTCCGTCTAACACTGCTTGCCCTCCTTCCTCAATATCTCCTTCTTTCCCGCGCTTGTTTACCCCAACGTACCTGTCAACTCCCTTCTTTCCCCTTGCTCAGGTCGTTCCCTCTTACGGTACCTCTCCCAACCTACCCCCGTGTCCTCCCTCCTCCCAGGTGCTGCAACAGGTCATGCACCTGCGCGCCTCCTCCTCCCACCTAGTCGCAACACGCCTCAGAGCAGCCCGGCTCTCAGCACTTGCTGCCGTACAAACCGTCGAAGAAAACGAAGAAGAAGATGGAGAACCACCGCGTAGCGGTGCTGACGTGGCCGAAATCGGATCCGCTGGGTCCGTACAACCTGGATCCGTACCCGGTTCCGGATCATCTGGGTCGGAAGTCAGCGCCGCCTTCCAAAAGGGCTACTCCGCGCTGGCGGCGGCACTACCCGAGGAGCTACGGCCGCTGCTTGACGGCGTCGTACGACAACAAGCCACGTGGCGGCAGCAGGCGGCGGCGGCGCGGCAGCGGCGGCAGGAACGTGAGGATGATGATGTTGATGGGAATGAGGAGGAAGAGGGGAAGGATGGAGAGGGTGCAGGCGGAGCGGCGGCGGCGATGGCGAGGGATGCAGAGCTGGAGGATGAGCTGGCGAGGAAGTTGTCCCTGGACATGTGGCCTTGCAGGTAGGTGTTTAAGCAACTGTGTGTGCGCAGGACTGCGGGCCTGTAATCACCTGTATATCACATGTATATTGCACGCTATCCGGTACATGCATGTCGGGAAAAAATGGTTGCTGGGTATCCTAACATACCGTACCTCCCAGTGATCATCGCGCAAAAATAAATAATTATTTGGAAAAATGTGTATAACGCGCAAAATAAATAATTGGTCCGGGGCCTGCGCGTTAATAAAAATTAATTCCCCAAAGGACTGCGCGTTAACTAAAACATTGCCCATGGCGTGGCCACCAGTGCGTGCTGACTCGAAATTCCGGGTTCCGCTCTTTTCCTGGCCCCATCCATACCTACACCTCCTCTCTGATCCGTTTTAACCCGTAGCTTTAAGTTCATTGCTCTGCTTTTCCGGTCTTTCTAGTATAAGCTTCAGGCTACTGCAGTACTACTTTACAGGCTGCGCGAAGTGGAAAATAATTGCTCAGACCCCTGCGCGTTACAAAAAATTATTTCCTTACAGCGCTGCGCGTTAAAATAAATAATCCCTAAATTTCCTGCTGCGCGGTGATCAGACACAGATACGGTACAGTGCTGTCTTGGTTCTGTTCGCCGGTACTCCCTGCAGGTACTCCCTGGAGCGGTTGCCGCCGGGTAACAAGGTAACGGCACAGTACGACATACCTGAACTAACCGCCAACCAACCGCAAATGCAAGCACCCCAGCCTTCGCAACAGCAGCAGGAGCAGGTGGCGCAGCAGCAGCAGCCGCAGCAGCCGCAGCAGCCGCAGCCGCAGCAGCCGCAGCCGCAGCAGCCGCAGCAGCCGCAGCCGCAGCAGCCGCAGCCGCAGCAGCCGCAGCCGCAGCAGCCGCAGCAGCAGCAACAACGGCCTCAGGGGGGAGGCCCTAGCGGCGCAGCGGCGGTGGGAGTAGCCACGGACCCGCTAGGGGTGCCGTACAAGTGCGCTGGCGTCTGGCTGACACCCTGGCTAAGGTGGGTAATTGGGATGTCGGGGGGAGAGGGGATTGGGGGAGGCTGGCCAAGGCATGGCTGCATGGTTTGGATGACAGGGTACCGGTATAGGGACGGTCAGGGAGCTTGGTGCTGGCGCATCCCTTGCTCATGCATTGTTAGGTACCGCTCGTCCGCATGTCAGGGTGCGTAAACATCACTGTTCGTTGAGGGCATGCCGCAACCGCCTTGTCTCCCCCTACGTGTCGTACAACAGGTACGGCAGCCTTCGCTCCTTCAAATCCGCAATGGCCCTGCACGCGCTGCAACCCGCGCTGCGGAAGCCCTGGCTTTGCCCCGGTTGCGGTGTACGACTTGTCGGAACGTACGGCGATGTACGAGACCACGTGGGCAGCTGCGATGCCGTACGAGGCGTGGATGCCCAGGCTGTGGAGACGCTGGGGTACGCGCAGGCGGCGACGGCGCCTCGGGCGCTGGCGGCGGCGGTACCTGGCAAGGATGGTGGCGGAGGCGGCGAGACTGTCGGGGATGATGGGCCGCTAGCGGCGGCGGCGGCGACGCCGGCGGGTGGTAAGCCGGTAGATGGCGACGCCGGCGGCTGCAGCGGTGATGCCTGCGAAAGGCTTGAGTCGTACCTTGCTGGTGCCGTTAAGTGGTGCCGCCGCCGCCAGGCTTCGGCGGCAGTGCCGCCGGGTGTTATGGCGGCGGCCGCAGCGGCGGTAGAGCGCAGCAGCGGCCCCGCAGCCGCCGGCAGCGTTGGCGGTGGCCGGTCCAGGTGGGATGGAGGCGGCGACGGGAGTGCTGTGGCCGGCGGGGCCGCGGCGGTGCCGGCGGGAGCAGCGGCGGGGACGCAGGTGGCGGCAGCAGCAGCAGCAGCGGGCACAGCACGGCTGTACAAGTGCCCTACATGCGGCCTTGAAGGGCTGATGACACCTCCGCAGGTGCTGCAGCACAAGCAGCAACACAAGTAGCACAAGTGGAGTTGCATGGAGCTTAGCTTTTCTAGAGCTTACCTTCCGGTAATCTGCATTGTCATGGTCACTACAGGTCCGCCGGAATGAACGTTCTGTGCGTCAGCGGGGATTGGTCTGAACATCTGATACTCGTAGGTCGGTTTGGGATAGCGGGAAGGGCAGGTGGGACGACCCATGGGACGCTCCGCAGTATCGTGATGCTCCTATGGAGCCAGGATTTTCCTGGAGGGCAGGAATCGGTTTGAAACGGGGGGATCTGTTCCGTTGCTTTGGACGGTAGGCGCGGGCGTGTAGACCAGGTAACCCGAGCGGACGTGCTTGCGTCGCGGCGTGCGGCGCTGTGATGTGGCTGGGCCGCGTGGTTGGCAACCACACCTCAAGGCCAGGCAGGGATCGCCGCGCTGCTCGAGGCATTGCGCTTACCGTTTCAGAATTTGACTTGTCGCCCGCTGCAACGCTGCTTGGGATGGAGGCGGTTGTATCCTGTTAGTGCACGCGCTGCTTTGATGAACAAGACAGTATACAAAGCAGGTTATAAGCTGCGAGAAGAGGGAAGATGTTGGGATTGCGAGTTGTCAGAGGTCCGGTGAGACCGGTGCACATCTTATGTCGGTTGATGCGGGATGGACCACGAAAGCCCGCTGTCGTAGACGCGAACAGCGTAATAAGGGAAAAGGCCGCACATAAGCCATCTTACATGACACTTGAATGTACTACTTTTTGTCTGAGATACCCGTCGCAGTAGACTTTTGTATTAGAAGGCAGTGAGGAGCCATGGGGGAACAGGCGGAGCTGTTGAACTTACACACCGATAACGCTGTGCTGCGGAGAGCAAAGCGGCCTCGGCCTGACAGCTCGGAGCATCAGGTGTTCGACCTAGCCGACTCCGATGGTAAGGTGGTGGGCTTAACGAAATCTGCAACACGCATTTGGGGGTTAGTATCCTGCAACCCTTGTGCGCCATTTTCCTTGTAAACGTTGTGCATATGAAAGATGCATAAACCTGCTTCAGCTGCACAACGGTTGCTAGGCTTGTAGGGGTTCTTTAGCGTGGGTCTAGCCCTCAAATGGCCAGTATACTTGTCAAGTTGCAATTGTTTATCCCCTGTAATATACCACGTGGTGCTCGCGCAGATGATTCGCCCATTTCGCGTTCGAGGCCGGTGGATGGAGCGGAGCAGGTATGAAGTGGGAGATGCGCATGGACCTACCTACGTGGGTGCAACGCCAACGCTGATAGTTTAACCTCTTCATACATAGGGTGCTGATCGTCGCCAAGCACATCCCAGGATAGGGTCACTTTGGGGAGCGTTGCAAGACCAAGATGCTGGGGCCCGAGGTGCTTTGGGGCGACCAATCTATCGGCCACCATCTGCACGTCTTCGTCGGTTGCCTTTGAATCCTAGACCCAACACCGTTCCTAGTCCGATTGTAATCGATGACGAGGAGGATGACGGGGACGACGCGCTGTCGCCCCAACAGCGCCCACCGCTGCGACAGCCCCACGCGCTTCTGCAGGCCGCAGGCGGAGATGCCCCTGCCGCGGATCCCTTTGGCCTCCCAGCTCCGCTCGCGCAAAGGTCGGGTTGTAGCCCAAGAGCTTAGCGCAGGCCCGAGAACATAGCCAGCTCTATACGTGTCTGTTTTCGCCTGGCAGACGGCTCAATACCAGTTACCCAAGAACGTATGGGGGTTATAAGGGGGTCACGCCCTTACACTCACCCGTCCCCCTCCTGCTGTACGCAGGCTGCAACTACGTGGACTGGCTTCTGGGATCCAAGCAGGCGCCGCCGCTACCAACGCTTCCTCCGCCGCTTCAGGAGGTCACTTGCACCCACAACCGCAGCAGGAGCCCGCCGCTTCAGACCCCTCTCAGCCCCAGCAACAGCAAGGTGCACCACCGCCACCGCCGCGGCAGCAACAACAGCAGTGGCTGAACCCGCTTTTGCAGCTCCGGCGGGTGCCGCTGCAGCTGCCGCAGCCCAGCCAGATGCTGGGCTGGCTTGGGTTCCCTGCTGATGGCAGCGGCGGCGGTGACCGCGGAGAGGGTGCATCCTCTGCTGCTGCTGTTCCGGCGGCAGCAGGGCTCCAGGGCGGCACCGCTGCTGCTGGGGGCGAGTCGACTAATGGATCGGGGCCTTCCTCGTCGTCGCCGCAAGCCCGACACCACCCTGCGGGGCCCCGTCTTGCGTCCTCGTTTAGGGAGGCAGCTGGGCGAGGAGAAGAGCTGCGGCGGGAGTCTTCGCTGCGGTCGCCGCTGCAGCAGCGGTTGCAGCGGTATCATGAGTTGCAGCAGCAGCGGCGGCTTCGGCAGGAACAAGAAGACTTGCTGCGGCGGCGGCAACAGCAACAACAGCAGCAGCAGCAAGAGTCGCGGGAGCAGCAGGAGCAGGGGCAGGCAGGGCGGAAGTTGGACCCGGCGGAGCAGGAGGAAGAGGACAAGCGCCTCGCGGCTCGGTTGCAGGCAGAGGAGGACGAGCGGGCGGCGCGGGAGGCGGCACGGCGGTTGGAAACGGATGAGCTGCTTGCGCGGGAGGAGGTGGAGAGGGCGGAGCAGGAGGAGCACCGGCGGATGATGGTGAGAGGGGCTGGGTGGTGCTGTCTGGGGCTAACAGAGGGGTGCTGTCCTGTTAGCTCTTGTGCTTCCTGCTGCCTTTCGTGCCTTTAGCGCAGAGGCCTTTTACTCGCCCAATGGACTCTGTACATGCATGCAGTGAGGCGTCCAGTCGCAACCCACTTGCGTTTCTTTACGCACCCATTCCCTCCTTCACCCAAACGCCTGCCTCGCTTCCCTCACCGCCTTTCCCTGCCTTTCCTCTGCCTTTCCTTTGCAGAACCGACTAGACGCTCTGGAAACGCTCGAGGCCACCAGTCAGGCCGCCGCCGGCCGTGCCATGCGCGCCGCCGGGGGCCGGCGGGCCAACCGCGCAGCCGCCGAGCGGGCTCTGGCACGAGAGGAGCTCTTCGACCGGGAGCTCGAAGTCGACTTCATGGACATGATGCGGGCGGCTAGGTACGCACGAACCGGCGGTGGCGGCGCTGCGGGTGCAGCTGCGGATCAGGCGAGCCACTTGCCTTGGCTCGCTGGCCCCGGTGCCGCAGCTGCTCGGAGCATTGCCGCGGCTGCTGCCGCCGCCGCTGACGCAGGCTCTGCAGCAGCAGGTGGTGGTGGTGGTGGTAGTGGTGCCGGAGCCGGGGCTCGTGCTGGTGCCGGCGGTCGTGCGGCTGCTGCCCGGTGGAGCGGCCGGGCGCTGCATGAGATGATGTTTCCGGGAATGGCCTTCGCCATGGGCATCCCGTACGGCCTGGCCCGTGCCATGGCTGATGAGGAGGGCGGCCCTGGAGCCGGGGCAGCTCGGGACATCCGCCGGAATCGTTACGTCGCGTTCCGGGAGCACGAGCGCGCCGTGCGGGAGCAGCTGGCGGCCGCACAGCGGGCCGGTCTGCCACCCTCGCTGCTGCTGTCCGACCGGGACTTCACGCCGGAGGATTACGAGATGCTGTGCAGGTTGGATGACAAGGTGGAGAACCGCAAGGGCGCCCGAGAGGAGCAGCTGGCCTCGCTGGAGGAGCTGGTGGTGGGGTCCGAGGGGCGGCGGCAGAGCGACGGCAGCGTGGCGACATGCGTGGTGTGCATGGACGAGCTGGCGCCCGGGGCGGTGGTGAAGCGGCTGTACTGCAAGCATGAGTTCCACAGCGACTGCCTGGACACGTGGTTGAAGATAAAGGCTTGCTGCCCGGTTTGCCAGCGCGACCTGGACTAGTGGGGAAGGGGGCAAGGAAGAGAGGATGATGGCTTTAGCGGCATTGGGCGAAGGGCTTGCATGTAGACGAGGAATGGCGGCTGGCGGCGCGTTTGTGTTCGGTGTCGACGTCCTGTAAACCGTCCCATGGGTGGATGGCCGCTACGGTTAGGCACTTTAGTCGGTAGTGGGTGGCTGGGATGCCTTTAGGCCTTTAGGACCCTGGCCCATTTTTTTGTGATGATTTGGTATTGCATTTCAGGTTAGGGGCTGGAGCTGCATGCCGGGAGTGTCTATGGGGGAGCACCGTTGTGGTGTGTTCCTTGACAGTTAGCACTTGACTCTCCAATACACCAAGGACACGTGAATCCTGGTTTGAGTGTAGTGTCGCGTTTGCGGCCGTTTGGTCATGGAACGTGGGCATATATAGCCTCGCTAAGCGCTGTGTGTACATCCGCTGAAGCAGCGGTGGCAGGACGGGTGCGTGCAGTCGTTGTTGCAGTGCTGTAAAGAGCGGATGGCCGGGCGCTTGGGCTTTCACGCCGTGTGTACTATATTAGGCCATTTGATAGGGCTTACGAGTGTCCTTTCTTCCCTAAGACACCTGCCATTAGGGCTTTTCAGCTTATGCTGTTGCGCGAGGGTAGCTTTCTGTGCGCAGTCTTGCGGCCTACACATAACCATTGTGTGAATGCGGTCCCTAGCTTTTGCCGCATGGCTTGGCATGACGCGACGAATGGATTATATACAGCTGTGGGCATCATCGATCAACAGGCTGCACCATTCATCATGCACGTACTGACCAACGTGTAAGCAGGTGTGGACAAGGCCAAATCAAGTAGTAGACCCTTGACACGTACAGTACACCTCTCGCACTAACAAGATCCATACCATGTTCGTGCGTTACATGGCAGTTCGGAAAGGCATACAGCACCGTAGCGTGGTTCCCAATACGTCGCCCGTCTGCAAGCAACGCTTACAACAGTAAGCCGCGTCTCCAGCTTCCACCACTGCCGGCGACAGGCATTTGAGTCACCTTTCGCCCACGGTCCCACGGCATAAACCACATGCTGAGCTGTATCCTGGGTAACGAGCCCGCCTACCACATTTTCCTACGGTTGGCATGCACCGGCAGCATTCCAGTCCAGTATAGACTGACAAATGGGAAAGCGTAGGGACCATGGCAAGCCGCTCGAAATGCAGATTCCCAAACCATCTGCCCTCTATCTAGCTTCCTACGCACATAGCCTGGGTTGACAGCGCTCAGTGCCCATGAAAACTAGGCTGCCCTAGACACAAACGCTGGCACGCATGTGCGGTTCACAGCTGTACCCTCGCACGGTTCATAACTGTACCATGGCCAATTCTTGACCCAGATGGCGGCCCCGATCTGTGATCTACCCTACAAGCACCAAAACACACCTGGACTCTAAAGACCCTCCCCACTCCCCTCCCCCTTCCCAACAGAACAATGCAACCCTTCCTCTGGTCCGACGGTCACTGCTGCTGTCCTGACGGGGACTTGCTCAATCCCCGCATAAAGCGGACCTGGTCCACTAGCGCCTTAAAGCTGAAGGGCTCGTTCATAGCGAGCTCCGACAGAACCTTACGGTTAAGCTGCACGTTCTCCTCCTTCAACCCGGTGATGAACCCGCTGTAGGACATCTGCACGTAGGAGCCATGGATATTACGTCCGCTTTCCCGATGACTGCCTTCCGTCGCAGCAACTTACCCCGTGCTCGCGCGTCCCTGCGTTGATACGCTGAATCCAGACGGAACGCCAGTACCGCTTTTTGAGCTTGCGTCCAACGTACGCATGCTGAAGTCCTTTCTCCACACGCATCCGCGCGATTTTGATGCAGTTCCGAGCTCGCCCACGGAAGCCGCTCGCAAGCTGCAAAATCTTTTGCCTGTTAATAGGCATTTTGCCGATCGCTAGTGATAGTAAGCACTAAGGAGTTATAGCAATGGCGTCGCCGCCCAGAGCTAGCCCACTTAAGTGGCCATAACAGGCTTTAGTGTTAGCAATTACTTCCGCGTTATTAAGAACTACGATATAGGATTAAAGTTGGCGTTCAGCAGGGAGTTCGCTGGAGTTCGCCTTTTTACGTAAGTTTTCAACCAGGGCGATGACGTTGATTTGTAAACTAGAAATGGGAGATTTCTGAGGTTTGGGCTGTGCAACGACTTGCAGCTCTGCTACTTGGCTTCCGTACTGATGTCGTAGCAACTGTGACTCCTGTGGCATAGGCATCACGGACACTCTTACCAGTTATACTCAGCGTCCTGAGTATCTGATGAGCGAACACTACAATCGCGACCGCTTGTCTCTACCAATTATTGTTACGTTGCGGGCTGTCATCCCCTGTCATCCATCTGTCACTGACATACGAAGCGCCGTCTATTTGCTATTACGTGCATGCAAGGATGGCCCAGATTTGCTGCTTCCAGCTTGATTGAGAGGTACAACTCTACAGCGCATCAAGCACAACCAAATACCCACAGTGGTCCGTACCTCCGTGCGATGGCGTCAGCTTCAGCAGCGAAACAGTGAAGCCCGGGCAAAACCCCTGCCAGACCCTTAACGCAGACATGACATTTAACCTGGCCATGGCTCTCTACTCTACTCGTACAACGTCTCTGTTACGACGGAGACATCTACACAGTCCAGATAAACACACACGCCATGCTACGCACATTATGCTAGCACCCTGAACAGACGACGTTAATGCACACGTTATAGTGCGGCAACGAAGGGTCAACCATGTATGCGGCGATGCCACGTATCCGGCGAGGAAGGGAAACTTTTTGCAAAGAGCTGCAGCAGTGCTCCTCCGCCCATCCATATAGCATGCCTATTCGGTTTGTCTCAGCGGCAACCTCTAACGGTTTAACTACTGCATCCCTGCCCTGCCAAATTGGATACTCTCAAAGACGCATGTGCCTATCGCCAAACTCCACCCAGACCTCATGCCGCACGCCTGACAACGAACAGCCATCACCGGAGCTACAAACGCACCAAGCTACAACTTGAACAGCCCCTGACCTAGGGAAACTATCATTATCTTGGTACACCCACATCGCGTTTTCGTGTAAGCAGCCGTTGTTGACACCGCTCAGTGCATGCGGGCTCTAACAGCGGAGGACAGCCAATTGCTGCCTGTAACGCCGTACCGTACCAAATTTCGGACGTGCCCGCACCTGTCCACATCTCCGCCTTGCACACCGCTACCATCACGTCGTGCCCACTTCTCACTTGAGCAACAGCGGAACTATAAATCAAAGTGAACCTGCAACAGACAACCCACCTACACCTCATTGCAATTCGTGCTACACAGCTATTGCCGCACTGCCTGTAGCTTTAAACTGTCAGGACGCCTATCAGTACCGTATGTGCTACAACAAAGAACCGGTGTGACGACAGCAAAACAAGCTCCTGTCTTCCTAAAGGTTCCTAACAGCAAGACTGCAGCCGCCGCGCTTTCGACATGCATGATCCGAGCATGCTTCGCCACCGCCACTATCACCGTAACCCTCTGCCATCATTCCACGCCTTACCTCCATGTCAACCTGGCAAGCAGCACATAAAAACAGGGGTAAGCCACCACCTACCACCACCGCCACCAACTCTACCCTTGCAAACCCTTGCGCCGCTCCACATAATCCCATTCCCCATAATGAATCTGCCCAACCACCCATCCACACTTCTTACGAGCCGTACGCACCGCCAGCGCCCCCCAGCGGGTCCCCGCCAAGACCCGTCGCGAAGAAGTTCTCGTCCTGGTCGTACGAATAGAACCCCAGTAGTGGCGGCTCCTGCGCGCTCTCGTCGTACCAGGCCACCGCATCCACTTCGGAACTCAACCGACCCGGCAGACCTGGCGAGTGCCCCACACCGGCCCCGAGAGGCCCAGCTCCGCCTGCTGCTGCACCCGCTGCTGTCGCCGTACCTGGAAGAGGAGGCATGGAGAGCGGGTCGCCGCCTGCTTGCGCAGCAGTGGGGGAGTTGTAGGCGCTGTTGAAAAAGGAACTCGCGCCGTTGTTGAAGGTGCTGTGGTTGGCAGCAGCCGCGGCCCCTGCAGCCACAGGGCCGGTGGTGGTGGGCAGGGCACTCCCTGCATGATGCAGCGCCTGGAAGGGGTAAGCGGGGGAGTTGCCCCCGTGCTGCCCAGATGCCCCAGACGGCTCGGGCTTCACGACCGTCGGCGGAGCCGAGGGCACCCCGCCCGCCGCCGCCATGCCGCTGGCGCCTGCCGCGGACCCGCCGCACGTGGTCCCCCCGCCCGCCGTTACTGCGGCCGCCGCAGTGGAGCCGATCCCTGCGGTCCCCACGGTGCTGCCTGCGGGCTCTGCGGAGGCAGTAGGCGCCGCCGCCTGCTGACTGGTGGTGCCGCCGTTGTTGGTGTGCTGCACCAGGTAGACGTCGATGGGGCCCTTGGTGCTGCGCAGGATGATGCTGCGGGACCGGGGGGGGAGCGCGAGAGGGCGTCCCGGTGAATTGGGAGTAGATCTAGCACATGAAAGTGACGAACGCACCATTCCCAAACCTGCGCCCGTGCACCACGCTATTCCTCGCCCCGTGCCATCTTCTCCACGCAACTCACCGGTACCGCATTTGCCCGCCGTCCCGTGGGTCGGCCGCCTCCCGCGGGTCGGGTACCTCCAGGGTGGTCCCCGGCGGCGCCTTAACCGCAAAGATGGTATCGTTCGCAAAGCAGGGCAGGCTGGTGACGTCCTCATCGGTGACGTACAGACGCGGCTTGTTGAGCGGGTTGTCCGACAGCGACTGTATGGCGGTGGTCATGTAGCGGATGTGGTCATCCAGGGAGCGCTCCTGGTCCTGCGGGGCGGGGCAGGGGCGAGGGGGCAGTGGGAGCAATAGTAGTAGCGTGAGCGTAACGGGGGTGAACGGTGGTGACATGGGAAGGGAAACGGGAGGGAAAATACCACCGAAGGAAAAGCAGGAAAAGCACCCCACGCACTCGGCAAGGGGTGCATGGGAGTGCTGGGTTGCAGCGGCGGTCATGAAACCCTAGTTGCGCCCGCGTCACGGCCCACCTCCAGCGACTTCATGTCCTGTCGCAGCCGGTTGCTCTCCGGCTCCGTCTCGCGGTCCGCAGCCGCCGAGGCGCCCCGCCAGCGGATGTTGTTCTTGGACTTCTTCTCAATTAGCCCCACGCCCTCCAGCACGTTGGTGATGTCGTAGATGCGCCGCTTTTGGACCTGCGGGCAACGACAAGGGGGGAGATGGGAGGCGGGAGGATCAGGAAGGTGGTAGGCAGCGGTGGCATAGGATGCGGCAAACTCCTCTTGCCGGCTTCTGCCCCTCCGCACAGTCGTTTGCCATGCTTATTGCGTGCGCCACGCGTGCTTTGCACTGTCCATAGCTACTGACGCGGTGGAAGCTAGGGCTTAGCTAGTCCTCAAGAACTTGCAGGGGACATGCAAGTCGACGACCTCGCTGCCCCGCACCAGCACACAAGGTGACAAGGGTATATATAGAGATGAACGGGGCCCGGGTCTTGAACCTGCCCCTCCCCTTACATACAATACTCCGAGCCAAGACCCACCTTGAGTGTTTCCGCAGCTTTATTCAGGTCCAGAATCCCGTCAGCCGCGTCATCTATGAGGGTTAAGAACTTTTTTGTAAGCATCCCTAGCGAGCAGTCGTGGCGGCACCCTGATGTAAGGCTTCCTGGGGAACCTGAGCAAGAAGAGAAGACGGGGAGGAAACGGTGGTGTTAGCCAGGCATCACGGGAGGGTAAGAGGGGGGAACCGGGAAGGCCTGGATATGAAACACCGGTCCAGTGTAGTTGATGGAGGGTACGCCCCTCTTGAAAGCCGTGGGCCTGGAAGCCCCTCATTGTGAGCGGTTTGTGGGAATCAGCGTATAGCAGCAACAGCCCAGCGCAAAGTATGCCTACCTGCGCCCCTGCCTGCTTTTCGCTTGGCGCTCCTGGATGGTGTATGATGTTCCGAGGTGCTTTGTGGCTCATCCTCAGCATCGTCCTCTCCATCTCCGTAGCTGCTCTGGTCCTGGTCTGAGTCCTGCTCGTCAGTCGGCTCTGACAGCTTGTGCCGAAGCTTCGGCATTCTAGGCCTAGGTTCATCGTTTGCCTGTTCCTTATCTGGAGAGTGCGTCTTGCGAGCAAAGTCCTCAAATGCTGAAGCAGTTCCCTGGCAGCAAGAGAATGGACGGACCTACATCAGCACTGGGACTTCTTGCCTGCATCCAAGCTCTAATGCCATGTAGCGAGCCATGCAGCTTTGTATAGGGGGCCCTCATGGTCTACGAGCACCGATGATGATTCCCTGCACTGCGACCGCATCTACTTCTCGCACCTGGCTCCCAGCGCCATAATGCGCGCCAGTGGCTTGCCTCTTTGCTGGTGCTTCATATAGAGAGCTGTCCGGATTTGGGCGTTTCTGCGGAAGGAGATTGCCAGGTTGGGGACACTTCCATGGTCCGGTACACCTTGAAACTGCGCCCCTGAAAGTAAATTTCGGCGGCGTCACACCCGGTAACATACCTGAGGCCTTTCGTCCATTTGGGAACGCGCAGGCGGACGCCTCTCCGACGATACTACTACTCCGGGTACAGCCGGCCAAAATAGCGGGAACGAGGGGCTCCTATGCGAATGGCGACCCTCTCAACGCCGTCCTGGATATCAGCAAGTATACATACGAAAACCTAATAGAAAAAGGCGTCTATCGCTTTCTGCAGCGCTGTTCCTAATATGACAGAAGCAAACATTGTATGAGAGTATCTGAACTCTAAGCAGTGAGTTACTCTGAGCAAAGCCGCCGGAATGCCAACAAGAACAAATAAACCAAGCCAATTCCCTGCGGTCTTTGCAGGGAAAATTGTCGGGCAGTGGTCGTACACCTTCCGCAATCCTTGACGAACAGCTGCGCATTAGCCCTCAATTGGCACTGCGTACCGACACCACTACTGTCTAATATGCATAGCTTCTTCAGCACTTACCAACCAGAGAACGTGCCCAAGTTGGCCGAGCAACACCACGTGCAGTGATTACGGGCTTGCTGCACGGGCTGGCTGTCGAGCTTCTTCCTTCGTAAGATTTACCTGTCGTTCAATCTCCCGTCACAGTCTGGTGAGTAGCTTACTCACGCATAGCTTGCGTTCATCCGAAGGCCCCCTTGCCAGCCGTGCTGGCATGTTCAGGGCCAACGTAACCCCAACTGCCCTGCCGAGCAGGAAGGCCCAACCTGACCCAACAGCACCTCTTGCCATCAACCCCACCGCATAAGCCGTTCACATTATCAAGCGTTGCTCTCGTCCTGGTCTCCAAGTTAGCGACGCACCAGACCTCACCATCGCACGCCCGAGACGCCCCATGTCGCACCTATCTGTCGCCACCAACCCCCGCAGCGCCTGCAAAACATACACAGGCTCATCGCGGCGCACTCGAAAACTGGGCTTCACCAACTCCGGGCTTGAAATTAGAAAGTGCACCATTATATATCCTGCATAAAGAACGGACGGCCAAGGCCCTACCAGACACGTCCCAAGGGCCGCTCCTGGCCTTCGCTCACGTTACCCTCTCACATGTCCAGGCCAGCGCAGTGTAACCGCAATTTCTCAGATTCAACGACACCCATGCAGCGCTGGCCGTACACCCGGATACACACCTGATTACCGGAAAAATAGCCGCACAAACGAGCAACCTCTCCCTGCCTAAGTCTCACGTACATGCAAAACATTCCGCTAATACCAGTACACGCTTCATCACACAATAGGACGGCTGCTCCTCAAGAAGTCAAGCTTCACAGTTATCGGGAATTTGCAACGATGGCTACATTCCTGACAGGGTGCCAGCGCTTGACAGCCCCGTTACTGCCCGTGCGCTGCATCCCCGTTACAAGCCATACATCAGACCCCTCGCACTTCACTACCTAACGACAATACCTACCGCCTCACCCCTCCTTAAGCCTCCCTCGGCCTCAAAACCTGTAACTGCCCTCCACTCCACTCCAACCTTCGCCAGAAACGCCCCCTAACTAGCTACCGGAACCCCAACCCGCGGCCGGTGGCGCTCCGCCCTTCTGTGCACAGGTTAAACAAGGCCGCTCCCAAGGGCACATCGGGTCCCTCCAATGCCCCATGCGCCGCAACCCTGTAGCGGCTGCTTTGGAACCGGTGGGAGGCGGTGGCCGCTGCAAGATTGAGACCCACTTGGCCCCACCGTGCTCGCAGGCCATGAGGTTCCCGCAGTGCCGACCATCCCCTCAGAACTGACCTATCCCTCACGCAGACATGCGGGGCAGCACTAAGCAGAAAAGCCGACTGCCGCCTAAGCTCCGTCCATAGCAGCAAGCAACCCAATGTTGGCAGTCACTTCATGATCGCTGCCAGCACGCCGCCACAATGCTGGCGGGCGATACTCTACTTGGCGATGCCATTCTTTGTGAGGTATTGTTGGAGCATCGCTTTCGTGACAGCGCCCTCCCGCTTGCTGCCCTCCACCTCCTGACCCTCCTTGAAGACGATCAGGGTTGGCAAGCCGTACACCTGAGATGAGAAGGGGAGTGGTATGGAGTTAAGGGACGGGATGCGTAGGGCACATACCACGTTAGCGCCGAGGAAGGGGCCACGCCCGACATGTACCTTGTACTTGGCGATTAGCGCGGGGTTGGCGTCGTGCTCAACCTTCACGACTTTCAACTTGCCGCCATACTCCTGTAAAAGCGCGCAAGGAGGATGGTAGAATCGCTATATTAGTAAACCGTCGGCTGTATCAACAATACCGGCGATAAGCCGGGACTCCCACCCACGCTCCTTGCAATTAGCTCGGTCGGCGACCGCGACATTGAGCCAGATTGCCCTCTCACCTTCTCCGCCCAGTCCATTAAAGGTGCGACCAGCTTGCAAGGACCGCACCACGCCGCCCAAAAGTCAACAAGCACGGGCGTAGACGCCTTGGGGTGACATGGAAGTTGCCATCAGCGTGCGACGGACGAGCAATGCAAGACAGCGAGGCAATGCGCATTATCGTCAAGCAGGAACTTTATTTACAGCGCTGTGGTATAGCATTCCTTTCCCGGTGTGGCAGGCGTGCTTGCGTTATCCTTGCCCATGCTGCTATCCTTCCACACCTTGAGAACCTGCTCCTCAAAAGCCGCTTCATTCACATCTGCTACACGAGCAACATGCAGTTGCCGCCGCGCCCTGTAGCATGGACGCACGGCCCCGAAGGGGGCCCGCCCAGCCCTAGCCGAAAAGGCGTGAGACGGAGCGCGGGATGAAAGCATGGCGCTTTGGTGAAGATAGAGTGTAAATTAAACGCGTACTCTCCTTTTGTTTAATGGAGTTGTCTGCAACAGCAGAAACAGCATGATGAAGTTCTTTCCATTGTCCTACAGCCGTTAACTTGCATTGTAGCGAGGTTGGTACACTACGATACATAATTTGTTCCACATTTCTAGCCGTAATCCCAAACAATTTGCTTACCTGCTTTACCGGTCTCATTCCATTAGGTGGTTCATAAGCGACTTGCTTCTCAGCGTAGTCTACCCTGGGTGTTATAGTCGACTTCTGTCATTTACCAACCACTGACTACTGCGACTCAGATAGCCTTGAGCTGGTTTCGCTTCCAACCATCCTGGTGTCAGCCGCCACGGAGCTAGTTCTGAACATATGATGAGCGAAAAGGTCTATACCTTGGGTCTAAGATTTAGGCAAGACAACCCTTTTATACAGTATTTGGCCCTTAAACCACACGACCAAGCAAAGGCGTCCGGAGCGGCCAATGCCGGGGGTACAGCACTGTTTGTAAGCGGGTTACCTCTGGGCTCAGACGAAAGTACATTACGGGAGCTTTTCGAGTGTTTTGGAGCCGTTTCCCAGGCGGTACTTCATCCGCTTAAGGTAGGGCTTGGGTAGCATGGGAGAATCGCATGGCGGGTACTCAATTCACGTTGTAGCACCATGGGTATCCAGAGGGTGGTTTCGGGGGGCTGTTCTTATGTGGTCAATTGGGTCAGGGATAAGAGGGATGGGTGTTGCACGCAGGGTTGGGTCAGGGTTTGGGTTACGTGTCCTGTTCATGGGCTTACGGGCAACTGCTCCAAACACAATGCGCGGGCAGCTACTTTAATCCCACCGCCGCGCTGCTCTCCCCCACCGTTGTCCCTTGCGCTATCGCGCTATGCTGCCCTCCTGGCCGCCTCCGTCCTCCTGCTGCTGCCGCTGCTTCCTCTTCCGCCCATCCTCACACCACCACGCCTGCCGCGCTTCTCCGCTGCCTTTTCCCAACCCCGTTCCCTCCATGCCACACCCCCCTCCTCTTTATTCCCACAGCGGAGCGGTATCGTGGTGTTTCGCTCCGAGGTCGGTCGCACAGCGGCTCTCAAGTACGCTGCGCGGGGGCAGGTGCTGGAGCTCGCAGGCGGGGCTGCAGGGAGGGGGCAGGGCGAGGATGACGAGGAGCAAGAGGAGGCGCCGATGGGTGTGAAAGGTAGGAGGGTGCTTGCGCGGTGGGGTTGGGTGCAATGGTTGGTTGGGCCGGGGGGCTTGGGTGTGGCTGCCTGGCTGGAGGCTGCGATGGCAGTTGGCTGGGCGGGGGGCTGGTTTGACCCAGGGGGGGCACACCTGTTGGCGCCCTGAACCTCGTTGCCTGGATCGTAAGGCCCATCAGAACAGTCTGATGCGATCCTGGTGGCAATCAGATATGCCTCTATGAAACACGCCGTCCTTACGGGTGGGAGTGCACCCGGACATCCTATCCCACATGACTCCTGCTGCTGTGGCTGCTTTCCTACACTCTCTCGCCATGCTTTCCTCCTTCCCTGCCTTCCTGGCCCCTCCCTGCCCCGCTGCCCCCTCCCTGTCCAGCCTGGGTTCACGAGCACAAGGCAGCTCGACCCGGCAACGAGGTGCTGCAGCAGCAGGTGGACGACTGGATGGACGAGTACGATGAGGAGCAGGAGCGCAAGGCGCGGGAGCGGCAGGCGGCCATGGGAGGAGACGGCTGGACGGTGGTGGTGCGCGCAAAGGTACGGCAAAACACACACACACACAAACGGACGCGGCACGGGTGCTTCAACACACATGGACAGTTACCTCGGGTTACCTCTCGTATTCGCGTATTATATTTTTTGTCGAAGACCACACAATAAACAAATATAAGACTGCATGTACTCGCGGTTCACATGCGAAGCTCTTCCAATTGCTTGCTCTTGTCTACTCAACTACACACATGGACAGTTGGGGAGATGGCCAGGGGGCTAGTCGGTTTTGCATGGCATGGCGTCCTGGACTTATGGTAGCATGTTGTTGCAAGGCAAAGAGGGCCGTGCATAGTAGCACACAACCTTTCATGGCACGACGTAAGGCTACCATCTCGCGCTCATGCAATGACTGCCTTCCTCGCATCTCTCATCCTCTGGGCTTCTCTCTCTCCCTCCAATGTCCTGATCCGCACCCTGCACGCACCGATCCGTTGCACACCCACCACCTCTTCCCACCTCGCCGACCCAAGGGTCGCAAGCGCACTCGCGAGGAGGGCGGCGTGACCGTCGTGACGGGCGGTGTGGCGGCGGGCGCAGCAGCAGCAGCCGCTGCCGCCGCCGCCAAGGAGGGGGAGAAGGCGGCTCAGGGGCGGGGCGACTTTTACCGCTTCCAGCGGCGGGAGCGGCGGCGGAATGAGCTGGTGGAGTTGCGGCAGCGATTTGAGGAGGACAAGAGGTGGGGAAAAAGAAATTCCAATGGGGGGGGCAGGGAGGGACTTGGGGTCTGGTGTAGGGAATGGGAGGTGGACCTGGGGTGGGTAGGCGTCGGGTTGGCTGGGGCATAGGAAGAGGAGAAGGGGGCGGGACTGAGGTTTGGAACGTTGTTACAATGTTTATGTTCACGGCGGAAGGTAGGAGGCCTGCGGTTCGTTTGGTAGTTGCAGGAAACTGCATGGACTCATTCCTCTCTTGCTTTGTCTTCCTAAGCATTTCGCGCCGGGTGTCCCTCCCTCGCAGGCGCCTGGCGCAACTCAAGGCAACCCGGAATTTCAAACCGTATTGAACTGCTGCTAGGGTTGGGAATAAAGGGGAGGCGACGATGGGGCCGCGGAAACGCAGCCAGGAAACCAGTCAATGTCGGTAGTGATGCTTCGGGTAGCTGTTATGGCTCATTAGAAAAGCGAATGCGAGGATTAGGACGTCTAGGGTGCAGTTTGTTGTTATCGTCATGCAACAGACAGTGATGGTGTTGAAAGTAGAGGTGCTGACACAGCGGCAGTGGCAACCTCGACTGGGTACGGCGTGCCTGGGAGTGATGCCCCACAGGTCCTTTCCCTTCCTGTCTTCCTCGCTGAGAGCAGCAAGAGGGAAGGCAGGTAGCCAGGCAACCCTAGCATGCCCAGGCATGGCATGCATGGCCGGCCCAGGCGCATATGGGCGAACTGGTATGACATGGCACCAGGGAACCATTATGATGGTCATCCATTCATTTATGGTCGACACGCTTAGCTGGGGTCATGGCGCATTTATGACGAAGGAGAACGTCCCAGATTATGTTGCAGACAATGCTTAGCTACCGATGGTATGGGAGGAGGCTAACGTTGGGAAGGTGTGCATAGGAGCTAAGGAGGAGAGGGGCCTGGTCGGTCAGTGAATGTCGCCGTCATAATAGTGCTTGAGAACGAAGCAATGCCACGGGCTTTAAATGCTAGAATGGCCAGGTACGGCAGAACATGTCGCACCCTACAAGGTGACCATGTCTTTGGTATTCTACAGCCCATGTCTTTGGTAATCTACAGGTGGAGGAGGGTGTTAGGGGCCACTGGATAGCACGGGTCACCCTCTTTTCTGCACCCAGAACAAGCTTGTCGACTAGCGGTTTATAGTGCTCAAAGGTCATGGGGTATACTGTGTGTACATGACATATACGGTAATTGTAGGTTGGGTCAGCGGTTACAACCTGGGCATCGGAGCCAAACGGCTTTACGTAAACCGTGAGTTAAAGTAACCACTAACCACAGCGTCAGAGCCAGTAAACAATGTCACGACCTATGCCTAACGAAGCAACGCAGCACGTGGGACATACCTAGCGAGCACTACACCGTACCCAACACAGAGACCATGGCATTACTGGTAGCGGTCTACTACAAAGGTGTCCAAGACAACGCCACGAAACACGCGTTTGCATTCGCACCACTACACATGTAATCCAGTGCATGGTGATGATTGTAGCTTGTGGACTGTGGAGACCCCAAGTGACAAAGGAAACCGACAGTATAGCATCGATACACGAGTACCGGTATCGCCTCTCAACTCGAACGCACATCAGCATTCAGCAGCTCAGTCCGCTTAGGTGCACCCGCTGACAGTCACACAGTAGGGCACACAAGAAAGGCCCACATATGTCAGCTACATTTGGCTACTGACACCAGCTTTAGTTGTACGTACGGACAGCCAGGAATAACGACACGGCCAGCTGTCTGAACCCTAAACAAGGGCCTTATCTACGTACAGCCAGAGAGTAATTGCAACGTGTGTATGTTAGTGTACAAGTGCTTGAGCAGCACACGGTAAGAACAGCGGAACCCAAGCACACTGTTCGTTGTGGTTGGGTACAAGTGCAGGTGTCTAGGCGCTTTTGGCGGACAACCAGCCAAGCATCTGCGTGGTGGGTTCAAGTACCAATCAGTCCGGAGGACCTATTTGCAACGCGTACGACGCACCAACTTAACAGAGCATGCCAGACCTACAACGTAAAACTGAAAGTTGACCATGCCTATCCAATGTGATAGTACACTGAAAAGCGCTGAAATGAATGCAGCTAATGAGGATAGCCACTGACCCAAAGTCAGTATAAAGGAAAGCCATGGGTCATTATAAAATTTATCCATGGCTGACCCATGGGTCAGCCAAGATGCATGACACACGCATGCAAACACGTAAATGCACGGCCATGGACAGATAGCCTGTCCGATACCTTCTCCCCTTTTCCTTGAGTCTGCAATTGTTCCTTTGACGCATGCCATTACGTCAGTCTGCAGCGCTTGGCTTGCGTAGGCCAAAAGTGCCAACATGGGCGACGAATGCAGCACCGCACCGCACGCCCCTCTTAACAACAATACCGATATGAATGGGACTTACTTATCAGCTAAACGTCCAACTCGAACTGGTTGTTCGCAATCCGGACAACATTTAACCAAGAGCTATGTGTATGCACCATGCACAAGTAAGAGGCGACGCCGCGCATGGACGGTCTTATTCATCCTCGAACACGTCAACCCTCCCAGTCTTCAGCCAGAAGAAAAGAGACACCCAACTGTAATCATCATTGCCACAACATATCAACCACCTCTCGGTGCCGATACCCTACAAATTGACATAACTACGGTTCAATGGCATTCGACATTCACCTCCACCAGCCCAAAACACATGTCCCCTCAGTATGAAGCTCTCTTGCCGGTGCCCTCCCCACTGCCAACGGCCCTACCGCCACTACCACCGCGACCAACGGCACTAGCATCGCCCCGGTAAGCGCCGCCATTGTAGAGAGACCCGACCGGAGATCCATGCCTCGAGGAGTACGGCAGAGTAACGGCCCTGGACTTGTCGTCGTTTTGCGCCCCCGATGCCCCGTTGCCGCCTGCAACTTCTCCGCCAGTGCCGGGCGGCATGTAGGGAGCACCCGAGGACCTCCTAGCTTCTCCCTCTCCGTCACCTCCCATGCCCCGCTTGATGGAAGACGAAAGGCCTCCAACCAAACCACTCTGTAGATCGCTGTTGCCGCCATCGACGTTGCTGTTAATGACTGCGGTTGCGGTTACAGTTATATGTTTAGCGGCGCCGCTGTTGCTGTTGTTGCGTTGTGCCACATCAGCAGCAGGACTAACGCCATTGTGGCTGCTGCTGCTTGCTCTGATGCTGGGCTTTTGGCTGTCGTCCATTGACACGACAGGTACGACAGTAGAGCTGGATGCAACCGCTTCAATAGTTGAAGGGACTTGCACCAACCGGGATTCGCTGACATCCGATGCTTCCTTATGCTGCTGCTGTTGCTGCTGCTGGTGGTCTTGGCGCTTTGAAGTTGGAGGTGAGTCGAGCGAGGGGGCCCTTCGGGGAACCACGTTGGCAACGACGGAAGGCATGAAAGGTGACTGGAGGGAGTTGGAGCCAGTTAGGGCTGATGATGGTTCGAACCCAGGTGAGAGCGCGAGATCGGTCGCGAGCATGTCAGCCTGTTTATGGTCCCGTAGCAAGGGTCCGGGCAGAGGCGGAGAAATGGAAGTCGGGGAAGAAGGAGATGAGCAGGCAAAAAAAGGATGAATGGGAAGTGGAAAGCGGGGCGGCTTAAATCCTAAATTGCAAGCACATGGAAGGGAAGAAGATGGAAAAATGTACGACGGCGGTGAAGACATTTGAAAGGAGTGGCGTCCTTTTATGTTGGCCGCCATTCATGGAGATCGTATGTTGCCAAAAACACAAAACAGCCGACTTTTCTGCCGTTCTATGCCATGTACCACCCATGACTTGCTGTGCTTTCTCAACTTACATCCACATCGCTCGGCGCAACGTTGCTTGCATTCCTGGATTTAATGCCGCCTACTCCGGAGGGCATTCGGCCTGCCGGATGCGAAGGCGGAGCCGGAGAATGAAGCAAAGCAGAAACCGGCTCCGGAGCTACCTTGTTACTGCTCCCGCTTGAAGGTCGTCTTGGGCCGGTCGTCGAGGGCTTTTGTTGCTGATCAAATGAAGCACTAGAGCCTTTACCCAGTCTTCTACTGTTGTTGCTGCCTCCTTCATGGTTGTTGTTACTGTTCTCCCTGCTGTTAATCGCGGGCTTGCTGCGTTTGCTGCGTCGATTGCCCTTGGAGCTGCCGCTGCTGCTGTCGCTGCTGCTGCTACTGCTGGAAGATGAAGAGGAAGAGGAGGAAGAAGAGCTCTCGCTCCTAAGACGGCGCCGGGTGACGAAACGCGACACTCTCTTGGCCGGAGCAAAGAAGGTTAGATGGAAGAACCTGCGAACAAGAGGTCGTTTAACTCAGTTCACAGTAATTGATACCACAGTACGGTAACTTATTCCAAAAAAGGGAGCGCCTGCATGATCTTCTAATTCTCGAAGGACTAAGGAAAGCCTCGCACTTACGCTCTCGTAACTTACGTTGTTATCTTCTGCAGGGCTTGCAGGCAGCGCATGAGCGAGCGAGAGTACCACATGTTCGAGTGCTGCCGGTCCACATAGACCCACACGTCGTTCCACTCAAGCACGCCATCGCCGTTGGACTAAGCAGAGTTGGGGAAGGCAAATGACGGGAGGAAAATGTTGAGGGAACGGGGTGGCAGGTGGGGTGAAGGTGAGCAGGTATGTGCTGTCTAGTGGGGAGTTGAATGTCCCATGGGCCACTCAAGCCTTGAGAGAAAGGCACGGATTCGTGTACGTGCCTGAACAGCATTTAGACATACCGGGCTTGGATCGTCCCTCACCCTAAGCACCAGCAGGCAGTACAATGCGTGTACGACCACACTTACATGGTCATCAATGGTCCATATCAGCGCTATCACGATCTCCCGAACGATATGCCAGATGAAGAACGCCACCACCAAAATGTTGAAGATCATGAGCACGAGGCCCAGAGCGGCCTTAGCAGATGTCGGAATATCACACAGGAAGAAGAGCGCGCAGTAGAGCAGGAAGAGCGTGGCGTACAACGAGAGGCGCTCCAAGTCGTTCATGTGGGGGCTCTTGTATGGCCTGACGGAGAGTTGTGCAATGACTGACAGAATGATAATGCCCAGTGCCGCCAGCACCTGCAGCAGGGGCCCCTCAGGCGCCAGGAACACCACCACTGTCACCACCGCCAGCTTGCGGAACATGATGATGCTATCCCAAAAGTAGGATTCCCGGGAGTAGTCCTCGTACATGAAGCCGTACGACACACCGAAGTCGCGGCTGGTGTACAGAAGCGCGGAGTGCATCCTGCGGGCAGTGGTGGTTGGAAGGGCGGGAATGAGGGTGTGCCCTTGCTTGTGGTCGCTCTGAGCAGACCCAGAAGCTCAGCCTGAAAGGGCGCACTGCCCCACTCCCTCCTTGATTCCACACGCACAATTTCCAATGGCAGGAAAGTTTGAGTGGTGTTAGCTACCCTATTCCTGTCCCTATACCTAGCCCCACTCACTTGAGCCATATCCATGAGAAGATGGGCGCCCCCAGCGCGAACAGGATCACTCCGGGCACCCCCACCCCCATGGCCAGCCACATGTGAGGGTTGGTGTAGCACTTCAGGTTGTAGTCCTGAGACCAGAAGCTCCCCCTGTGAGGGCCGGCGGCGGGGGAGGCAATGACGATGTTCAGAAAAACAAATATGCGTTGCTGGCCGAGCGCAACAGGGAATGAAGCCCATGCTAGCAGCCCCTAGCATCCAATAACGTCCTTCTCTTTGGCTCCCAGCCGTCGGTGCCATCATTTCAAGGATACCCCGTGCCCGGAAATCTTATTAATCCTCAGGTAATTTATTTTTTAACCCTCTGGTAGTTTATTAACCTAACCCCCAGGTAAGTTCACAGGCTACAGCCCGTCAGTTCTTTCTCTTTACCCAGCCCTATAAACCGCCCACGCTCCCACCTGGCTTCCATGAGGTCGCTGTAGTCCCCGTCAGTGGGGTCCACCACAGAGCATGCGAACATGGACAGCAGCGTGTTGGTGATGTCTGCAGGGAGGCAGCGGGGAGGAGGCGGATGGAGGGGGCAGGGGGACTAATGATGGGGGAGAGGGGGCCCAGGAGGGTTGCGGGTAAGGAGAGGAGGCAGCAAGAAGGAGAACAAGGGAATATACGGGAATGAGGGCACTCCACGCTAAAGAGCAGAGGATAATTCGATGCCTACTAAAATTGCCACCGCCACGCTAGTGAACCGATTTGTAGGATGTGATATCCAACCCCGATTGCTAGCCTCCGACTCACCGGGGTACACGTAGAAAACAATGGCTATGGAAGTGATGATGATGCGCGGGCGGAGGTAGCTGTGAAAGGGGATAGGGTGGGAGGATGCCAGGTAAGGATGATTCAAAGTCAGAATTAAGGGGCGGACTGTACATGAGCGCACATACATGGGGTGCTGTGACAGCAGATCCGATCGAGATCCGATCAGGAGGGCCTATGCTGCTGGTCATTACAGACCACGACGTACAATACCATGCATTTATCTGGCACTTCGCCACAGGCATGGCGAGGCCAAAGTATCGGCAGCACCAGGCAATGTGTTTTCTGTTCCTCATGTACGGAGGAAGCGGGGCGTTTGTGCTAGTTTGCTGTCATACATTCCATGCACGACTCACTCAGCAATGCTGGCAGCTATGGGATTGCTCTTCAGGCGGCGCTCCGTGAAGATGGAGAACCATAACAGTATGCCCAGCACCAGGATGACTAAGGGCGTGCCGATCTTGATGAGCACACCCTGTGAGGAAGAGCACGAGGTCTTGGAACTTTTAACGCTAGGCGGAGTTGGGAGATGACATACCGCGGTAGTAAGCAGTGTAGAGATAGCAGGTAATGAACGGGATGCGGAAGTGTAGGGCTAAGGATCAGCGCATGTTGAGCAGAGGTAACAAAACCAACCAGCCAGGAAGCGATGCACACCTGAATGCTCTTTGGCACGGGCCCATCATGGAGGGAGCAATCGATGGATACCACTGCGGTTTGTTCGGAGGAAGACATTTGGTTAGGCGGCGGTAAGGAGCGTTATGCCAAGCGACTGTCGCACGCATGGGGGAAATGTTCGTGGTCTGCTTATACGCACTGGCAATATTGGGTTAAAGCCAACTCACGCGCTGTGATGCTGTTGCTGACGGCGGTTGCCGACGACAGGATCCCGGTGATGAAGCTGGGCCAGGGAGCGGATATGGTTCGGACCACACTCGTCACCTGCAGAAGTAGCATCGCAGCCACATTTCCCTCTTGTTGCTCTGTATGTACTGCCATCAAGTGATAGGGTAATCACGTGTCCAATTGCACAAGCAGGAGCGGCAGCATGCACGCGCATTGCAAGCAAATGGAAGCACTGTAATGCGCTGGCCTGTGAGTGGCATAATTGTACGTACTGTAGAATTGCAAATTGCCGTCAATTTAACACATTAACATGCAGGTTGACTTCACAGCGCATGTTTCTGTGGCAAACGCACTTACCTGGAGGTACGACATGAGGATTTTTATTACCACTCCGTAATTCCCTCCCTTGTACGGCCCCTCCTCGACCGTACACGCTACCAATCCCTCATCATCATCATCGCTGCTCGAGGAAGACCGAGAAGAACGACGGGATTCCTCGTGACCACCCTGTGCAATACCATTTGGCCGTACAGCGACCTCATGCTCCCTCTGCTGGCTTTCCAAGTCCCCTTGCTGGTCCATTTGCAGCGTTTGCTGCTGCGGAAGTGGTGGTGAGGGTGCAGGCGGCAGTGGCGCTGGTGGTGGTGGAGGCGGTGGCGGTGGTGGCGGCGGCCTGGGAGGCAGACCCGTGGGCCAGTTACCTGCAGCCGGACCTTGCTTGGTCACCTGACCCGGAAGGGGAACAGAGCCGTTGCTGGGCCGTTGTGCCTCGGTCTGAGGTTCTGGAGGTGGAGGTGGTGCTGTCCTGGACTTCACCTGTGGATGGATACACAATTGTATAGTTTGATGGTTAACCCGGAATTAAATGGAGCGCGGAGAGAGGAAAGACTCATGCATGTACGGAAGAACGAAGGTTGAAAACCCATATCACGCTAGGCCTAAATGTATACTGAGCACACCTCTTCAACAAAGTCCAAGGCGAAGCAAAATAGTAGTAGGAGCAGAAGGACGCAGACCGCACAATAGAAGCAATCTAGCCTTTCCCAGTCGGCGTGTAAGTACCTTGGCTTTGTGCAGCCAGTGCTTCACGGTCTGCTGTTGGGCAGCCAGGAAACGCTTCTGGTCAGCGGCCAGGCGCTCAGCTCGGCGCCGGCTGGTGAGGGAGCCGGGAAGCTGGGTTCGTACCGTCTGTACATAGAGCATATAGAGGGTTGCAAGGGGGGAGAATGTGTCGGTGGGACGTTTCACGAGCCGGAAGGCTGTGTTACATATTAGTTAAGGATGGGATCGTCATAGAGAAAAAGGCAGATCATGTTGGCGGTTCTTTTTACGTCATGGGGGCTTCGAGACCTACCCAGTAGATAAGGACCAAGTTGACGAAGTGGGAGAGCACGTACAATACCGCGTTTACTCCGTGTTTGGGGCATTTGGTACATTTGCCGTTGTTGCGGCGTCCGAATCCCTCCTGGCAGCGACTGCACAGGGTGCCGTAGTAGCCCGGGGCGCACTGGAGGTCTTGGTAGGCGGTTACGTTGTACGGCAGCCGGCCATCACCCAAAGCTACAAGGTAGCCGGCCATGTTATCCTGTTGATTTGAAGTCAATAAAATGTAAGCCGCTGTAATAAAATAAAGTCTGAGGCTCGTTACGCCTGGTTCAGCACGTCCTCCATTGTCGTGAGCCGCACCTGACGGGGCCATTTCTCGGTGGTCTCGCAAGCCTTGTCGTAAGCACAGGCCAGGATGTTGGGGCTGCAATGCACACGGCGGCAAGGGGCAAACGGCAGTTTAGGCTGAGGGCGTGCGGCATGCACTGCCAAGGATGGTGCTCTGGAACCATTTGCTCTGGAAAATCTGGGTGAACACCATTGTGCCCAAGGCGAACTGTCAACGACAGTCAGCTTAAGCGCATACGGCAATGGTTCGTAAAACATTTCACTGCCCTTAGGGCTCTCCGTTGCAAGCACTAACCTCCTCGGGCCCGAGTGCCAGAACCCATCCTGGGGCATGGTAACCCAGGGGTAGCCGACTACAGAGCAGTTGGCGTTGTCAGGACATTTTTCACACTGTAGGGGCAAGGGCGGACAGGGCACTTGTCATGCTCATTGGGAACGTAAATAAGGAAAGCTGTCTGGCACGGGTTATTTAAGCACCATGCATGATATGGTACCATAGCATTATGGCATGCCAACACCTGTTAGCCTCTGTTTTTGCCTTGGGCTCTTCGCTGACTGTGTAACTCATGATACGAGCCAATCGTTGCTGCTTTCAAGGCAACAAACATAACTATTGTCTCACCTGAAGACTCGAGGCGTTAAGGGAGAAGGTACCAAAGTCGCAAGGGAAGCATTGCGTGCCGTCCTTGCTCGTAATCTCGCCGAACACGCAAGGCCGTACCTGAAGCCATGTGACAACCCTTTTTAGTGGCCAGTGGCCAGTGGCCAGCCCTAAGCAATTTAGACCTTGGATCTGCAATGTTTACGGTTGCCCTCCGCCGAAATGCACATTGAGGGCATCCCCGTGCAGCGACATAAGAAATAAATATGACCTATCCTATCATTACAGCCAATGCTTAACTTGAAGACCTCCCAAACCGCACCGTGACGTTCACATAGAGGGGACTCAGGTCTTGAATGCTCCTGGGAGCAACAACCAGCAGCGAGTAGTTGCCCGGGGCAGCCTGCACACATTATTTTTTGGTCGACAGTTATGGTCATTCCAGCTACGCGACTCAGTTTTATTAAAGCAAATTACAACGGGCAATGTTTGTATGGTCCAAAAAGTTGAAACATCGAATGCGGAATGCCTATATAGGACACATCACCAGCAAGGGCAACGTTCTTTTTTAGATGCGGACAGTTGATTGCAAACATAACCCAAATTTACGTAGCCAATAAATACGAAGTAATGAAGCAGCTTAAGGGATGCTTAAGGGATGCTTTTTTTGGGGGGCGACCATCATGCAAGATACCTGCAGCTTAAGGGATGTCGTGAAGTTGCCCACACCCTTGGCGGTGCTCAGACTGTTGCCCGCCAGGGAGACGGAGGTGTTGCTGCCGTACACGTGGACCTCCATGGTGGTAGTTGCCTCGCGTGTCCCATCTGTAGTAAGTTCGTTAGGTTATTATTATTATTTCTCCTCAACAAGCCTACACTACAAGCCGCCCAGGCACAGGCATTCCCACAAGGGCAGCTGTAACAGGATAATAGCCTAAACAAGCAAGTCCTCGATTACCCGTACGCTAGTATTATATGGTTGCTGTCTTACCCACGATGAGTTGGTTGTGGTAGTCTTGGATGGCCGCGGTTACGTTCAGAGGGTCGTTGGACCGGTAGCCTTTCTGGTGCGGCGGCGTGAGGAGTTGCAGGCTGTACGCGATGGTAGTCGTGATGTTACCGTACTTGGCTGAGTTTCGCACCCAGGTGCTGCCGGCATGGAAAGTTAGCCGATTAATTACAAAGGTGTTTGCCGTAGGTACAATGGATTGAAAGGGGTACTAGCAGGCAAATGTAGGGCAGGGAAGTATCGTATGTATCCTAACATGGTTCCACGCTAACCAACACGCACTCTCAACCGAAAGCACCCCTTCTTCCAGCACGTGCGTGTCGCCCTGTATACCACCCAAATCACTACTTTATTCCGCCCAAGTCCCCACCAAGAAAAGCTTGCCCAAGCCCCCACGCTATTTTAAACCTGATCATCCCTGCCCCACTTACTCAGTGCATGCCTTGTGCATCATGGGCCACGGCATCCAGTCCGCCGAGCCAGGACACCGTACGTTCGTCAAGTTATGTGTCGTACGGAATATGGCGCCTCCACCGCCAAGCCTCGCCACATTTGCCTCAAACACGCTCTCCGTAATGACCGCCGGTCCGCAGCCCGTTTCTCCCGCCAGACACCGCTGCTGCAGATACAGCCCTCCACCAGCTAGCGCGGTGTTGTTTAAAAACCGCGTCGCATTTAGATAAAAGCTGCGACGAAGGTAAATGCAGAGTGCGCCGCCGCCACCGGCACCGTCACGAGCACACGCGGCCTGGCCTTCCTTGTCTGCTGCACCGTCGCGTGACATGCCGGTGTTGTGGGAGAAGGAGGAGGATTCGATGGTGCCGCCTTGCTCCACCAGGGTGAGGGCGACGGCGCCGGCGGAGAGCGCGGTGTTTGCCGTGAAGGACGTCCTGGGGTGATAATATGTGTGGGACAAGCTGGTTAATGGTCGGTGGGAGGAATTCCTTCGGTTTTGGGCGCAGCCTTGCTCGAGCTCGGCGCGTTAATCATGGTACTAAGGGGAGGGAGGGTGGAGGGGGGCATGCCATGGTACTAAGCGTGAGGCGAACGGTCTCATTTCTGTTCTTTGTTACCGGTATACGCACTGAAGGTCTTTCCACAGGCTGCACCCGTTCCCTTCCTCGCCCGCCTCAGCTCCTGCACATCGCCCACCTGTTAATGGACACCTGGTAGCACTCGTAGCACTCCATGCCGCCCGCATGCGCCACTGCCGTATTGCCGTACAGGCTGCAGTCCTGCAGCCGAACCTCCAGGTCCTGAGAGCAGCCCAAGCCGCCGCCGTACAGTGCCTGGTTGCCGGCGACGACTGAACGACTCAGCGTCAGCACGCCTTGACGAGAATGTGCCAGACCTCCGCCCTGCGGTTTAGAGAAAGAAATTTGCACCAACAACGGTTTACCAAAATATCACAGCACATTACCCATGCATGTTGCCAAGCTAAAAGCTGACGTACAGCTCATCCCGTACCCCCCTGCCCAGTCCCCCTTCCCCAATCCGCCTACCACGCCAGCAAACGCGGTGTTCCCCTCCAGTCTCAGCACATCTGCAGCTACCGAGATGACCCCTTCCAGGTTGATCCCGCCACCCCTCTCAGATGCGGTGTTGCGGATGAAGGAGGAGTTGGAGAGCACCAGCCGGCCTAACACGTTGGACACGTACAAGCCGCCGCCATCACGAGACGCCTGGGGTCGGGTGGAGTAGCGGAAAGCCGCATGCAGTCTGGAAGTTGGCTTAAGGTATATAAGTTTAGAGCAGAAACGTGGCTGTGTTCTCCTAGTGCAGCCAACAAGGCATTTCATGTGCCAATTGCTATCCACACCGCCCGATTTGCATCTCACAAACAAAACTCCCTGTCTTACCGTGTTGTTCCAGAACCGCGTGTTGGCGAAGGTTATGGTCCGAGAGGCCATCTGCACGATGTACACCGCTCCCCCCCGAACCGCCGCATTACCCGAGAAGTTGCTAGCTGAGATGGCCAGGTCGCAACCATCAGGCGCTTCTCCGGCGATGGCTCCTCCCTCCACCAGCAGCGGACTGGGGCCGCCGTTGCGGACAAAGGTGGAACCTGACACCAGGGCGAGGCAGGCGCCTGAGCCCGCCAGAAAGATGGCACCGCCCTTGGTTGTGCCCGGCCTAAACGGGATCAGTTTTGGACCAGGACAAATGTAGTTCAATGTGGCATATGAAAGGGATTAAGAGAATACTGCACAGTGGGGCTTGTTTGGGTAGGATGATGGACTAGGCGCCAGAATGATGGAGTACGACAACTTAAGTGAGCCATAGTAAAAAAGCTGCAAAGAATCAACCAGGTAACGCGGACATGATGCATGCGTTTCTTGGAAGGAAAGGTAAGGCCCAGAACCTTACCCGTTGCCGTTGCTCACAAATGCCGATGTGGAAATTTCAGTGACCGATCCTCGGGGCATCACGTAGATAGCTGAACCTGCCCCAGCATACAGAGCAGCATCTGTGACACCAGTGCCGCTGCTACTGCTTGAACTGGTGCTGCCGCCGTTGGTGGTTGGCGACGAGGCGGTGTTGCTGTTACCGCCTGGCGGCTGTGTGTAAGGCAATGGAGGTGAGGGTGGCGGCTGCGACGGTAGTGGCGGCGGCGGGCTGAGAGCGAGGGTGTTGTAGGTGTTGTTGTAGAAGAGGCATCCCTTAAAGGCGGCCTGACTGCCAGCTTGAACTAGGACGGCTGGCCGGTTCAGCGTGTCTCGAAAGACGCAGTTGACTGCAGAACACGTCAATTATTAAAAAGCTGTCAGTTCACACATGTAGCAGGAGTTTTGGTTAGTACGCGTACGGTCTACTTTCGTTCATTTAGTGTACGAGCGCTGACCCAACTACCAGATTCCGCCATGGCCCAACCCTTCCCAGAACCCATTCCACTGCCTTACCAAAGGACGCAGCCAGGTTGCCTGTGGAGCCAGCCACCACCATCTGGCAGCCCACAAACTCCATGTTGACGAAGTTGGGTGCGGCCTGCCAAATGCAACGGGTGCATGGATGCAGCCGGCCAACATGTCCCATCCGCGGTCAACATCATTTGCGGGTATAATCATCACAGCAAAAGGTAACTACCGGTGATTGAAGATTATGAAGTAGATGATGGACTGAATATTTATAAACCTATTGTAAAATGTTCATCACCCATGCATGTAAAATGTCTACCGGTTATTTCCTTTCGAGTCCTAATACGGTCCTCACCTGCAGCATCCACACACTGCCGGGGTCGCAGAACACCCGGGTGCGGCTGACGGCCAGCCAAGCGGCCACATCCACTCCCGAGGGGACATCAGCGGAGGGAGCTGAGCCTTGCTGGCCAGAGGCAGCCTGAGGCGAGGAGGTCGTCTGCAGCAGGACGCACGGCAAGACGGAATGAAGCTTATGTCATCACGGACTAATAATGACTTCGTGGTTTCATATTTTTCAACTAATAAGGAAACAAAAAAGCTAGGAATTCATAAACCAGGCACTTATTCAAGGCGGCAGAGTAAAAAACTAAAGCCTGAGGATGGTCCTGCAGGGCCACAGCCCTTCAGCTGTGGTATTAATTTACTATTATTTATTCGGTATTCAGCCACACTCCCATCGGCCCATGCTCCACCTGCAGCGCCCTGCGGACCGCATGCAGGGCCTCCACTGTGGCCCGCTGCGCCGCTCGCACCGCCTGGGAGCCGCTGCGCTGTTGCGCGGGCACCGCCAGCGGGTGGGAGCGGACCTGCGGGGGATTCCGGGAAGGGGATGCAGGGTTGCCGGAAGGGAGATAGGCATTGGGCATTAGGCAAGTGTGGGAGGACAAACTCGCTGGGACATGTCATACGCTGACAGGGCGGGCGCAGCTGGGGGCGGCATATGAAGGCTGAAGGGGCAATACGTTTTTTTCTCGAAACGGTCCCATCCATGTAACGGACGGGAAAAGGCAATACATATGTTTGAAAGACGGATCCGTCAAGGAAAAAGGTGTTGCCGGATGCATGCTATCTCTCCTTCCTCGTGCGCCTTCTTCCTTTCTTACCCGCAATGCCGCCTCAAGTTCACTCTGGGTCAACACCCCACGGGAGCTGCTATCCTGCCCATCCTGGCCAGCTGCTGCTGCACCTGCTGCTGCTCTGTCGGAACGGCTGTCGCTCATTTGGAGGGCTCTTTTGGCAGCAGCCGTCGGAGGTGGGCTCTTGCTGCTATTGTTATTTGTGTTGCCTCCACGCACTGAGACCCGGCCGTGGAAGACGACGGCCGAGTTAATTGTGATGAGGCCCGTGATAGCCACGTCCTTGTCCTGAAGCGCAAAAAGGCAGTATACGTGGCAGGGTGTCACGCTGTAGTAATCGCTAACAAAAACCTATTGCCCTCCAACGGCAAAGGAAAAGCTGTCAGTACCGAACCAGGCGGGGGTAAAGCGAAAACCCCAATATGAAGGTTACCCTGTAACTCCCACCTCCGGCAGCATTAGCAGGTCGCCGTCGTACATTTTGTCCACCATTAGTTCCAGCAGGTCTCCGGTAACAGCAGCCGGTGCTGAGCTGTTGCTGCTGTTGGAGTGCATGTCAACCTTGGCGCTCGTGGGCAGCGGTACGAACACGATTCCCTGTACGAAGTGAACATGGCGAGAAGTAGATGCGCTTCCTTCATGCAGGGTTTTGCAGGTCGATAAACAATGTTCGAAAAAAGTGAGCGTGCATAGAACGTGGAAGTAGAACATGAACAGGACGTTGCTGCCAGTTAAATACGTCTAGACCGGGTGCGCAACTCCAAGCCACGCACCTCATTATTCAGCGTCACCAGCTGCGAGCGTTTCCGGCTGACTCCTAGACCTTGCGCTATGGCAGCTGGTGTCGACTTCTTGCCCAGAACAGTGCTGTCGCCATCGATTTGGGTCCAAACCGCGTCAATACCCAGCTCCAGATCAATGTAGTACACGCTTGTGCCGTACGGCCACAGCTGAGCGTCACTGTCGTACGTATAGCCGCCGTACAGGAAGACGATACTTCCATGTGCCTTTAGGTTGTGCTTCAGGCGTTTGCCGGGGTTCTCACCGCCGCCAGTCATCTTAGCCCACCTGTGCTTGTGCAAGGGGAAATGGATTGATATATTATTTTAGGAAGCTTAGGAAATACGAAAACGTTATAGATTAATTCAATGCAAACAAATATTTTAAACCAATAAACTATATTAATTTAGAAAATATCGTGGAGAGAATACCCAGATTCAGTTAACCCGAAGATAGTATCCACTCTCGTGATATCACAGGCATTTGATGGGCAGGCCACGTACTGCTTGCTCACCTGCGGTACTCGAGGTCGAAGAGCCAAAGGTCTCCTAGCAGCGCAGTGTCGGGGTCTAGGGTGTCCAGCTGAGGATCCTGCACGCAGTGTCAACAATTGTTACGTCCAGGTCGAAGCATATGTGAGGTAGAGCGTTAGCAGCACGCGTTGACGCTGATGTTAACAATACCGGTATGCCTGGTGTCTATCTCGAGGGCCTCACCGTAACTCCACCATGCACAACTAGCAACCCCTGCTTGCCGAATCCCAGCAAGCTCGACAGGTTCTTCGACTCCACGAAGCAGCTCGCATGCCTGCATTGAGGGAGTAGGGAAATGGGGCGAACACCACCATATGCAGAGTAAGACATGCTGTGTGTCAGCCCTGGTGCACGGAAACGCTTTCCCTTTATTACCCAATGCCTAGCGCCCGTCCTGATATAATAATCACCCATTATTCATAGGCATCGTATCGCATGACCTCCATTAGCACTCAGAAGCCCCGTGCATCAACTCCACACTGACACAACGTCTCGTAACAATAGATAGGCCCTGCTGTTGCGAGCAACCCCTACTCACCACATACGGCCCCGTGGCAGAGCCCCCTCAGCCACGTCGTGGTCCGGTGCCAGCTGCAGCTCATGACTCCTCAGCAGGTTGGGTATCCCCTCCACCGCAAACGGGTAGGGGTTCCATAAAAACGGAGCGCCACCGGGCGGCGAATCAGGTTCAGCAGGGTGCTGGGGAGGCAGATTCGGCTGCTGCCGAGGGGGCTCCGAGGGTGGCATAGGCGTCCAGGGTGGTGTTGGCTTTATTGGAGGAGGAGAGGAGACATACTGGCCGCACAGGGAGAGCTTGAAGGTGCGCCAGTTGTCAGTAGTGACCCCTAGGTCGGCAATCCATATGGTGTAATTTCCAAGACCTCCCAAGCCCTTAATGTTTCTGTTGGCCTCCGCGTTGTAGAGTTCGATGCGCGGACAGCGTGTGGGCTCGTCAATAGAGCAGTTGAGCTGAGGGTAGCGTTTCAAAAGGTTTGGGTAGAGAGATCAGGGGAGGACGCATAGGTTTGGTGGCTTGCAAGGTGGCACAGTGCACACAATATTTAATACTAGCCCCACAGGTCTTCGCAGCAAAACAAAATAATCAGCCGAAATCAGCGTTTCAAACCAGCACCACTATAATTGACGATTGCAAAAAGAACATCTTAGAAAATACATGTGCGTCTTACTGGATCCGACTGGTCATCATCCGCTGTCCAGCCTTGCCCGTTGCTGTACAACACGACATCGTACACATCGTGCGGCAGTTGGAACCAATAGATGTCCTCCCATGTCGATTCGTCGTTGTTGAGGGTGACATTGTTGGCAGGAACCGTGGCTTCGGTGCCATTAGGTGGCCAGGACCAGTGGGTGAGGTTGCCGGCGCAGCAGGGCCAAGTCCTGAATTTGGAAACTGCGATTGGCGAAGAAAGTGTTCGTAGCTTTAGGACTGTACCATTCGTTTACCAATTTTAGGTTTGTACAAAAGTAACAAGGACAGTGGATGGTCATAGAGTGCGCGCGGTGGCGTGATGCTGTCAATTTGATAGAGCTGCATTAGGTGTTGGAATAGGTTTGTTGAAGATGAAGGAGAAGGTGTGAAGCAAGGTGGAATCGTCGTACAGTATTAAAACTTACGGTCAATGGAGGGCTGGTACGACTTTGCCCTTGTCATGCTTGAGAAGATAATGCCCATGGCCTTCGCCCTCTTCTTGTTTACACCCCGGTACACCTGCGGTCCACCCACACCATAGAGCAAGACAGGAGAAACGTAGAAAACTAAATCTGCATGTAGTGATGGTTCTTTTTTAGAATTTCTATTTATGGCGCTATTAGCCTGTGCAGCAGGAATAGTTTATGATAATCTAATGGCTCGTTCAAATTGAACTCACCCGTAGTTGGTAAGTGCCGTACGACATATTCCGGAGCTCATCCGGGCAATCCGCGTACAGTAAAGAGCCATCGGTTGTCGAACTCGACGGAGCCAGAGGAGGCGGCGGGCGGGCCACATCGTTACCGTGCTGCGGAAACACGGCAACAGACCGACATGCCGAGCCACTGCCGACATCTGATGAGCTGCCGAAGGGGCAGGAAAGGAAGCGAGGCGGTGGCAAATCTTGATACCATATGCTGCCTGTTGGCTGCGCTGGAATGTACTGCAGGTAGTGGATGTCGTTGGCAAGGAATGGGACTCCTGTGGACAGCGGAGGGGAGATTAGAGAAAAAGCAAACCATAAGCGAGGACAGAAGAAAATAGGGATACCGTTAGTTGGGGCGATAGTGTTGGAGGAGATCTATCGACTCAAGGCGTATATGAAACCCACCAGGTGTTATCGGGGTTGGTTCTTCCATTTCTTGCACAGAAACTACAAAATTTATTTGAATGACTCTTACCCTGATGGTTATTCGCATCGCTCTTGTTGACTGCAGTTAATCCTCCAAACAGAACAGCGTCGGCATTGGTGGCACCGATGTACGGCAAATCCGCCAGGGTAGCCGCAGCGCGTTCACCTGCAGTCGTTGTTTGTTTACGACAAAATCTAATACATGATTACGACCAACATTGGCCGATTACTCGGTTTCACGTTTGGTGCCGAAATGAACGGGCAGTAGAAAAATTATGATCGTAGTATTGGTATCAACCTACTAATTTTTATATCGATAAAAATATTATTTCTTGTTTAACTACAAAGATAGTTTTTCAGTGCAATCAAGTCATGCTGAATGCGAAGGATGGCACACTTCTCACCAGGGGAATGTAGTGTCGAGCCGTTGACATTCAGCAGCAGATCAAAGTAGAAGGCAGGACCCGAAGTAACCACGCTTGGAGAGCTCCCACCTGCATACCATGAGGCATTAGTATATTTGGAACATGTTTTTGAAGAGGCGGTTAGCTAGTAATAAACGCAGTAAGCAAGGGCTGCTTAATAGCTGCTTTATGACAGCTCATGGTATGCCTTCCTGGTTATTTATTTAAGCCCTTGGAGCGACTTACGTTTAACATACTTCGTCTGGGTATTGACCAACGGATTCCTGGCAAGATCCTTTCTGCTTTGCCATAGCACTGCATATGCCGTACCAAAAATAGTCGGCCCCGATGCCAAGCCATCTGTTCCTCCGGCGGTTCCACTACTGCTGTCGTACATTCGCGTACTGCCCTTGGCTGTCCTGCTGTTTACAGCACCACCACCGCCTGATGGCGCCGCACCCGCAGCCGCGGCAGCAGCTGCTGCTTCAGCTCCAGCTGCCCTGCTACCCCATGTTGAGGTTGTGCCCGCTGCGGTGGCGGCACCGTCCTCAGGGCTGCCGATCAGCCGGCGATGGTGGCGGTTTGCAGTAAGGCCTTGGGACTGCTGAAGAGCTCGGCGGTTGGACTGGGTGGCTTGGTACGTATCATATTCGTGCTGCTGCTGTTGGCGCTGCTGCAAGGCATGCTGCTGCCTCCGATTTTGCATCCTCTTATATGCCCGCCGACGTGCTGCCTGCATTTCACGGAAGCATACTAAGAAGCAGGCAGGGTACATGCACCATGCGACCAAGGCGGTTCAAAGTGTAACACGCCCCAAACCCAATCGCCCTGCGGCCCGACATCCGGAGCCTGCTAATAAATTGACGTGCTGAAAGCAAAGCAAGAGAATACCAGACGCGTCTATGGCGACAAGCAGGAGGACGTGGGCTAGGAAGCAGACGCATTTACGCAAGGTGCTGCACCCATTCGCACCCGGCGGGCATCCATGTCGCCCCCGCGCATTCCACCGCCGGCGCCAGCACCTCCCTGTGCCCTCCGCTGTCGGCCCAGAGGACCATGTCGCCTCCTTCGTCGCCGGCCATGACTGGCCGCCTGCCCATGCCGGCCCCTAAGAGCTGCTGCTGCTCCTCCTTCCTCTGTTCCTCCTGCTGCATCTTCTTCCATAGCCTCTTCTGTATCATATAGTGCCTCCTCCAACTCTCTGCCCGCTGCTACCTCCTCTCCAGCCAACCCCACTGCGGAGGAGGAAGAGGAAAGGCGCGCAGAAACTGCAACCCTGTCAGTGAGACCTGATGCATATAGTTCTCCTGCGCTATCAGAAGCGCTGCCCTCAAGTTCCAAAAGCCGGCGGCTTGCAAAGCTACCGGGTGGCTGGGAAATGTCGGCAGCTGACGGCGGCAGCGATGGCGGCATTGGAGGTGAGGGCCGCGGGGAGGGGGGTCGCGGCTTCGGCGGCGGCTTCGGCGGCGGCGAAGGCTGGGGTGGCGACGGCAACGGCGACGGTGGAGGCGAGGAGCGAGTTAACGTGGGCCAGGGTGGTGCTGGCATGGAGGGCCTTGGTGGAGGAGGATGCGACGGCGGAGTCGGGGCGTCCGGAGGGCCGAAGGAAATGTCGGGAGGTAGTGGAAAGGCGGGTGAGGGGGTAGGAGGTGGGGGGGTAGGAGGAGGCGAGGGAGGCGGCGAAGGCGTAATTCTCCCGTCGCTCTTGGTGGCAGGCGGAGGGTGGCGGGAGGTGGAAGGCGGGAGCGGGTTGTCTGGCGGGTTGGTGTCGATAGCGTCCGGGGCGTCCGGAGGGGTCATCACGGGAGAAGGTGGGGGTTTTGTACGGCGGCTGAGAGGTGGAGGAGAGGGCTCGGGTGAAGATGAGGAGTCGGGGGCGCTGGGAGGCGAAACGTCGCCATCTTCCACAGCAGGTGGTTCGGGGCTGGGGCTAAGGTCGGATCGTGGTATGCAGATGACCGAGTAGTCACTGCGGTTGAACAGTGGGATGCGGGAGCGGCCGGCGCAGGTAAGGAGGAGCAATAGAATTGAAGGATAAATGGTAGTGTGAGAAAGAGGAGCAGCGTAATAGGCAAGGAGGTGCGTAAGCAAGGAGGTCCGGTGCTGGTTTGGCTTGCATCAGGGCGTCAATAGTTTAGTTCCTGTTAGTCTCCCATACCCAAACTTACCCTGCGTAGTCATCCGTATAGCTGGTATAGTAATCGTAGTCAGCTGCAGCACACAACACAGAATTGGCAGGGTGCAGAAGCTGAGGGTCGGGATATGTCGCCAGCGAATTTCCAGTTCGATGCAGCAACATGTAAACGGCAAGGACCACGGTGACCGAAATTGCAATGTCTAACACTAAATAATTGCTCCTGCTAAATCCCGCAGCAAGTTTCGGATTTATTGTTGGACCCAACTAAAACCAGGCAGGTTTTAGATGGGATAGACCGGCCGGTATATCCCATAAACAAATACCTCACTAGCCAGCAGGCAGATCTGGCTTCACCATATGCAACAAATGTCATCAACCTCGGCAACATGCCTCAAAAGACAAAGTGACAATTGCACGGTCCAATTATAGTCTCGGTGGACTATCTTTCCATAGCTTCACCCGCGTGACATGTGTGCTGCTGTACATTGAAAGACCAAACTCACCGCTGCCGCTGCTCTGATAGTCGTAATAATCGCTGTAGTCAAATGAGTACAGATCCGCGAATAAAGCCTCCATGATGGGTGTCGTACATTGAGACATGCTATCCAATGTGCCCAAGTCAAGGCTGCCCATTGTGTCGCATGTCTCGAGGGCGTCACGAACCAACTGCTCCGTAAACGTCAGGTCTGGGGAGAGAGCAGCAGGCGACACAGCATGAATGGTGCGGTTAAATTTTCAGGTTTGACATCGTGTGTCTTTGCTGCTGCATAAGAACACGGAATTGAATTAGAGGGTGGCTAGGGATGGCCAACATACTAATCAGTACAACCTAAGTAGCGGAAATTTCAGACAACATCGGTATCCAAGACACGCCTACATACCTATTTGGAATTAGACGATCACGCGCACGCACGCACCTGCAGCTCCATCATCGACAGTGGTGGAATTGAGGACGTTGCCCACGTAGGCCATGCCGCCGTACATCAGCATCAACCTTCCGCCCACTTGGGTCGTCACCTCGTTCCCAACCTCGTCTTCAGTGCTCACCTGATCGATACGATGCAGAAAATAACCAAAATAACCAAGTTCAACAACCGATTTCATGTATGGCAAGGCGTGCAGATAGTATAAACAACAATCAAAAAACAGTCACGCGAAAAGGCAAATAAATGTTGCTATACTGCTGTGGACGTCGTTTCATAAGGAAAACACTGTAGCCTTAGTACTGCAGTGAAGTCACTTACATTAAACACTTGGTAGATTGGAGTGTACGCGAGTCCATCCCGAGGGTTAGGCAGATCGTTTGCCGCGTTGCTGCCTCGAGCTACGGGCAGGACCTTGCATGTGCCGTCCAGTTGGTTGTTGTTCGAGCAAGAAGATACAACCTGCAGGGTAAGACGTGCATGGGAAAGGGCACGTGCGTCGCTAACAAGAGGGCGCTTGATAAGATTTCAGGCTGCAATGCATGCCCAGCACACTTCTATCCAAGGAACAGTTGGAAAATTGATTGGAGCGAGCTGATGCCCACGGAAACGCAGACACATGGTAACGGTAAAACCTTTAATTCCAAGTTGGGCACATACAATCATGCAAGCTGGAAGAATTAAAAAGAGGCAATAACGCTCACCGTTTGCGTTTCCATGTCCAAAACCTGAAACTCAGTCACATCCGGTTCATAGTCATCGTCCAAGTTGTCAAGTCCGGTGTAGAAGAGGAGGTCGGTCATGTCAGTCTCCGAGGTCACCGAAGTGTCATCGTACGGCACCGCTTTCGGTGAGGCAACATGTGCGCCGTACCGGTACGCCAAGCGGGTCGAGGTGCCCGGCGGGTCTGGTTTCAACCTGTAACTCGTATCTGTTGCGGTGTATCGATAAAAGACATGCAGGCGTAACCGCGTAACCATGTATAGATAGCGGTAAATCAATTGCAAGGTAGGCATGCGGGCATGGAATTGGCGTGGCATGCTGCAGACCCCACCAGAAGAAATGCATGGGTAAGGCTGGGTAAGGCCTATGCAAGTAACCATGGGAATGGGTTTGGGAGCGGTCGGCAGCCCTAATCAGACCGAGTCGACGTTGCTAGGGTGGGTGAATAGATATCTTGTACGAATAGCTGATCAGGTGATCACCCTACTACGTACCCTTAAACCTCCTGTACTATATGCTCACCCACTGCAAACCCTTCATCGAGATCCACCACGATGAGCTTCGAAGAGGCCTATAGGCACGTCAGAAGGGCATTTTGGTGAATGGTGGGCACAATCAGCATCGAACTTATTGCCTCCATAAGGATTTCTGTACATGTGGCTCTCGCTTACACGTCGTATGGGTGTGCGCAAGTGATTGGTGCTACCAATACCTACAGTCAGCACCTCCGTCCCTGACACTTCGCCGTATGATATAGCCTTGCTGACTACACAACAGAAACAAGCGATGTGGTTGAAGCCGTGCCTGTGTTGTGCAATGGTGTATGCTATTATGCCATGCCCCAGTGCTCGTGCGTTGCCGTGCCCCCCATCACACCTTGCCCAGCTGGTCCTGGCCGCCAGATATGTACAGTAGGCCCAAGTCCGGGGAGAGGGCGAGCGCCGAATCTTTGAGTGGCGGTACTCGGTCGGATAGGGGAAAATCCCGAGCCGCATCAGAGTCAATGATCCTGCGAGGTCGCAACGAGGAAGAACACCGAGGCAAGTTTTACTTCGTTTGGCACGCATTCAGCGCAAACGAAGTGCATGCGACGGCCACCATGCGTGAGGGCTCACATCGTTTTGGCCTAGCAACAAGGGCCTGGCGTGCACTTACGCGTTGGTCTGGTCAGCAACGAGGACGTTTTCGGTCTTCGAAGTGATGAATAGCGCGTCCCACTTGAAGAGAACAGACGTATTTCTCCCGCTTGCGATTGCAGGGAGGTAAGATTCAAACTTGCCATCCGTACTGGACTTCAGGATGGATATGTACATCTTGTACGATGAAGGGCTGGAAGCGTTAGCACTGCAAAACATGGATAAATTAGTATGGCATGTTGCGATGGTGGGTTGCAATTGGGATTGCATACGCCAGCGGACGCATGCTATTTAAGAGCAAAAGAAGGCACTCTGCTTCGCGAGTTGACCTGGCACTGTTTTTGCAAACGTATGTCACTAAGTAACCAAGTGCACCCAAGCTTTCCCAGAGTGCATGCAAAGCAGGGCAACGGCAGTGCAAAAGCAGAGCAAGCGGACTTACGACTTCCAAAAACCAGTTGTGATGATCATCAATTCAGTCCCACTGCTGCTGCTGCCTCCTCCGCTGCTGCTGTTGACAGCAGCCGGCACCAGCGTTATAATGGTGTCATTCCCGGGCAGGTGAACGATGGTGTCGTTCCTGCCGTTGTTATGCGGCGGGTATTCCATCTCAACCGGTTGCCAGGCCGCAGTGAGGGTGTCTAGCAGCCACAACCGGGTTTGTGGCAAGGGGGCTGCGGAGGGGAGGGAAACAGGGAGGCGGTGGCGTGGTCCCTTGAACATTGGAAGTTGTAAAAACATGACGAGAGCAATGAGGGCGGTAGCGCCATTATTACCAAGCAGGGAAACTAGGAAGTAACATATCGATGGCCAGCTATGATGCAGGATCTTATGTTTCCTTCCGCAACCAGCCAACCAACGTACGCTGTTTGAAGGCCGGGGCTCCCTGATTGCGGCCGCCGTACAACAGGAGGTAGCGCCCGTTGCTGGAGGGCGTCATGGAGGCGCGCTGCAGGCCGCGCGCACCCGTGGAGTCACTGGGAGGCCGGGTGCCATTAACCTGAAGTGGATGACAAGTAAGGAGTTACATAGGGTACATGAGCATAATGCGGGTAATTATGCGGTTAGCATCGTTTGGAAGTACGAAAGGCCACGTGTTGGATAGGCCGGTTAAGGCAGTACTGTGGTAAGAATTTTGAGAGGCATGCGATTGCTAACCATCAGTAGTTTGGACGTGTATGCATGCGTGGAGGAGTTACCGGCTATCGGGCTAATTAAATCGTGGAAAAGAAGACGTTTCACACGTGCATCTTAACTCCTATTCATACCGCAAACCATCTGTCGACCCCAGTCACTTAAAGCCTAGAGCCCAGCGGTACTAGCACCGCCCACATGTTCATACCCAAGCCATTATCCTTCCTCCCTCCAAGCCATTATCCTTCCTCCCTCCCTGCATGAGCTTACCGTTGAGTTGTGCAGCTTCCAGGTTGCGTTGCGGATGTTAAAGGACCAGGTGTCATCCAGGATTTTCCTGCAATCGGAAAACAACAGCAATCACGGGTCGGTACGGCAGTGCATCTACCATGAACCGCTCACAGTCAGGTGAAGTGCCCTTGTCTATGTAACCAAGCCTTGTCAGGGAGCCAATTTCTGTGTTCGCCTAGCCCCTGGCCCGTAGCACCCCAGCCCCCAAACTCACGTGTTGTTGTCCAGCCCGCCGAACACCCACAACGTGTCATTCACAACCGTCACCGCCGCATTCTGCCGCGGCACGGGCGAGGATGACCCCGCCCCACCGCCTCCTCCTCCTCCGCGTGTCCTGTTGAACAGCACCCTCCACAAGGGCGGCTTGAAGGCATCCCCCAGGTCTAACCACAACACCTCGTTAGTAGCTACCGGCAGCTTGCTCTCGCTCTTGTTGACCATGGAGCCGCCGAAGACCAGCACGCTGCCGTTGTACGGCACAGCGGAGTGGCCGGTGCGCTGGGGCCGGGACTGGGGAGGAGTAAGGGGAGGAGGGTAGGGTTGAACGAGTACGGAGGTAAGAAGGAAGTGGGCAAAGTGTTGGGACCGGCGGTATGGGACGGCCGCCTCGCTCCACCCCTGCTTCATATCGCCAAGTGCCCTCCCTTAACGCCCTTTGTGCCAATGCCTCGTTACTGCCCAATGCACTACTGGCGCCCCCTGCTGATGAATAGCCCGCCTCTCGCCCGGGCTCCGATTTGCCACGCTAGATGTTCCCACATTGCCGCTGCTGACTTCCCCTCTCCCCCCTGCCTCTGACTTTCCCTTCCCTTCGCCTACCGCGTTGCCGCTGCTGAACGCCACCTTGTCCTCCGTCAGCAGTGTCATGTCGGTCAGGTCTACAGCGGCCACGGAGGCCAGTGACACGAAGCTGGAGGAGGAGGAAGACCGCTGGCCGCCCAGGATATAGGCCTGCGGGGATGTGGGAAGGGGGTGTGCATATCTGAGGGAAAGCAAGTAACCGGGGCGTTATGTGGGGTGACTCAAGGCCATGTATGTATGGGCCCCGGCTTTGAGATCCCGGGTTCGTAGCTCCTTACGGTACTGACCGTCACCCGACGCCATGTATGTCCCAAGTTTACCGCAGGATGTACCGGTCGCCAGCAACAGCACTGGGCATTACCTTTGTGCGCTTTGACTGAGAGCCCGGTACGACGGTGAAGGTGTGAGAATACAGCTCCGTCGGTATGCTCTTGCCGCGGCAGAGGGCTGGTCAAAGGGGCGATGGCAAATGGCAATTTAGCTTTATGATAGCACGCCTCCGCAGCCTTGTATATCTTACCTACACCATCCAAACACCATGGACGACTCTCCGCACTCGCTTCCTACATGAGTGTTTTGGATTGTTGGGAACATAGCCGGATGTTTCGGTCGCTTGCAATGAAGCGTTGAAGCCCTCCCCCGCCGCTTGCCTGCCATAGCCCCGCCGCCAGTAACAGGAAAATAAATGTAATTTTCATCGTTATTTATCGAAGCAGCCATCCACTCGCTAAACGTCGAAAAGTCCACCCAGCAAGCTCTAAACAGCACTGCTTCATTTGAATGTTAGGGACTTAAAAGTGGTGTAACGACATTAGGCGAAGCGAGCTACATCATTGACAGTGAGTGTAGTCTTGGCGACTTGAGCCTTGCAAGCAAACCAGGCTAACGAGCATGTGCCCTACATCCACATATATAGCTAGCGACGTTTATATACATTGCGCAGTATTCATAAGCTAAAGGTTTCGCAGCCATGTTTCCATCGATTTCGCAGCCGCTGCCCCAACCGTCGAAACCAGTAAGCAAGCAATATCCTTCCAAACAGCCCTGTCTAAAGTGCCTTACTCAGCTGTATCGATTTGAGTCTCTGGTGGGAGTTCATGCTTCAGTGTAGTTTCAGTCACTTGGCGTCCGCCTTCGAAAGCCTGGGGCATTTCGTCCTTCTCTTAGCTTAATATGGGTCTGGATGAGGGTCTTTTGCTGCTGTGGAAAAGCATAACTTATACGAGTTAAGGTCTCGACAGGCAGCGACCCAAGGGACCTTCAGGGTTGGTTCTAAGCCGTCCGTTTGCTGCCTTGCGCGATCTTGCGAGGCACATTCCTCTTGCCAATAGCCGCTTAAGCGATACTATGGTATATCGAGGCCTAAAATGTAATCCCCTAGAAACACCGGCCGCGGCCGAGGGTCCGTATCTGTCATTTCCTTCATTTGTTTGGCCCCGTAAACGGCCAAAGGTCTCCCTTTAACGTCATTTGCAACCGAAACGCTTTCATCCCAGACTGTCCTCCAATCACCGGCTGTTGCCTCACTTCCCTATATAGCTACCTTCTCCTTAGGCATTGCGTTTCAATCAACTGCTCTCTCTTTCGGTGACACGGGACCACTCTGTTTGTCATCAAGTCTTCCCTTTCAGCCACATCTTCATTGCCAAGCAAGCGCAGAACGTACAACGTCAGCGATGACCCCGAAATCAAGGACTGATGAGGATGCTTTGCAATTGGATCAGCGGGCAGCTCTAGGCGTTGCCGCTCTTCCGAGCAGCCTGGAAAGTCCTAAACTGCTTTCAGCTGTTACTCGCAGCGATGCCGCTTTGAGTTCTCAGAATTTTCCTGGCGATATCGCCGGCAGCCCTCAAGCCGGTTCGAGCAGCGCTGCTTCCTCCTCGACCCAGGCTCCGTTTTCTTCCGAAACTCGCGGCAAGAAGCAACGTCGGCAAGTCTCCTTCTCCGCTGACACCATCGACACCAACACAAACAACACTAGCAGCAGCAACACTAGCAGCAGCAACACTAGCAGCAGCAACACTAGCACGCACCCAGACGCTTTGCGAATGCGCCCATTCATAGAACCATCCGATCCAAACTTGTCGGAACCAGTGCGTGACACGAGTGGAAGCAGCGCCGCCGCCGTAGGCGCCACTGGAAAAGACGGCGGCGGGGAAGCCGTCGACAGCAAGGAACGCGGGGACGAGCGAGGCGATCGTCCGGCTTCTGAGAAGGCGGCGACGGCAGCAAGTGGCGGTGGCGGCGGCGCGTCGCGACGGTCCGGCTTCCACCGGAGTAACTCGGTGCGTTCCAAAACGTGCAGGGAAGAAGAGGGACGTGGCGGCAGGGGAGCCGTAGCAGGGTTACGGCCGTCGTTCCAACGTACTTTGTCCAAGCTGGTTCGTCGTTAACTCCCGTTCTTCCCCATCTTTCCCGCCCTACCGCTTTCCCACCCCTCCTCCTCCTAGGCTCCCAGTTGGCCCCCCGTGCTACTAGGACTGGGCAACAGCTCTAACGACCTAACCGCTAAGGGTGGCAACGGCAACGGCAACGGTGACAACGGCAAAGGCAGCGCCACTGGCGGCATTGGAGGCAACGGCAGCGGAGGCTCCGGGACACGCAACCCAACTCTTGGTCAGCGGCGTGTTAGTTTTAGCGGCGGCGGCGTTTTCCGTGGTAGCGGCAGCAGTGCTAGCGACAGCGGTGGCGGTAGCGCCGGCGGCAGGATTCGGTTGGGCGTTTGTGCGATGGCACGTAAGGCCCTTTCGAAGCCCATGCGAGAGATCCTCGGGCGCATCACCACATGCAACGAGTTCGATCTCATCATCTTTGACGAGAAGGTACGGAAGCTCTTCACAGACTTCACAGTCGTACGTTGTCGTACGTTGACATGCTGCCAGCAGCTACCAGCTCACATGCCTGCTGTGCGTGTGTTTTGCTTGGCTTTTTTCAGACACCGCAGTGCCCATCGGTACTTCCACTTCCATTTGTCGTACCATCATGTGCTCTGCCACTTCCCCGCCGCCGGACCTCCCTGCTGCCTCCCCCCTCTCAAGGTTATCCTCGACGCTCCGGTGGACCAGTGGCCGGTTGTGGACTGCCTGCTGAGCTGGTACTCGGAAGGGTTCCCGCTGAAGAAGGCGCAGGTGGGGGGCAGGGAGGAGGGGCAGGGAGGAGGGGCAGGGAGGAGGGGCAGGGAAGAGAGCCGGGCAGGTGGGAAAGGCACATGTGGTGGAAGCGGGGCAGGTGGGACAGGTTGGAGGATCGCCAGCCAGGCACGACGTAAGCCATTCACCACATCCCCGTGTTGACCCTTCGTCCTCATCAGTTCGCGTCCCGTCCCTCCCTGCTGTCTGCCACCACTCCTCAACCCTCTTGCCATCCCCCCACAGGCCTACGTGTCCCTGGTTCGCCCCTTCTGCGTGAACGACCTAGTGGCGCAGGAGGCGCTGCTGGACCGCAGGAGGGTGTACCGCCTGCTGCTGGTGGGAAGGACGGGGGATTGGGAGAATGGGAGGGGTAACCGGGTGGGAAACGTGTGTGTTTTGGCACGCATGTACGCGGTTACAGCATACCCAGGTAGCGTTGTGCCCTCCTTCTTTCCTCCTCGCCACCCCAACACAGGACAGCAGCATACCGGTTCCCCGCCACGTGATTGTCAGTCGGGACGGGCTGCCCCCGGGGGACTCCCCGCCGGGGTTCGTGGAGGGAGACGACTTCGTTGAGGTGGGGGGACGCGGGAGGGTTGCAGGCGGGGGCGGGTGAGGGAGGAGTCGGGCGTCAGGGAGGAGATGGCTGCTCAAGTTGTGCTCTCTGCCCCTGCCCCGGCTCCTGGCCATGCTGTGGTCATCCTTGCCCTCCTCCTCCTGCCCGCCCTGCAACCTCCGTTCCCTCCGTTCCCTCCACTCCCTCACCCCGCCTTCCGCCTCCGCCTTAACTCCCCTTCCCAGCCCCCACCCCCACTCCCTCCCCCGCCCTCCCTTGCCGCACTCCCTCAGATGGACGGCGAGCGCATCTACAAGCCCTTCGTGGAGAAGCCCGCCAGCGGGGAGGACCACAACATCTGGGTCTACTACCCCACGGCAATGGTAGAGGGGCGGGGTCAGAGGGGCGGCGAGGGAGGGGGGCAGGCAGGAGGGAAAAAAGAAATTCCAAAGTGTGGTATGAGGCAGGGGGGAGGGGGGCAGGCAGGAGGGAGGGAGGGAGCAGGGGAACACGGTGGTTACGAGAAGTACGTACCTTCACCCGCAACCTTGCCTCCCTCATGTGGTAACGTGCGGTGCATGAGCCCTATCCAGCATCTCCACTTCTCCCCGTCTCCATTCCCGTTTTCTCCTACACCACCCTAATGCCCCCCCACCCCGGTAACCCTCCAGGGTGGAGGTGTGAAGCGGCTGTTCCGCAAGGTGGCTGACCGCAGCGGCAACTACGACCCCGGGCACTGCGGGGCGGTGAGGCGGGACGGGTGCTACATTTACGAGGAGTTCCTAGCCACGGGTGAGGTGTGTGGGGGGGGGTAGGGTGGTGGGCGCAGCTGCTTTAACTACCGCCGGTAACACATTCCAGGTAGCTCCTCACCCGTCGTGGGGCTAGGCTCGTGGCTTGGTTCATGCACGCACCAGAATGCGCACCTGCCGAGCTGCAGCAGTGCCCCGTTGTCTTCCCCATAGCCTCTCTTCGTTGAGCATCTCGTCACCCCTTGCGACCCCTCACAATGTCTTGTGCTGTACGACACATAACGTTGTTGTACGGCACATCACGCTGCTGTACTGCAGGCGGTACGGATGTCAAGGTGTACACAGTGGGCCCCCGCTACGCGCATGCGGAGGCGCGGAAGAGCCCCGTGGTGGATGGCAGGGTGGCGCGTACGGCAGATGGGAAGGAGGTGAGGGCGGTGTTAAGAAAACTGGCCGCGAGTAGGAACGGTGTGTACGCTGATAACAGCAAGATTGGGAGTGCATTGCTTGTATTTCTGCATGCTGCTTGCGTATGGGACGGCTGCGATGGCTGGAAACAGCCGTGGTTGGTGGCACTGGGGGCCCAACAATGATCCCTCTCGCGTTGGGACTGACCCGTGGGTCACCCTTCTTCCTCGTTTCGCTTCCCGCAGGTCCGCTTCCCGGTGCTGCTGAGTCCTCAGGAGAAGGAGATCGCTCGCATGGTGTGTTTGGCGTTCGGGCAGAAGGTGTGCGGCTTCGACCTGTTGAGAAGGTGCGTGTATACGCTGGGTCGGGAGCCCTGTTGTTGCTGTCTTGCTGGGGGTACCGTGCCACTACTGTCGTACAACCCCGCGGCCCTAAGCCTGATTCCCGTTGTTGTTCGTTGACCCAGCCATATGTTGTCCTGTGCCGTCCTGTACACTGGCACATCGGAGGTTTGCACGAGACTCATTCGTCGTACTGTGTCGTACTGCTGTGTGTGTGACTGTGTGTCGTACATGCGCTTATCTGCTGCAGCGAGCGCGGCGGCAGCTACGTGTGCGATGTGAACGGCTGGTCCTTCGTCAAGAACTCCACCAAGTTCTACGGAGATGCGGCCGACATCCTCAGGAGGTGAGACGAGGGCCCCGTTGAGATTGCTTCCGTGAAAATGCTTCCTAGCGTCGCTTCGCTCTCCCCTATTCCCACGTTCTCCCTCCCATCCCCACCCATTCTTTCATCCTCCACAGCATCATCCTGCAGGCCCTGGCCCCGCACCGGCTGCACCAGCTGCCCGCACTGCCGCCCGCACCCACTTTCGGGTGAGAGGGAGGGGGGAGAAGTGGAGAGAAGGGGAGCTAGGTCGGGATTGCAAGACTGCAAAGAAAAAACCGTTTCATGCATTCCGTGCACGTGCGTCTATCCCACCGCCTTGCTACGGGGTTCGCTTTGGAATTCATCTTCACCCCCTGCCCTCATGCAGGCTCATGAGAGAGTCGCAGCAGGCACTGGCGGCGGCCGAGGCGGCGGCGGAGGCGGCA